TATTATGTAACTTTGATTTTTTATATTCCATTTTTATCGTTTTTATTTTTAATTCCTACCCAAAGATCGATATGGCAATGGTCTCGGCATCTCTTGTAAATTCAATTATAAGGATTCAGGTAATGGCTCATCTTTCCATACTGTAGTGGGCGTTTCGTAATCTAACTCCAAAAATTTCTAGTGAAAAATTATATTAATTTTTCACAAAACTTAATTAATTATCGACAGAGCTTCAGTTAGCTTCATAAAATTTGAAATCTACTTGAAGAAACCCCTTAAGATTATCTATCTTTATAAATAATACGGCATTTCGCTGTGCAGATCACTTTTCTGGATCTCAAGAGCGATGGATTTTGATGAATGAGGTTCAAAGCGAAAGGAAATTTCATTAAAGAATGACGAATCATAGTCTCATTCCTCCAAAATTACAGGAAAAATTTATAAATGAAAAGAAACTTTATTTGCAAATAACTCGAAAAGTATACTTTTTTTATTGATTATTTGATGGGTTACTAAATTCCTTACAAAACAAAAAACATCGAAATCGGACCATTATTAGCAAAGATACAGCCTGTATTAATTCACAAACATTTCTATTTGTTATTATGAATGAACTAAATTGATTTGACTGAGCAAAAAGAAAATTATTTCCTCTATCTCATTGCATTAACTTGTTTCTATACTATATTGTCAATTGTTCACTGACCAAAACAATCTCCGAATTATTCGCACGGACTAACTATTAATTTGATATTGATTATCTGTAAGAATTATTGTAATTATTACTTCAAATGGTGTAATAATTGTTTAATGAACGAAAAGGATGACGCACGGAGTACGATAAACCATATAATAATTACGATAATAATAATAGGTACGATAAATATGATTAAAATCCTATCATATAACGTCATGCAATAAAGCCATCATAATTCCGGTTGTTAATGATTTATTAATCGGGAGCACGGTAATTTATTCCCCTAATTCTCGCGCTAAGCTGCAGATAAACTAGTTTATTCGTTAATAACGTTAATAGATAATTAATTTTTTTAATTAAATTTTATTTCCGATCACTGAAAATAGTGCTTATAATAACATTTTAAAATAGATTTCAAACCAGTATGAATTAATTTTTTGTTTAAAAAAAAACAGTTATAAATTAATAATCACAAAACATATTATAAAAAAGGGCATTTTTTTTCTCACTCAATACCTAATTATATTAATTGACTAATATACAATAAGAGATAAAATTTTATATTTTACTAAATTCTTTTATCGTATTCAAAATTTGTTGATAATAGTTATGTATCGAATGACTAAATCCCTAAATACGTTTTATAAGTATAGACGTAATTTGGAAAAATAAATAAAGAATAAAACCTAAATATCCAAAATTATGATAATATACTATGAAACATCCAAAATATTTCAAGGGTTGGTCTAGAAGGAAATGAACTAGTTTATAATAAAATATATATATATATATATATATATATATATATATATATATATATATATATAAATTTGTTATGTAAGAAACAAGTTGTAACCTAAAAATATTTTTTCACTTCTTTATTTTGTTCTACTTTATTAAATCAGAAATATAAAATATTATATTATACTATAGAAATATATAAGTAAAATTATACAAATAGAAACTTATATCAATTATAGAAAGATGATTATAGAAATAACAACAAAAATGTATTGAGGAGACAAAAATAAAAATATTTTATAAATAACTAGCTGGTCCTGGGATTAATTTGCATATTATATTGGTCAATTGACAAATGACAAAACAATATAGAAATAAACTAATGCAACATATCATAAGATAGAGGAATAAATTCTCATTTTCTCGATAATTGTAATCGACCAAGAAATAGAACATTATTTTAAAACTTCATTCATAAATTTGTTTTTCTCTTCAGAGTTTAATCCGCACATGTCATGAGTTCGACAATAGGCAGACGTGTTAGGGAATTTGGAAAAATGGCTTTATATGCATAACGAAGGTCAGTACCCAACACCACCTTTTCCTCTTTCATATATTAAATTAACATGTTACAAATTACAATATGCTGTAACTTTGTCAATAATGGTCAGATTTCGATGATTATTTTTTTACTTTTATAGGGAATTTAATAACCTTTCAACTAATCATTAGTGTTACCCAAAATTGAGATCTGTTGACCAAGACCGCCTAAGACCAAGACCGGTAAAAAAAAATCGTTTTTATGAGTAAAAATTAAGGTAAAATAGTTACTAATACTCGACAATTTTGGTTACTATATGTAAATAATTGGTATAAACAAAGTACTTTTGTATTTAATTCTTACAATTTTTCATTTGGGCTTAGTTAGGTTTCATCTACCTCAAAAATAGCATTAATATCTCTATAGTAATAAGCTAATAGCTAACTGCAAGACTGTTGCGAGACTCGTTTTGGTCTCGCAAATGGGTAACACTTCTAATCATAAATGCAATTAATCATTAAATTTATAATTTTTAGGTTATTCACAAGTATTTTTATAGGTTATGTTTTCTGAATTTTGTTTATACATGACTATTTTTTCCACCTGGGGGAGAAGGAAATCTTCAAAATGAAGACTCGATCATTGAATTTGATGAAAAATTAAAGAAGACATAGGATCAACTAAAAACACCTTTAAGAAATAATACGTAAACATCTATAAAAACTCAATTCACTGTCATCAAAAGCCATTGAGTAAATCAAGTGATTTATTTTAATTTAAATAAAATTTGTTTTTTATTAAAATATTAAAAGATAAGTATTTATCCACAATGTTCTAAATAATAATTGTTTCGACTTCCTGAAAATACTGTAATTACGAAACACATCAGTAAGCCTTCTAAAATAAAAATAAAAAAAAGAACTGGCAAACGAAATGTGTAATTCTAAAATAATATATAAATATGGTATTGGGTAATTTAATGAAAATTATTACAATATTTTTAGATGGGTTATTGTTTTCTTTAGGAATGAGCTGAATAGCGCCTGCATTGACGAACCCGCAATACACATTTCGTCCTTGACCGCAAGATCCGACAAGGACCGACCTCTTCAGAAAGAATTAAGTACTCAGGTGATGTCTTCTGTCTGGCAAAACAACTACGAAAATTTAGCGCAAACAAATATTGGAGATCACAATTCCATAGATAAGATAACTTAGATATATGACTATCAATTTCAAAAGTCTAATTCAACAAAGGAAATTCCTAGAATATTGTACCACTCATATCGATCACGATGTAATATGTAATACGATGTAATGGTTTTTGGTAAACGAGGTGATAAAAATTTATCACTTGATTGAATATTTTTTGGACATCCACAAGGATTAAAATTGGACATTCTCCTATGAATAATGAAGATATCACCCAAAAAATGTTTTATACAAATTATGAAGAAATTACTATGTTTTGTGAATCAGTAAAAATATCTATGAAGTTAACCAAAAATCATGCAAATCATTTAAATACTGCAACTATAAAAACCTGTAACAGTTACTTTTGAACCAGGGATTGGATTTCGGTAGCCTATAAGTTCGCTAGTATAGATTTTTTCTCCAATTTAATTTCATTACAACTAACTACTTAATTATTTCCTTTGGGATTTATATGGTCTAGGAGAACGAGAGATCCTTTAATGGCTTATAGACGACTTATTTGTCAACACACTCCGTTGATCGTCGCCTGTGGGCAGGTTATTGGTAAATACTTCATGTTGGAAACAATGTTAATGTAAATTAAACTAATTTTATCTAACGTCGACAAGGTTGTCAGCCATAAAGATCGTAAAGAGACATTCGTAAACGCAAAATAAATAATCAATAAATCATCCTAATTATGTTTTCAACAAATACATAGCTACAGACTTATATTGTAATACTTATAGGTAAAGGTAAATACATATATATTTAAAAAATACGAGTGAAACGTTGTTAAAAAAAGTCTATTAGAAGTTTAATTTTGAGTTCTAACCAAACCGGAAAGATAGTTGATCTGATCGGACCTGGAAATACAGCTAACATCTGAATTAAAAAACTTTACATAAATCTAAATTCTTGGCATTTTACTAATCCAAAAGTAAAATGTTCCAAGGAGAATATTCCGTACTAAATTTGTTTCTATCAACTTTATATTTTAAATAATACCTATTGTATTAATTAATTACATTTTTCTATTAGATGAGTATTATTGCAAAGTTTTTAAGGAAAATGTATTAGTTATTTCTTTTTTCCTCATCACTTGTTACAAGGGTGATGTTTAAATATTATGTAGGTTTAATTCTTTTTCCCAGTAAGCTTAGTGTTTGGAGAAAAAAGTGAAACAAAGTGATGTGTTTTTAATAACTTGAAGATTTGGCCAAACAGTATAACAGTCTTCTTGAATTCAAAGCAACCTTGTATACTCCTATGGATAATTTTATATTTCAAAAACATTTTTTTTGTTTCCCATCGACTCTGACTTAATTGTTATATAGTAACTCCTATCTATCCCAGAAGTTGCATCAGGAAAGATTCAAACCTTTAGTAGAAGCTTATTTAGCTTTAATGAAAGGTCCTTCTAAATAAGCGAGAATGGTTCAATAATATTTTGAGGAATACCAAAACATAAAACAGGTGTGTAATATCTGAAAAGTCACATTCACACTTAGATCGTCAGTATAAAAGTAAAACTCTAGATTTTAATTTATAATTATTTTAAATTTACATTTGAGAAATAATAATAGTGCAATGTTAACCTGCAGCTGACAAATTCCTGAAATTGGTCTGGGTCAAATAATTTTTACTAATACCAATAAAATAATTTTATATGGGCTTTTAAACTAGTTTTAGGATAAAATTTTAGACCAATTTTGATGTTTACAACCAACCAACTATCCAGCTACTACTATCCAAACCCTAGTTAAGTTACCACAGTTCTGGCAAATATAAAGTTAGCTATACGATGAGACCTACTCAAATACTTACAGTGTGGCCAATGATGTCGGAAGGCCTGTGGGCCTCGTGGATCTTGGTGAAGGTAGCTTGGAACATGACTGCTAAGACTGCTGACTGCTAAGACTGCTGACTGCTAAGACTGCTGACTGCTGGGCTGCCGAAGAGGGACTGAACGAGGATCCGAAGCGGCGGTGGTTACTATACCGCTCCGGGGGTGGGGAGCTGTTGCGTCAGCCGCCAGCTGATACACGCGTCCAACTTTCCGTTAAGTCGGGGAGGAGGTAAGATTTTCTGTTAGTATAAAAAAAAAGGAAAATATGTTTGTTAATTCTTTAATATTTAATATTTAACAGTTGACCGTTACATTATAAAGGAAGGAGATGGTTCGGGGTGGCGGTCATAAATAGGCTAAATAGTGGTAAAACTATTTTTATCAAAAGCCAACGTTTCGACCCGACTTTGCAGGTCTTCTTCAGGGCTAGAACGGACGAGATACAAAAACAAAGAGAATTGTGGAAGTTACATAATATTTAGACAAAAAATTATAAACAATGTAAATAAGCTTATTAAAATTATAAACAGTAAGTACATTAAAATATGAACAAAGTAAGCTAAGTAACAAGAACCAAAAGTGAAGTAAATAGATGCTAACAATTGTTGTAGTGTAATATATAATAAATGCAAATGTGAATATACTTCTACCTATCTACAGGAGAGATTGGAAGAAAAGGAAAAAGGATATAATATGAAATAATAGGCATAAAGGAATGTGGAGAAAGAAATGAAAAAAGAAAACCAAAAAATTAAATAAATTAGAGACTTTCAGGTGTGTTCGGCTAGGAGTTTCACTTAAAACTGGAAAACCAGGGTAAGGGCAGGTATAGGGGAAGCTGACTTGTTTGGGTAATGGGAAAAAACCTAGAAAATTACAGTATCTAAAATTTGAAGATATGTATGGATAAAATGGAAAAGTACTATATCTATGAAATATTAAATTATAAATATATACACTATATAGAATTAAGAGATAAGAGTACAATGTGATGATAATTGTGGAAGTTACATAATATTTAGACAAAAAATTATAAACAATGTGTATCTTTTTGTATCTTGTCCGTTCTAGCAATGAATAAGTCCAGCAAAGTCAGGTCGAAACGTTGGCTTTTAATAAAAATAGTTTTACCACTATTTAGCCTATTTAGGACTGCCACCCCGGACCATCTCCTTCCTTGTTAATTCTTTAAGAACTTATGATTTGTTAGGTATAACTGAATTTACACGTTATAGATAACCACTGTTGTTTACATTGTACCTAACCCCCACAAGACTATTGACGTCACAAAAAAATATTATCTACCTTTTCGGTATTTTAATTGATCTCAACAATTGGCTTGTTTACACATTTTTTCTAACCTGCTGTGTTGACCTCCTATTAGAACAGTTTGGTAACCTACAGGATAACCTGCCTTTCCTAGTTGGAGTACATGTGCTTGTCCATAACAACCTTGAACTCCCAAATAAATAAATGTTTGTTTTGCAAAGGTTGTATCTTAGGCGCCGGCACTGGAAGGGTGCAAGGTACTTTCTGTCCCACTCGCAATATTTTTTTAAGGGATTTCAACCCTTCCAATATTTCACAAACATTTACTTAAAATAACTAACACAATGTCAATAAACGGTATCGATACTAATTATATTATTATTTGGCCCGTGCGAACAATTCGCTTAATATAATGGTCAGTAAACAAGGCAGCATAATATGAAAATAAGTATATTCAATGCACTATAAGAGAGAAGAATTAATTATTTTTATCCTTGATCGATTACAATGGTTCATTCCAAAAAGCGAACTAAAACATGTTTACAAAATACTGTTGGTTTTATCTTTGCTAGAAATGGTCTGATTTGGGTAATTTTTTTTTCGTTTTGAAGGAATTTGGATTTCAAACTACACAGCACCATCAACTGTATAATTTTTGAGTTATGCGTAAATGAAATTTCCTCTTATATTATTTGATGTTTAATAATTTACTTAAGGAAGATTTTTGTGTTATTTTAAAGCATAAAAAATTTTCTCTTCCGTATATGTCATTTTTTTCATTTGTTCAACGTTTTGGACTCTTTGTCCATCTTCAAAAACATTTCATTTCATTCTTAGAACATCATAACGTTATCAATATTCTTACTTACTAATTGATGTTGTTCTCTTAGACCAACACCACTTAGATTGTCCCTAAATTTCTTTTTCATTCTTCGCATATGTCCTTCCAAGTCCATATTCAAAAATGTCTTCTTATATTATTTGATGTTTAATACTTTATTTACTTAAGGGAGATTTTTGTGTTATTTTAGGTATAAAGCATGAAAACTCTTCACTTCATTCGTTCTAACAGTGAAAAGAAATGTATCTGAAGATGGACAAAGAGTCCGAAAAGTTTGACAGATGAATAACTTGACTTAAACGGAAGATAAAAGTTTTCTTGCTTTATACCTAAAATAACACAAAACTCTTCCTTAAGTAAATTTTTAAACATTAAATAATACAAGAAGGATTTTTTTTTAATATGGACTTGGAACGACTTATGCGAAGAATGAAAAGCGAATTTAGGAACAATCTAAGCGAAGTGTTAGAACAACCTCAATTAGAATGTAAGAATATTAATAACGTTATGATATTGTAACAGTGAAAAGAAATGTCTCTGAAGATGGACAGATGAATAAATTGACGGGAGAGAAAGGTTTTCATGCTTTTTATCAAAAATTTCCATTTCTTCATACATTTTTTCCATGATTTATCTAGAGAGGATAATCTTGAAAATTAAGGCTGTCATTGGATTTGTCGAAGAATCAACGATGATAAAAATAATATATCATATTATAATATAGATAATAAACCGATTACTGAGCTAATACCTTATGTAGGTCATTCCATCCTCTTTCTCTCCCATGTATTGGACACTGGTATCATATCAACCTTCCCTCCTCTCCTCTCTTCCCAATATTTTCTAATTACTGGTTGCTTTAGTTTTTGATGGCTCGTGGACAGTTTCGTTTGATTATAACTAGTGATTGGCAAATGAGGCAAAGAAAAGCCTGTTCATTATAGATATTCCACCCTTTTTATCAGAAGGTAGCCGTAGCCGTGATGGATAACTATATTTTTATTGGCTTGAACTGTCTTTTTTATTTGTATTGAGATTATTGGCCTCACTAGCTTTGCCCCGCGGTTTTAACCGGCTTAAGTTTCATTTTAATTGTGTATTTTTCCTCAAAGTAGTATCCTAGATCCTAGGTGTGTCTTTTACACAGTTTATACAGCTGACATTCCAACCCATCCCAACATCACCACCTATGCCGATGACACGTGTATCCTATCAGTTAACAACTATCCATCAATTGCATCCCAAACTCTCCAATCACACATCACAAGTCTTGAATAATGGTGTCAAAACTGGAGGATTAAAATAAACTCCAATAATTCCCATCAAATTACTTTTACCCTTCGTTGCAAACCTATGACTTTCTGCTTTAGTTTATCCTTTAACAATACCCCACTTATCCCTGTTGAACAAATCCTATACCTAGGACTCCATCTGAACAAATGACTCACTTGGAATCCTCATTCCAGACTGAAACGACAAGAAACCGCTCGACGTTTTCGGCTACTCCAGCACTTACTAGACAAACGCTCTAATCTTCCAATTACTCAAAAAAGACTTATATATATATATATATATATATATATATATATATATATATATATATATATATATATATACTATAATAAGGCCTATTTGGACTTACGGAATCGAGCTTTGGAGCTCTACTAAAGCATCGAATTCCTCTCTTATTCAATCCTTACAATCCAAAATCCTTCGTAAAATCCTCAATGCAGCTTATTTTGTCACAAATAAAATCATCCATAACGACTTTAACGTACCATATGTTTCCAATTTAGCCCAATCCAGATACCTACCTATCCTTCCATAATAAACTTCTGAACCATCCGAACCTTCTTATTTCCAATCTTGCTTCCTCTTCTATTCCTGATAACCCTTCAAGGCATCTGAAGAGAAGATGGCCTCGAGACCTTCTAATATAGAATATTAATTTGAGTTCTACCTATGGGTAATTTCTCTTAATGTTGTGCATGCAATGTCAAATTTACTTGTTGTATTTTTATATAATATAGTTGTAAATTTCATTAAAATAAAAAAAAAATCTGTATTTCATGGATATTATGAGTATATGATCAAATTCATGCACATTCAAAATAAAAAAAATGAATTAAATAATAACCCAATATTCTTCTTTTCTCTACATTTTTTACTACCATAAAGTCGAGTTTAGGAAAATAGTAATTACTCAACTAATTTAAAATAAATAATAAATAACATATTTAATAATAATCTTTCCGTGTAAATATCCACGAGAGGCTATCTAGAAAGAATGGAATTCATTGTTGATAACGTGCGACATTTTTTTAAAGGTATGAATCGAGGCAATGATATAAAGTTTACTACATTTAAAGTAAAGTTCCACAAATGGAAATCAAAGCGAAAAGTGGTTATTTTACGTCGTCTACGCATAGACCACCGCGATTTTCCACATGAATACCTTTTGTAAAAATCAGTCACCCATTTTCAGTGTTCGATCAACATGGCTGTGAAATACACAATAATAGATAACCCCAACCACAAAACTATACGCTCTGAAATGAACATACCAAGAAGTGTCGTTTCCCAAGACAGTGAAAACGGAACGAATTATGAACTAATTGAAGAAGATTGGTCTCTATCAAGAAATATGGTAAAAACAAATTGTACTGTGGATAAAGGGGATAGATATAATAATAATAATAATAATAAACGGATGGAAGCATTGTATTATTTACATTTCATACTCAAATTGTAAACATAAACGAATCAAACGTTTTCTCCCATGTGGCATGTGGCAAAAGGCGAGACCACAGACCACAGTGCTTCTCTCCTAGTCATGTCACAGCCATTGAAAATAAAAATGAATTATAAAACCATATGGACTAAATGGCCCATGTCACAATACTTAATTTTCCATTACTATAACCTCTACTCATAAGTTGATGATATGATATTATTTTTTATATTAAAATAAGGTATATAAATATACAATGGTTATGGAAATAATTAATGGCCAAATGTAATAAGGCTATGATGTTTTTATTTGTTTATTAAAAGGTTACTTCCTTTAAAACGGCCTAAGGGATGAAACGTTGAAATAAAGTAGGTCTATTTGGATCTAATGTCTGTTTTTATTATTACAAATAAATTGATGTCTTAATCAACAATAATGAAATTTATATATTAATAAAAAAATAATTCGAAATTTAGGGTTATGAAGAATTAGTCACCATAACTATTCACTTCAATAACTTAATGAACTAAATAAAGTCAACTAATTCTATACACTACAAATTAAAAAGTTGAACTTTTTTTTTTAAATTAATCATTGAATCCTAGCCTTTGAGTAAAGTTACATTACCCAACGAAATAGATTTATCAAAAATTTTTTTTCGTGCAACCTCGTTTTTTATTAAATAAAAATAAATTAGATTAAATTGTTTTCGGTCATTGTATGAAGTATTTTATATCTTTCATTAAATTAAAGACTAAATTTGAACACTTTTTTTTTCCCAATTCGAACTGCTCATCGTATTTATATTTTTAAATATATTTTAATGTTCTCATTTCACGTTTTAAGATAATAATTTTTATTTGTAATGTCAAAACAATGAATATATTCATAAATATTTCAGTTTACGAACTTCAACTAATTCCCAAGGACAGTAAAGAAACCTCTAATATCGAAAATGAGCACTATTTCAAGAAAAAGCATCGAAAATTAGTAAATGCTATCTACATAAATTAAGATAAGAAAAAAAAATGTCTATAATTATAAATTTGTCGAATATCGTGATAAGGCATGGTCTTCCATTAAGAGTGGTTTAAAAATACTTGAACTACAATAGATTACAAGCGATCATCTAATAATACACTGACCCCAAATCTGTCCAAGCGTCTTCCCTGCTGATGCAATCTTCTACGAGAGCAGCGTCAAGTTTTCAAACAGAAGAAGAAAGCTAGCATTCCTTTTCAAAACCAATTTTGGAGGGCCAATTACTGCCATAACCCCAAGCTTACACTCTTGCATCATCAAGTAGGATTCTCCTTATATTCAAACTACAATAAGAATACTTGGCTTGTAAATACACAGTATTTGGGAACATTGGAAATCTATCCTTTTAATGTTTATAAGTTAAATTTTAACAAAGTGATAGTTTAAATACCAATTTAAAAAAGTCAATAAAGTCATTAATATATAATGAAAACATTGCTTTATTGTCAGAATTCCTCAAGTACAAATAAATAAAAAACTAATTTGTGTAAACTCTAGCTTGCTTACTTCGTTGCGAAAGGAAGGGAAAAAGTGAATTAAAAATCGTAAATTCCCTACCGGGAAAAAGTACTTGAGGAAAACTATATCTAAAAAAACGTGCGTGACGTAGAATCAGTGGGCTTTCCATGAGTAGGGAGAATGATTTTAAAAGACTTTCTTGGAAAAGTTTATAAAATTTTTTAAGAATTAGAAAGTTCTTCAACCTTTACCATTTCTAAAAATAATGCATTATGCCATGTATTCTCGTTTTTTTGTTTGTTTTTTTTAAAGAATATCTCACTTCAACAATCTTAATAAATATAATTTCAGAGACTTAATAACATATTCAATATTCCAATAACAATATTTCTTTTCTCGGTTATAAATATTTATTTTTATTAACTCATATACATATATTATTTTTTTATAATATAATAACAATCATATTTCATGAAAGAACTCACTATCTGAATCTGGAAACCATATGATCAAGAACCACCTTGTCCAAAACGGGAGCAGCTAATTTTTATTTTTTAGAAGCTACTACAAAGATCAAAATAATATTTAAAATATATATATTTTTTTACTAAAATAAAATAATATATTTATAATATGTACGTATGTTTATATTATACATAGTATTTAGGTACGTTTAATCAACCTCCTAATCTAAGAAAAAATAAGTAGATTTTTTTTTTTACTTTTTATTGTAGTTTAGAACGAGGTACTTCATATCACACTAATAAATTTTGTTTCTTAGAAATGCTAGTTTTGTTTCTGAATAAATGGGATAATTTTTTTTTTTAAATATATACTTGCTATTGGGTTTATTATTGTTGGAAATTTCATAAATCGCTAAGATATATATAAAATCAGATTTTATTCCTTCACCAAGCAGCCAACGTTTTCCTCATATGAGTTGTTAGAAATGCAACATGACGTACTATATTGTGCATATCTTCCCTGTAGCCAATTTCTTTACATATTCCGTGAACTAATTACATGTATCATTTTTCTACTGTGAGAAGAGACAAAAATAAAATAAGTAAATATTATTTTTTATAGCCACGACATAAAAACTTTTTTCAATCACGATTACGAAACATTACAAATTTACGTTTCAAAGCAAAAGCAGAAGAGACTAAAGATTTGCGAATTAATTTAGACTATGTAGAACAAATAATAAGTAAAATTGTTTCAAAACATTGCATTCCATGTAGAAATAACGATAACGAGTTAGATAAATAATTTATAACTATCAATTATATCAACGCATATATATTTTCTTAATGTATGTTGTAATATATATATATAAAATGATAATTAATAAATGTTAAATTATAAGTCCAGAAGTGAAGAAGTAGAGGATGATCTTCTTGTTCCTGCATAATAAATGAATCTGCTTCACCATTTTAAGCAGATTCAAAAGAAAACCTAGCTAAGTGTAGTTTTTATAATAATATTTTATATAAAAATGAAGAACTTAGTTTTCAAATTCCATCTATTTATATCCAATAATTTTTAACATTGTTTATTTTTGAACAGTAAGTTGAAAAACGGTAAGATGTAGGTGCATATCAAAAATTATTCCATTAATATATATTTTTAATCTTAATTAGGAATTTTGAATTATGATTCTAATCTGACACTGTGGTCGTGTTTCCACTCTATTTTTTAAATTTCTTTTTTTATTAGTCAGATTTCTCTTTTTTCTCCTCAGAATGAAAAATATTTAAAAATCTCTTTCACTCAAAAATGTACAAAAGAATATGTAATATTGATTGTAACTACTCGTTTTATGTCTGTTTTACTTACATTATTTAAATAGATTAAACATTGCTCAGATTGGACTCTGATCGATAAAATCATTTCCCTTTTTTTTTTTCTCCTCTTAACCTTGGAATTTTCCTAAAAAGGAAACTTCACCAAGGTGGAACCCTTCCCTGATTTTGGTAAATACTTGAGACTAGCAGTCCCTAAACTCAGCACTGAACTCTTCAATGCCAATGGATCCTTCCCTAAAATGGATGAAAAGATGTCATCGATGAGCTCAGCGCTGAGGTTAGGAACTTCCCCATTGCTCCAGTAGTGATTAGATGGAGGTTATACTTGCTTACCGAACTGGTCAGATCAGTTAATGTACTGTGAGCTGCGCAGGTTTTGAATATATCAAATAATGTTGGTTGTGTATTATTAGATTATATCTTAATTTTTCGCGTTTATCAATTGCCTTTATTCGATTCTAAAGTTCTACAAGATTCTCCAGACAAACCATACATAACTCTTAAAATATGCACTGTATACTTGTATTTGACCATCTTAATGATATTGTGTTTTCTAAATGCGATAAAAATTTTGTTAAGCATATAGAGAAACTGGGAGAGAAAAATGGATTAACTTGCCCTGATCCTGAGGTTAATATTTTGTTTAATTTTCTAGTGGAGTTAGTATTAGTGGTATGTATTGATTACATAATCTGTTTTTAGAATGGAGATGAAGACTTCAACTTAAATTTTGTTATGCAATTATTTTCACCGATAGTTACTTCCCAAAGAATAATGAGTTCCCAATTCGGGAACTCTTATACTTCTATTCAATGTCAAGATGGAATAAACATGGTTTTCGATGAGGTAGTGTGAATGATAAAGAAATTTATTTTTTAGTTTATTTTAGTATTATGTTAACTACTCCTGTTTTTTTAGTACATGGGGTATCTATTTGTTAATTTGGCCTTTGAAGACATTCATTGGTTGAAAAGGATGTTGGGAATATGTATTTCCATTGTGCAACATTTATGTGGTCCTGATGTCTCCGTGTAAGTCTCAAAATAATAATACCCTTTTATAAATTAATTAAAGATGTGAAATTCATGCATATTTCTTTATTCTAGACTCAAAACAAATGCAAGCCGTAGTATGTTAGTGATGAGGCTAATAGATACATGGGCAACACTAGTTTCGAAAGACCAGTCTGTTCTATTAGAAGCACTAGAGCAACTGTTCGTCAACTCAGATGTCAATGGCACAATAATCAAAGCCTTGAAAGATTCGACTGACAGAATCAAAACTCTCTTGAATTACAGTAAATCTCATGCTGTTATATTTGTAGAAAACAGGTTTCTCGGCCTCTACTCGAGGTGATTAAAATATAATTTTTTATTTAGGATTTTAGTTTAAAATATTTAATTATGATAGTTTAAACATATTATCTATGAATTTATATTTTTTCTCTTATTTTAAACACTTTTAGTAAAAGTGCAAGAGAGCTAAGCAGTTCTGACCTGCTGTTTTTGGGTCTTATGGCTGAAATGACATTGAATCATTTTTCTGTTGAAGAAGGCATTAGTGTAAATGAAGGAACATCCAGTGATGATCGACCAAGTCCGACAGATAGCCCTAATTCTGAAAGAAAAGCAATGATTAAACCATGCAGTAAGTATTGTATTAATGCATTTAATCCTATAATCAATATTGGCCTATTGATTAAAATAATTGTTGGGCAAATTCTTGATCTTAATAAACTACCGATTATAATTTGGTCACAAGTACCTATCCTAGATAGAGTTTCAGCTGATTAGGATGCTGTAGTTATGATGTGGTGCTTGGAAAATAATTTTTTATGTAGGCTTTTGCTAGACAACAATATTTTCCATTATATAAGGCACAGAAAAACTGAATGGATACATCAGTTAAATAAATATCTTCAGATGAGGTTGAAATTGGTCAACCTACACATATTGTCTGAATAAACTCAAGAGCTTCCACAATATAACAATAATAAAAACATTTGACTATTTTTAAAGGTATAAGAGGAGATAATTTTTAAACTTTAGAAAACTGCCATTCACCTGTCATAAAGTGTCTACTTGTATGGTTAAGATACTTAAATGTTTTCCACCAAATCACTGAGTTTACGATTTTGAAAAAAAAAACATCATTATGAAATGATATAATTACAAAATGATAATATTGCATTATAAAATAAGAAAAATATAACTTACTAAAAAAAAAAATGTATACAAGAAATCAAGTAATATACCATAGAGTTGTTTTATTTTATAAAAGTATCATTAATTATTATCTGATTCATTCATGTACTGATTGAAAGTTATATCAAGTAGGAAAATGCAGTCTTAAAATATATTTTATAAAAAAAATAATTATGTGTGTGTTTAAGTCAGTTTCTTAGTTTGATTGCACAATAATTTGTGGAACTTAATTTGATTAATAAGTTAGATTAGTTCTTTAGATAATCTTAAAAGTTGAAATATGTAAACTATTTTATTTTCAACCCTTCTTTCTATTATGTGTAATGGTGGGACATTATACAATTTTAACGTTAATTTATGCACAACCGTGTATAACTTTTCATAACTATCTTAGACCTCCAGTACCAGGTGTCTTCTATCTTCTTGTCTTTCCAGTGCTGGTCCACTTCATCTCCTTAGAGCTCCATTGCTAAGCCCTCCTCTCCCCCCCCCCCCCAATCTTCCATACATAAATAACTTTTTAGCTATTCATCATTATGCTAGCCACTAACCTCTTCTTTCTTCAACTGGTAATGGTTATCAATTCCCTCCTTCAGTATTAGATATATCACATTGTTACAGTAAAACTTGAATAAATCAGAATCATGGACAGTATGAATTTTTCTTTAGGTCCTTGTTTTATCTATCCAAAACAAAGTAAAAAAAAAATATATATATATATATATATATAATATGAAGTTTTGATTCTATCATCTAATATTTTATCCCCTTGAGAAAACTGCAAATATATATATTTTACAGAATTATAAGATGAGGTTCATTTATCAATGAGAAAAAAATATTAGTAAGCAGTAACAGGTTTTTTGTTAAAAGAATTATGTACTATATTGATAGATCTCATTAATTCACATTTATTAAAAAAATGTGTATAGAGGATATCAATGGACCCAGTGATCATAATAGACTTATATATATATTAAGTAATTAATGATCGACTAACAGAGATAGACGAATAACAAGTGCAAACAGATCTTTCTTCTCTCTTTCAAGGGAACTGAAATCCAGAAAAATCTGCAGAAATCTAAAAATAATGGTGTACACCGCCTTGATTAAGCCAGTTCTGCTGTATGGTTGTGAAACCTCAGCTCTAACCGGCACATTAGAAGCCAGAATTGAGAAATTTGAAAGAAAAGTTCTACATAGGATAACAGGACCTATATGGGACCAGAACCTTGACACATGGAGGAGAGGGAACAATAAAGAACTGCTGAAAGAAACGAGTCAGTCAATATCTCAAGATTAGCTGAGGTGGAGAAGGCTATTCAGGCGGCCAAAGATCTACAAGGTCTGTAGAGCCAAGCGAAAAAAAAAAAAAAATATATATATATACATAGGGGATTGGGTAGCCGTATGGGCTAAGGCGCTTCCAATAGGTAATCAAAGTTAAGCAATGTCGAGCATGGTTACTACTTGGATGGGTGACTGTCCCCCAGGGAAAGCCCATGATGCTGCCCGAATCTCTCCACCTCCCCCTTCCTAGCATGTGAGGCCCATCAGTCTACTGGAGGCAACTCACACTGACCGGTCGTAGGACTGATGGCTCTACCCCGTGTGCTTAAATAGGGAATCAGGATGTGGTTTACCAGGATGCTAATAGCTCCTGAGGTTCGGTCCATGGACGGTCTGTTTCGAGGAAAGAAATCTAGGTCTTTGTGCACCTGCTAACTCCGAGCAGCCATAATCCATGGATCTAGACCAATTTGTCTCTGTACTTGAACCCGAGTGAGTCAGTGGGACACTGCCTGATTGGCTCCAAAGGGATCGGCTATGGGTGGCCTGCCACTGAACTATAGAGACCATGGTTCGTAGCAACGTGAAGTTGGGTGACCCCTCCAGGCTACCTGAGCTCCCACAAGCAGCATACGTCTGTAAGGAGACCACATTTCATGACCAAAGATCTTCATGATCTTTAGTGCCAACTGAAAAAAAAAATGCTGCAAATTATTTCACAATGGTTTATTATTTCCAAACAATTGTACATCTAAAGTAACCTTACCTTCCTAGTTACAAAGAAAAATAAACAAAAGGTGATTCCAATTATTGGAATAAACTTTTTTTTTAATCATTGGTAATAGGCTAAAAAAAAAACAGCATTACTTCAATAACACATTCAAAATTTAAAAACCAAACCAAGTATATAACATTTGGAGTAGAACATATAAAAAAAACCGGAGACCATATCTTTGCTCCTAATTGTCCGATTTTAACGATTTTTTTTTTTGTTTTTTAGGAAATTTCGAACTTTTAAAAAACTATATACAATATCAACAAAAAAATATAAACTTTTCGAGTTATTCGGAATTTAATTTTTCCATCCCTCGTAACTTTTTTCCCAGCTTCTTTTCGTTGAAGTATGTTATATAGATAAATTTAAAGGGCGTTGAGAAAATGACTTTAGCGAAGATTCATTGAAATCGGTACATTCGTTTAGGAGCTACAGTCTATAGCAACGCAGGTTTTTCAGCCGCCATTTTGAAAGTAAAAGGCGGATAGTAATGTCGATGAAGGATCATCCTCGGGTGACCTCTGATTTTATATCAAAATTTGAAAAAAATCGGTCCAGTAGTTTCGGAGAAAATGCGCAGACGGCGGACTAACAAAAAAATTTGTATTCGTTTTTCGAATTCTATGCATCCTGAAACATGAAACCTCAAATTTTGAGAGGGGTTTAAGTTTTTGAAATTTTTGGTCGATCACAATGGTTGATTATTGAAAATAATAAACCAACATATATAATATCAATTAGTATTTTACTCCTACCTATATACATCTATATATAAATTAATATTTCTCTCTGGTAGGAGTAAAACCAAACCAAAAAAGGAAATGCTTATTTAATTCAAAACCGTGGATAGTTCAAATATTTTCAGTAGTCTTTTCAACTTCAAATCATACAAGTTCCTTTGTACCATATTATAGATTAAGTCCTCTTCCTTTCCCCTATAGAAATAATTTAAAATTTATGTAAGCTTTATTTAGCAAACTGTTGTTTGTTTTATGATCAATAGTTAATATTAATGGCATTTTCTACCTAATTGTTAATTTTAGATATGAAATGTTTATTTGGTTGCCAGAGAAAATGTTTTTGTCTGAAATGACAACTTTCTCATTTCCTGAGTAAATTTATTGATTGATTTATTATACAGTATTAATATTTCATTCATTCTGATTATATTGATAAAATATAAAATTAATTTTTAAATTGCATTCTTTTTTCATGGTTTTTGAAATTTATCATGGATTTTTTCGTTATATTAGTTAGAATTATACATTTCCAGGCCAAATTGCTGAAAAACCAGAGGATAACCTATTCAGTGACCTAGTCCTCCTTTCAGCAAACAATAATATTGCAGTTTGTCCGTATGTCATTCATATTGCACCTATTGCTGAAGGCATAACATTGATACTGCTTTATCAGGTAGCATAGTTAAGCAGCGTGGTAAAAAATATATAATTAACCTGTTTTCAAATCCTTAATTATTATTTCTTTTTTACCTAGACACAATGGGAATCTCTTAATTTGACTCTGAATGATGCTCTCAGTGCTATTAATGTTATTACATGTGTGTCATATAACGAAAAGGAAGGAATAAAGAGAGGAATGGAAAGCCTTGAATCAGCTATGAAAAAACTTTTGGATGTCATTAAGAAAATAAAGAGTTCTGATATTACACCCCGCTTGGATGCTTGTATTAAAGTTCTTCAAGTTAAATGGGACCTTCTCAAAAAGTATGTTGAAATAATTGTATTTATAAATTCATAGAATCTTATAATCATTATATAAAGAGGCAAAGGCAAAACAGATCAGTTTGTTTTCTCCTATGTTACTCAACCGATTTTCTTTTTTTGTTTAATAGCTATCAATGAGCTTTAGTGTTGGTATTAAAAAAAAGACTTAGGAAACATTATATATATAAATAAAAATTTAATGTAAGTCTGTTCAAAACCACTAAGCCACAAAAGTTCTTCAGGAGTGTAATTGTAATTCAGGAGTATTTTTATATACATTTCATTTCAAAATGAAAGATCAAAAAACAATCTACAGTCACTGTATTCAGGAGTATTTTTATATACATTTCATTTCAAAATGATAGATCAAAAAACAATCTACAGTCACTGTAGATTATTAGAGTGCCAAAATGGCTGTAATGATTTTAATGGCACTAGGCTCAAGTGTTCTCCTTGAAGCCCTTTCAATTCTATATGTATACAACATGCTTCCCCGGAAATAGACTGCAAAAAAAAACGTAAGGATGGATTCAGAATTTTATTTGTGAATAACTCAAGAAGTTCACAATTCTTGGTTCATTAAACCAATGAATATTCGAAAGCTTCCTGAATTCTCTACCAAATGGGAGAAGGGGAATCATCAAAATTAAAAAAGGTCATTTCCGAAAAAATATTTTTAAAACATTTTTTTGGATTTATATTTTTTAGGAGAGCTCTATCATGACAATTTCTATTTGGCATATTGCTATAGTATAAGTACAATGTTAAAATTCATAAAATTACCTATTTATTTAGTTTTATAAAATGTTGCTTAATGACTTTTTGCAATTAATGGATGGTGTTCTATATTTATTTATAGTAAAAATCTTTAATTTTATTTATTTCGAATATTTAAGGCAGTATAGTGAAGGGCATGAGATGGCTATTAGCTCATGTGCCTCCAGCCTTGGAGTTTCGCTGAGGGAGTTGCTTCAGGCAGCGTCACTAGATCGAACACCAGTTCAAAGGGGACGCCATGCAGCTCAGGCGATAGCTCGTTGTGTCTGTACAGCAGTGTCACATTTTACAGATTTTCTCAAGGTTAAAGCTGTGACCAACTTCTCTCTTGGATCATATCCTTTTAGTACCTTTTGTTTAAAGTCCTTGTGTATGCTTTATTTTATTTTTTATCAATTTGTATGTCATGTCTTATTGTTATAATTTGGAGGAGGGGATTTTAAATTGTTTTCTTATCATTTCGGCTTGTATTTTATTAAAACAAAAACCATTTTAAATATATATATATATATATATATATATATATATATATATATATATATATATATATTATATATATATATATATATATATATATATATACATATATATATACATATAAGGTGCTTGCAATAGGTTACCAGGTTAAGCAATGCCATGCGTGGTTAGCACTTGATGGGTGACTGCTCAATGTGGATGGCCTTCTGCATAACGAATTATGGAAGAGTATTAGTTTGTTGTTTGACTACCTTGTTTTAAGAATATTACTAAATAAAACTTCCTAAAATTTTATATTAAGTGAGTAATTGATCATCTTAAGAAAAATAGATCGGTATTCAATTTATAGTTGGTTATATATTTTGTTTTAAATAAAATATAAAATAAATTTTAAATTAAATTAACATTGTTTCTTAAAAAGTATATTTGTTTAATAATTTTAAGATTTTCTTATTTAATCATTGATTTTTTTTTTAATTTATGATTTTTTTAATTCATTACAGTAATGACCATTGTTTTCAAAATATTTCCATTTGCTTAAACATTACTGCCCTATATTTACTGTAGATTTAAATTTCTTTTTAATCTTTAATGATTGCCATTGATGGATCATCCAGTAAATGCTATGTTTCCATTTTGTAAAATTAAATAAATATATTGATTTTTATAAAATGACCCAAAGTCTTACTTATAAACATACTAAAAATATTTAATCAAAACTAAATACAAAATTTTCATTTATTCCTGTTCTAAAATTAATACAGTATAAAATTATTTATTACATGCAGTATCTTCTATATATAATAAAATTTATCATTCCTAATCAAAAGTATTCAGCTAAATGCTTAATTGTTCATAATTTTGTTACTGCTGCATTTTTAAGCATTGTGTTACACAGTCTTGTGTTTCTGTAGGTGAGCATTATGAAATTTAAATTGTTTGTTGTGTGATGCTTTAAAAATAATTTTTGTGCAAGCATATGAAGACGTACTTATGTACTTTCCAAATGATCCTACTTTAAGTAGTAAAATATTAGTTTATTTAAATTCAAACTTGTCAAAGCATAACTCATACTTCTAAATGTGCTTTAAAAATAACGTAACTTCCATTGAAATAATGAGTAGTTAATATAATATTAATAAGTTGTTGTTTTGTTTTTTTTTTTGCCATTTTATATTTGAACTGTTTTCTTAAAAATTATGATTTAAAATTTCTCCTAAAATTTTATTACTTAGAAGCTTGCTTAATTGTCTATATATCAATGACATAAATTTTTGAGTGAAAAATGTTGGTTTTCAAGTTGTTAATTATTTAATATTAATTTATAGAAATAATATATGTCATTTTATATTAATCTTTTTTATCTACTGAAAGGATTTGAAATATGATTCTAATATGATCAGCAAGTTTTATATGTTAAATGTAGCCAAAGATTATAAATTATTTAATATGAGATTTTCAACAAAAGATTAGGAAAAGTAAGAGGTTCTAATGTAAAATCAGATCAGCCTTGGTTCTTAAATTTCATGAAGGAGGCTCTTCCAAAAAAAAAAAAAAAAAAAAGCAAGATGTGAAGCAACCTTACTTTTAAAAAAATCATGATAAAATAGAATGCAATAGCTATAAACATGAGTTACTTATTTCAAGCATGATTATTTTTCATTTCAATTATTAGTAGTAAATTATTATTTTATTTGAACTTTAATAAAATTTAATTTTAAAACCAACATTTTTTAAAATTTTAAATAAATATTGATGCTGTTAATATTGAGTTTTATTTGCTTTTACTTTTCTCACTTTCTTTGTCTTTGTTCATTGTTATTAACCAAGTATAATAATTCTTAACCGAATTCACGCGTGATTCCCTGAGCATTAACAAGTATTTGGAAGAGTTTCCCGGGCTCGTCCATTTTCTATATATCGACCGAACCAACCATCGGTTAACAGCTCCTTCACTTCAAATGCAGCCACCTGAACCTCCTTTACCACAGTTGACAAAAGAAAAGGTAATTAATTCTTCAATGTTAAATATGTTATTTATTTTGGCTTATGAATGTTAATGTTTAAAAATTATCCAGAATGTTTAGAAATGTCATACCAGAATGGGGTATGGCTGACTTCCACAGCAGCCTGCGGTTCCACACACTCTCCAAAATGTTCCTAAAAATTTGGTGTCTATTACTTTGTACCAATATAATTTATAATGTTTGATTTTAATTTGTAATTATTCATATAAGTATTGTCGATCTCAATTATTATTCATTTTTTAATATGATTAAGGGTTGGCTTAAATATATTAATATTGGCAGCTTCTATGAACTTTAATCATTTGAAGATTTCTGTTGTAGGTAATCACAGATATTATCTAAAATGTGATAACACTGATATTGATTATGATTTTACTAGTTAAATTTCAGTTTGTCTTAATACATTCCTTTATTTCTCACATATACCATGCCTTGATCAGATAGATGTTTTTAGTTCATACTTTATTCAGAGCCTGCAAATGAAGTTGTGCGACAAAACAAAGTTATAACCAACAAAAAATATTTATCAGAATCTTGAGTATTAATGTTCTATAATTTCCACTACCCACAATAGGATAGTTGACAATTATATATTACAATATGTCCTAAAATGACCAACTTTTTTAACATAGAAGTTTTCAGTCCTCATTATTAATATTATATTAAAAATATCCATGAAACCAAATTCTACTAGGGGATTGAGTATAACAGGCAGATACTGTTTTATTATTTAGTTCAACTACCGATGGTGCGTCCTTACACCCTTTATGAGATTTCATTACTCTGATCTCAATGTTATTTATTTTCTAGAAAGTGAGGCAGTCAAGAGGTAATTTGACGAGAAAAAACAAAAAGTTTAGCAGAACTAAAAAAAGAACAATAACTACAAACTGACTTAACAGAAAGCATCTACAGCTTGATGGTAGGGAAGGAGCTTGGACACTGCAGCCCTTTCTTTAGTACTGAATGTAGGGAAGCCTTGTTTTCATAGATGGAAATTAGAAAACATTATCGCCAAAATTTTCATTTATTTTTCAAACACTAACAACTTATGTAATGGTACAGGTGTTTTTTTTATTCTTATTGGTACAATTTTTTTTAAGCAGATATACTTGCTGATTAAAAATCTTAGTTGTTATAAAGTTTCTTTTTGTCAAGTAATTTTTTTTTATCAGTGATAGATTATTCTTTTGTTTTTCTGTACAAATTTTGGATGAGATGCACTATAACCCAACTTCATATGATACATATTTTTCTTTTACCAGATATGGACAATGGTTGAATTCAGCCGGCATCATTTACTTGAAGGGAACCTTGCATTGATGTGGAGGGACACCACATTTTCTTATGCTTATTATCTCTGGTTTGAAGATGGGGCAGTAAGTGTGCTTTCCATATATGCATATGAATAATTTTGAAATTTTTCTTATTTATAAAGCATTCCATAACCCTGAAATTGGCTAATAAGATGAACTATTGCCTTAAACATAGTAAAACAAATTGTATAAAATAAATTTTTAAAAACTTGCCTACGTACATATGTGACGGAAATCGTTGTCATATTAACTTCATGCCCATAAAAGCAAGTTCACTAAACTAACTTTTTATTAAATGTGAAACATCTTTAAAAGTATATAAATTTGTCTTTTTGATCCTATTCCTTGAAAATGTTTGCTACAATCTGTTTTCCATTTTTTACAGAAACAAAGTGAATTAATTAAATAAATATTGTGTTTTGTGTTTTGCTGAGTGATCAAAACTTCCGTATGAAAGGCCCTGGGTCATGGAGAAAAACCAAAGGCTCCAGAAGCCAAATTTACACTATGCATTTTAATGTGGGAAATAAACTTTCTTTAACATGTTTAAATAATGAAATTTGGTTTTTCTATAAAGACTCATTGAAATCGTGAGGAAGCTATACTGACCCACTTGGCAGACTTTTATTCTTACAATTTTTAAATTATTAGAAAAAAAAATCATAAATACTGGATTTTATCACTTTAAAAAACCCTTGTACAATTTCTATATCTCTGCTATAAATCAATTTAATAGTATTAAATTGATATAGTATAGTATACATTAATTTTCCAATGTTTAAATTTTATTGGGTATTATTATTTTCAATAGTTAAGGTTATAATTTACATATTTGTTTACAGGGATCAGCCATTAAACCTAAAGTTAGCCCGGCTACAGCAATAAAAACATTACCTCTCCCTGGAGTATTTAATGGGGACTTTTATCAGTAAGTTTTTATAATTTTATTTATACGTATAAATATAATGTTCAAAGAAGTAATTTAAATTATGTTTATTAGGCGCCTTATCGAAACTTGCTTCCCGAAAAATCAGAGCAATAAAGTGAGATGTTTTGAACTTTATTGTGTTCACATTGGTCTGGCGACATCTTCTTGTGTCCTAGAGCAATCTCGTAGAATAGCAGCCACCATATGTGAAGTAACTGGAGTGCCAAGCAATCCTCTAGATCTTCTTTAAGAAAATTGCTCTTTAGTTTATATCAAGTTTAATTCCAGCTCATATTTAATGCCAAAGAATAAGCTAACAGTCCAATTTATTTTTTGTAGATTAATGTACTTGATTAAACTGTAATGTTGATATTTTGTAATATTCAAATGTGATTTATTGAATGAACACCATGATTATAGAGTACAAAATTTTTCTATGCTAAATGGTTGTGCAATAATAATTATGGAATCAAGTATTTTTCGTATATTGTAAATATTTATTTTTTTGTTTTGTATAATTTATTATTTATGTGTTGGAAATGTTTAAAATTAATATAATGCTTCCAATTTTTTATATATATATATGTAAAGTACCTTTTTAAAGAAATAAAGACGTTAAAATAATTTTCTTATTTTATTTTATTTAATTGCTTACTCCCTACTAATTAAATTAATCCAACAGTTCAAACATTGTGAGATATATATAACGTTGGCTTGACAGATCAGTTCCGAAAATGTTTTTGAGCTATAATTTATTTATTTTTTCTCCCCTTTATAATTTCCAGGTGCGTTTATAGTAATGTTTAAATAGTTGCAAACATTAAATATGATGGTTTTGATTTGATTCTATTCTTAAAAAAGATTTAATTTCAACTGTTTAAATAATGTATGACAAATCTTCATTTGAGTGGCCTTATATCAAAGACAGACATCTGTCCTTTTTAGAAAGTTGAGAAAAAAACAATTTTTGAAACATGGCTTCAATTGAGACCAATTATAATGATTGATTTTCATAATTCAATTTAATATTCTTAAATAAAATTTTCAGAAATAGTTTTGAGTTGAACCTATAAAACAAAATTTACTTTTTCTCCACTTTCTGAAAATGACAGATGTTAGTCTTTGATATGAAGCTAGTCATTTGTACTGAGACTAACATGGAATCCACATACCAGACTATAAAGACAAGAACTTAACCGACGATTTGGCCAGTTATAAAGACTACTTAACAGAAAATCTAACCTCTCAATTGAAAACAAACTATTAATATACAAGACCATACTGAAACCCATCTGGATCTACGGACTTGGGAGACAACTAAATTTTCAAACATCAAACGAATCCAATCTTTCCAGTCCAAAGTCCTTCGTACAATAGTAAATGCTCCTTTTTATGTTACAAATAAAACTCTACATCATGATCTTATGTCCTACATTATGATCTACATCCCTTATGTCCTTAACGTTATTCCATCCCGTTTCTCAAATTTTCATTAAAACCTAATCCATCATCACTAATCCCTTCCTAATCACTAATCCATATCCAGCTCCAGCCATCCCTACAATCCTCAATGGTTAAAAAGGCAGTGGCCTCGAGATCTTTTGTAAATACGTCATTGGAATCCTAGCAATGGCCAGCTTCTCCACTCAAGTCATGAGAGTATGTGGCTTTTGCGCCCTTTCTCAGTCTCCACTGGATCTTCATCTCAGTGATGCGGCTGAGAAAGAAGCGCTGGGATCTCTTAGAGTCTTGCCTTATCTTCCACACGTTGGGGAAAGGGCCCGACTTGGAGCTCCCTCAGCTGACTGTAAATATTGTAAATAAGCATGAATGTTTTATTTATTTATTTTTATTTGTGTTATATCATATTTTATTTCATCTGTTTTACTAAGGTTTCTTTTTCTTATTTTTGTAATTGTATATATTGTACCAATGAGTTTCTTATATCTCAAATACTCAATGCCCTTGATTGAGGCAAAATGTATTTTTTCTGAATAAAAAAAAAAAAAAAAAAGTCATTTGTACTAAGCTTTGAATCTGGTATGGGGACACTAAATTTTACTTGGCAGTGGACCCGTGGAATATACTTTAACCCTCTCACTCTAAAATAAGTTAGTAACATGCAGGATAAACCCCATCTCGCGTATCTTAGTTGGGGTCCTCAAAAGCATTATATTCATTATTCAAATTTATAATTAATGCCATCCTCCAAACAAACCAGCATCAGTTTATTGGACTGTGAGAAAGGCAGTAGAGACAGGCCCATGCTTCATCCTTACGATATTCTTTATTGCTTCTGATAAATTATTTCCACATAGTACTCTTGAGGAACCCTCAGCTTCTTCAATAAATTACCATACTGTATAATTTATAGAAAAGGAAAATTCTTTTAGATCAGAAAGGTATCAATACCTTCCTTCTCCTTCTTTATAGTAAATAAAAGTATAAATATAAAAGTCGATTTTAAACCGGTTTTTAGTTTTTTTGCTTTTATTACGAGAGTTTTGATGACAGTCTGCACTAATATGACATTACGATCTGTACTGATGGTGCTTAATCTCGTAAAAAGTTGACTGGCTAGTTTTTTCAGTTACTTGGGTTCGCGTTGAAATATTCCAAATTAAAAGATACCTACTCAATTTTTTTTTATTATTAGAAAAAAGAAATCCTGGAATTCCACTGGAATATTGTTTGTAACCTATCTTACCAATTAGTCACAGTAACATACCAGAAAAATCTTCGAAAAGATATTGTTTAAAAAATTACCTTTATTAGAAAAGCATATATTCTCCAAAAATAATTTTCTCTCATGTTACATTAAATCAAAGAATGGAAGGCTGAAACTTGAGTCAGAACTGTCTTTTTAGAAAAATGAGGGAAACTATGCCATAAGAAATCTAATTTGCAATAATAATTGTTTACAATAAACATTATCAATTTTTTTATCGATTATCACTGCTCTAAAATTAAATTAGCTTCCATCAGAAATAAAATGTTCAATTTAGATAATTTTATTCTGTATCTATGTTTCCCACTAATTAGTTGTTCCAGACACGCTCAGTAAAACTTTTTTTTTTGCTGTTGGCATTACAGACCATTATCTATGTATGTAGATCTTTTTCTGCCTTCTCCATCCTTTTTTTTTTTTCTCCCCTTCATCATCTTTTAGACTATACGGGCCAGGAGAGGAGGGCGGATTAATGCCAGAGTTTAAAGCGCTATCCCCTAGCACCAGAACACCTTGTATTTATTTTTCATCTATAACTTTGGTTATCAGATTACCGGGCAACATACAACGGTATGCACATTTGGTTTTGAGTCTTCCACGTTGTCTTTTGCCTTGTATAGAGGCATTCATTATAGTACAAAGGCTTCCAGAAGGATTGCTCTAATCTACATGCTCTGCCTTATGCCATCTTAACTCAGTAAACTTAGACTAGTCAATTATTTGGTCCTGATATTTTTCCTAATATTAATTTTATTTGTTTTTATCAAAACATTTTTAGCCTTGTCCATACTTCATTATCATTAGGGTCTTTATAAAACATTTACATTTCACGAGGAAAAATATGACACATAATGTATCTTGAGCATTGTGATAAAAACAACATAAGAATTGTTAATAAAAAAAATAGCAGCAAATCATTTACTCTGATTCTAGACAGTTGTTAAGTGTAGATTTATAAATATATTTACAAGATATATTCTTTATAACTGAATTTAAGGACTATGAAAAGGAATAAATATAAATTTTTACTTCAAAATGGAATTGCTCCTAGATGCACATCAACGAATTTAAGTATTTATTGCAAGAATTGTACATATTTTTAATTGGTCCATTATCTTAAATTTTAAACACTCAACACAAGAGCTTTATATCTCAAAGAAGACCAAGCTGATCATATACAAGACCCTTGTTCGGCCTGTTTTGACATATGGCTCAGAGGCTTGGACGATGACTAAAAGGGATGAGATGAAGCTGAGTGTCTTTGAGCGAGGAGTCCTCAGAAGGATTTATGGTCCAGTAAAGGAGGGTGATGTCTGGAGGAAAAGAAAAAATAGGGAGCTCAGTTCTCTCTATGCAGACATCGACGTAGTCACGTATATTAAACTGGCCAGACTAAGGTGGGCAGGGCATGTGGCCAGAATGAGCACCGGTGAAATACCAAAAAAAATAATGATGGAGGAGCTGCACCTCGTAAGACGGGTAGGAAGGCCGAGGACGAGATGGTTGGACAACGTGGCCTATGATGCGAGAACCCTGCTTGGTGTACGGAACTGGAGAGCTGCAGCAGAAGACAGAGCCAACTGGCGGAGGCTCTTGGAGGAGGCCCAGTCTCAGTAACGGGATGTTGTGCCAAAAATGTATGTATGTATTATTTGATAAAAATATGTGCTCATGCAGTCGATTTCTAAAAGCCTTTTCTGCCAATGTTCATAGATTTTTAGACTATTTGAAAAGTAAGGCTGCTGATGTTTAGTTCATAAAACATGATTTATGTACCAAATGTTAGTTTCATTCATTCATTCATTATTGGCACAACAGACGCATGTAGCGGTCCTTGGCTTGCTCAATTTCCTTTGCCCAGTTATTCCTGTTGGCTGCGCACCTGATGTATATGCCGTTTTTTCTCAAGTCTTCTTTTACGTTATCTATCCATCTTGCCTTCGGACTTCTCCTAGACCTAACTCCCTCTGGCTTCCCATGATAAAGCCTTCTCGCTTCATCCATTCTCAGGGCATGTCCTAACCATTTCATTCGCTGTACTCAAGTGCATGGGAGATAGACAGATCACCGTACATTGAGTATACATTGCTTGTTCTCAAGCGGGGAACTCCTTCTTCCAGTTTAGGTCCTATTATCCGTCTTAGTATTTTCCTTTCAAACTGATCTATTTGTTCAGCAGATGCCTTTGTTAGAATCCATATTTCGCACGAATATGTTGCAACTGGTCGAATAATCGTTCTGTATATCCTAAACTTTGTTGTACGACTTAACAGTCTACTTTTCTCAGAAGGCTTGCTAGAGAAAAGTACACTCTGTTGTCAGCCATTATTCTAGCTCCTATCTCCTCCTTTTCGTTATTGCTATAATTAATTAGGGACCCGAAGTAGGTGAAGCTTGATACAGCTGCTTTAAAAGTATGGTTTCCTAAGATATAGTGCTGTGGTGGATGGACAAGCTTTTTCTTCCTTAAAACAAGGACCTTGGTTTTACTTTCGTTGATGCATAGCCCCATTTTCACTGCCTCATCCTCCAACCTACTGAATGCACTCTTCACTGCTTGAAGTGATTGCCCTGCAATGACCACATTTTTCAGCATACAGGAGCAGTTGGGCCATTCTGTGGAATTTATTCTTGCCCTTCTCATGATGGTCTCTAGGGCAACATTGAAGAGGAGTGGGGCTAATGAGTCACCTTGCCTCAGGCCCGAACAAACTGCAAAGGAATCAACAATTCTTCCTTTTACCGTAACTCTACTGATGCTGCCTTCCATGGTAGCCATTGTTAAACAAATCAGCTTTGCTGGTATGCCCAATTCATACATTTCATAATAAAGCTCCTCTCTAATCACCGTGTCGTACGCCGCCTTAAAATCAATGAAGAGCATCCACATGGAGTTATTATACTCTCTTATTTTTTCCATGATCTAAGGCCAAAAATTTGATCGATTTGTCCTAAAGCCACCCTGATAATCTCCAAGCTGTCTCTACACGTATGGCATAATGCGATTATACTGAGCAATAGAGAATACCTTATAAGCAGAATTAAGTAAGCTGATACCTCTGTAATTTCTGCAGTCAGTTACATATCCTTTTCTCTTATAAATTGGACCAATGAGGGACTCTTTCACCATGGCCTAGTCCCAAGTCCAGGGTGAGAAAGGAGAAGGGTTAGGGGAGGGCCGACTACCCGTCCCTGTAAAAAGACTCAAGTTACTTCAGCTCAAAAACCAAGCCTCGGATATCGGACTGTTTTATGGCAACGACTCGGAACTCGGATAAAGGTATATCGATTTGGAACTCGGAATGTTTGGACCTTATTCAGACCAAGCGCTCTCTCAGAATGTTAGTATCAGAAGTTGCAATAATACAGTGCGAATAGATAACATGTAAACAGAACATGTTATTTTTCAACTCGGAAATCAGAAATCAATTTATATAACTAAGACACTAGCTTTTTATTTCATGCATATTTAGTAAGACAACTTTTTTAACATTGATATCCCAATACCATTACGATTCTGCACATTTAGATTAAATCCATTTTTATTTTGATGTTTGAAGATAAACATAAATATTGGAATATTTTGGTATAAAAAAAAAAGTAAAAAAATTGTTCTTATTTTAAAATAATAGGTCAAATTTAAGGGTATCTCCTATACACATTCAAGTCCACAAATAATATTAAAAAATTATTGCCAAGAAACCAGAGTTAATCTATTAATGTTAAAGAGGACATGGCTGAGTGCATTTTTTGGTATAAAATATAAGTAAATTTCAAGTCAACCATCACATATCTGATTCTTCTTTAATTAATATTGCATCAAATCTTTGCACTGTCAGCAACAGACGTGATCATATAATTAGGATAAAAAGCAGTAACAATTTAGGAATAAAATGCCCAGAAAATTAAAAGCAAAAGTATTAAAAAGTTATTTGGAAAAAATGAGTATAGAATGTTATTGCCAAATATCTTCTTAGAAAAAAATTCATTAATTTACTTAAGTGAAAAGCAAAGTTTTAGTAAATACATAAATGGAATCGAAATTAGTTTTAGTACAGGATTTAAAAATTAAAAAAATAATTTTTTCAACATTATTCATTGTTTTTAAAAAATTTTCTACCTAAGCTAGTTTTTCAATTTTTTTTTTGGAAACTAAGAAAAGTTTTTATCTCCCATTTTTATCTTTTTAATTAGGTATGCACATTTTCAAACTTCTTACTGCATATTTTTATGTTTTTTCCTAGAAACAAATTTAGTCATGAGTTTTTAATTAAACATTCCATTTAAAAAAAACCAAAGTATTGTCCGATAAAGTGATTTCCAAATAATAGGATGCACTGTAAAACAAATTATAATGATTGGTTTAAACTAATTAAAATGAAAATTAAAAACAGGAACCTTGGAGGGGAGATGAGTAGAAAAATAAGGATTAAAAAAAAATGAAAAGGTAAATAAATTACATTAAAAATATTATTGTAATTTTGTACTGAAGAACAAATCAATGATAATCTTTGACCCAGATCATGTTCATATGTCACTTTATATACTTTTATTTCTGAATCAATTATTCTTTACAAGAATTGTTGATCAAGAAAAAAATTCAAATGTTCTAAAAACTTTGAATTGAAGGATTCATCAACAGTTACACAATATAAGAATTTTTTATCATCAAATCACTACCCAATTGTTTCATTTATAAACAAAAATAAAATAATAAATATTAAATGACATAATAACATGACTAAGGCCTTTAAATCAATCAATTATACATTTTTCATGAAAACCAAACATTTAATGTTTAAATAATAATTAATTGTCGACTTTAACCTTCAGTATATCACAGTTTTTTTTTAACTTTTATCTGTCATTCTCTAAAGATAGATACGAAACAATAGAGGTTTCTAGATCTAGAACAATAAGATATCAGCAACATTAGGCAATATTTTACAGAAACCAATACCATACCAACTTTTGTAATAAATACATAATTAATTTAGTCCCAATTAGTATTTCAGAATCAATAGTCTTTGGTAGGTAATTAAGAGTTATAACAAAATTACAACAATGACAAAGGGTTTTAGTAAAGCTACATAGTAGTTCTGCTGGAATATTTATTCTATGACTGATTTTATCAATCAAAATAAAATAATGTAAAAGGAACTCATCGATTCATTAAAAAAAAAAAAATGTAAAATCGGGATAGAATAGACTATCAACATATAACAATCATACACATTAAATACTAAATCTTCTATACAAAGAGAAAAATCGTGTAATGAATAGACAAGGGAGAATGGCTAAACCGGCAGCCCGCCCTCAAGGCTCACAGATTAACAAAATAATAATTTAATAAAAAAAAATACATGATTACAACGGTCATATCAATTTATGAGCATGTTGAAGATAAGTGCCTTGCATTAATGGAATGTCCTAAAAGGAGACTGTGATATTTTATAAATAAAAATAAACAAAAGAATATAGCCTTTAGTCTAATTTGATGCAATGATGAAGAAAATTTAAAACAATTACTTCTGAGCTAAATAAAAGTCATAGGCAAGTATTATGCAAAAATGGCAATGGATTCAATATTATGAAAAATGATATATTTACAAATGAATTATGAACCATAGAATTTCTTTTCTTTCATAAAAAATTGTATATGCATTATTGCATACTTAGCGGTAAATTTAGAGTAATCTTTTAGCAGTTGATGAACTTGTGGAATACAAAATATAGGTAAGTATACATCAGACTCTAAAAATAGAAATCATTCTTCACATTCATCAGTCTAAACAGACTATGGGAACAACTCCCTTCGATATCGGAACAGTTTTCAACTTTCCTTTATAACAAATAAACATTGAACATAAGATTGGATCCTTTTAAATACTAGAATGTTGTGTAAACAATTTTCAAAACAAATATATTTAGAAAAAATAATTAAAATTTTCACAAATGAACATTCTTATTTGTTCATTAAAGTTATTTACATATGCACATAACTCTATACATAAAATTCTATAACAATTTTTTTGTATTTTTTTTTTAAATCATGGCCATTAGAAAAACTACAATAACTTTTCTCTTTCCTAATTATCAATCAAAATATATATAATTGTTTAATAAAGTATTAAATGAGACATAGGTCGAGCAAGAATGGTGTTGAAATTTGCATAAATTTCCCACTTTCTTCAATAATTTGATCGATGCAGCCAATTTGAATATTAAAATATAGGCAGATAATCTATTGTTGTTAAATTTGAATAAAAATGAAGTAAAGCAACTGACACCATAACTTGAATAGGTGTTATGGAAGTCTTTTTACCATACAGCCACATACACGTATAAAAGAATATCCGATTCATTTCGCTATCCTTCCAACAAAATATATACAGGATTGATAGGTAAAAAATGAAAAGAAATTACATGCCAATGACCCGAGGACACACGCGTAAAAAATAATTTACAGTCGTTAAATGGACAACCGATCAGTCTCTAAAAGTTATAAGTAATGGGGACTGGACTATGAAGTCATCATATCAGATACAGATCCTGTGTTGGCCATGGTTGGACCCTTCAGGGAGTCGTTGATATCCCTCCTGAACAGCGAAAGGTTTTGGGTAAATCTGAAAAAATAAAAAAAAATAAATTGAGGTTTTTTAAAAAAAATTATTTAACAATTAATTAATTTGAAAATAAAGAGGAGAAAAACATCATTTTGGATCACAATGATTTTATACAATACAAATACTCTTATAACTACTACTAAAAATTAAGAAAAATAAAACAGCCTTAAAAAAAAAAAAAAAAAAAAATAGATCTAGCGGAAGAAAAAATAATCTTTACTCTGGGACACATAGTACCCTAACAACGAAAATGCACAGATTATGTTGAGACTTTTCTAGGTGTATTAATTTAGGATAAAACACTACGTTCAGTTTTAAAAGACAAACTAGAAATTAAAGAATTAAAATTACACACATGGGTACACAAAAACAAAAATATATAAATACAAATATGAGCAATAGATTGCCAATTGAGGACATACAGAAATAAATCGTGTTCAAAAGAAATCAGGCAGGCAGGCATTAAAAACGAAGATAGAGAGAGAACCCAGAGACAGATAGAACTCTTTATCATCCTTTGTATGAATAAAGGATTTATCAAGTGAAGCAGTTCTATGAAAGGGAACTTATTCCATTTAGAATGTAGTAGGTTGAGATCCTATAATTAGTGAGGAGGTGAAAAAATCAAGAATTTTTTTTTTTGTTACAGATTGGAAAAAAAATTCCAAGGAAACATTGTTGTTGGGAATAAGGTAAAGCGCCTTTGGCAATGAATAACAGCATACAGAAAAAAATATTCTTTAAAGTAATTCATTAATATTCTAGGTTTCAAGATAGTCCTCCATACACCAGCTAACCTTCTGCAGTTGAATTGAGGAGAAATGTGGGAAGGTTGGATACTCAGGAGATTAGGGAAACCGAATTATTCAAAATAAGGTATTGGTAAAAAGTAATTCTGAGGTTTTTAACAGACTTTGAAAGGAACATGAAGGGTTTTGAAGCAATGGGGATTTCATTAGTTATCTCAGAGTTCAGAAGCAACATATATTTAGAAATATTCAGCATATGAATGATACGATACTTTCTGGAACAATCATATGCATAGATTATTTTTAAAATTAGTTCAAAGGGATATAGAGGCAGGGAAGAGAACTAATCGAGGAAGCTCTAAAAGCTACCTCCTTAAACTGCTATGTGGTAGAGAAAGAGTTGATTGAAAAAAAAAAGAATTAGTTAATGTGGAGAAAAAAAAATAAAAAAATGAAATAGTTGTTTCGCTCAATCTTTGCAACGTCATTTTTTAGCAGAGTAATTTCAAGTTCATGAGTAGAACAAACTTTGTGCAAAATTAAATATCAAGCCACTGATTGTACTTTTGATTTACAGTGCTGCAGATCATTTTAGATGATATAGTTCTCTGTTTTTAGAAGAAAAATCATATGCTTAACGTCAGAAATAATTAGTACTTGAAAAAATAATCTTTTTATCAATGATCTGGTATTAAATCGGCTAAATATTGAGCTAAACATATAAGACTTTGCAAGGATAAAATATTCTTTTTGGCCATTCTGGAACAGGTATAACTAAAAATCAACAATTTTTTATATATAATTTTGCTGAAAGGAGTAAGGGATATATTGTGCATTCATTTGTGATATCAACCAGACATCAATACAAATACAATAAAGATGTCAAAATACAAAAACACATTCATACCATATTAATTGTAATTAGAATGTATTGTTAATATCCTATTAGGTTGAGATGGAAGCTTAGATTGAATTTAAAAAAAAAAATAGACTAAATACGTTTTTTAAGGGTAAATAATAATACCAATCAATTGAGATGATTTCCTAAATGTACTAAATACTTTTTCTTTTTTTTTTTATTCTAAGGGAAAAAAAAATCTGTCCTTAATTTGTTATTGGATCAATTTACTGTTCAAGACTAACACTTAATGGAGGTCCAATTGCCCAAACTAAACCAATCTAGTTAGACAACTTAAGACAAGCTAAATGCCATTCCCAACAGTCTAAAAAGTGGGCTTAACTATAGAACCATAATTCTTGTTTATGCTATTTAAACCACTTTTTAGACCATTGAAATACCATTTAGCTTATCTGACATTGTTTAACCCCTTTTTTTGTTTGATTCGCAATTAGCCATTAGCAGCAATTGATGTCCAGTCTTCAATTTTCAAATCTGATTTTAAAGGTTTTTTTCAATTTTCACATATGAATATGTTGACAGATTTCAATAAAATCAAACCATTAATACAGATATATCAAAACATTGCTCAATCAAAAAAAAAAATCTTTAATAAACACCTTGATTTTGAAGGCACAAAACACTTAAGTCACCCTAACAGTCCAAGCAAAATCCTTCTAAAGAGTTTTTAGAACTATTTACCAGAAAAAAAATTGCTCCTATGGTATAAAATTAAGAGTAGGACATAAAGTGGTAAGACATTACTATAAATAGAACATAGAGTTGGTGAGAGGGCAAATCCCTGAGGAACACCTCATGAAAATATTGATGAAGATTAGTTGGCAATAATGACTTGTATAATCTAAGTAAAAGCTTTGGAAAAACAAAAGAGGACAAAATGTGATTTTATGTTGAGTGATGGAGGAATAAATCTCTCGTCTAATTTTTAGCAAAGCTCTTGTGTATGTATATAACCTTGACAAATGTCTCAATTCTAGATGTTTATAATCAATTGTTACTAGTTTACAGTTATTTGGAGATATGTATCTTGTCAGATTCCACTCTTAAACAATCTTCTTCACAAATTAATTCAATATAACTGAACTTTATTCTTGACAATAATAACTCACTTCAGTATCAAAAGCAGAACTAGCAAGACAAACAACAATTAATAACATGTACTACAGATTGAACATTGACACATTTTGAACTCTTAATTCACTTTAACAAGACTCAAACTGAACTCATATCTAATGTGCGTATATGCAAACTGAATAATAATCCATAGGAATGTGAGTGAAACATTCCAGAATTAGTGCTTTGTTTCAATCAAAACAAGAACTTTTTTTAAATTGTAATTTCTACATTATCATAGATACTTTCAAACTACATAATATCCTTAGAATGTATCAAAAAATTGTATAAGATTAATAAAATAATTACATCGAACATTATATAGTAAATTCATAAATAATAAAATTAGGCACACTTTCTGTTGATAACCTCCAAGCCCACCAAACACCTCAAACCCTATCTAATACCAAATATTTAGATCCAAGGCCTTATGGACAATCGTAAGACAAAGGTGAGGTGGCTGTTCCACATGGTTTCTGAGGTTATACAACTATTACTAACGTCATATTTACAAGTGTCAATATTCAAAGAATTTTGACGATAGGGAGAAAAACAAATTTTATATTTAATGTGAAGTGGTTTTATTTAGTTTTAATATAGTTTCTGTTGTTTCAGTCTCATATAAAACAAAAAATTCAAGAATTTGTTTACTTACCGTAATAATTTTATATTTCACCATATTCATGATTGTTTTGGCAGTACTTTGCATGTTTTAAGTAAAAGGAGTCAAATAAAGAATGATTTTCACTTAGTTTTGATAAGATAGTTACTGTTTTTTTAACTTTCAGTCACTACACACACAAAAAAATAAATAACTTAAATTTGTTCACCTACCACAAACATAAAAAATTTCTAACACAATGCAATTTGAAATATAAATTTTTCAGAATTGTAAGGTTTGGTTCATTGAAATGTAAACACACGGAAAATTTTGCTAAAAATTATATATTTATATACATTAATCAAAAGTATACATGATAACATACATATATTTAAAATCTACAGTCAGTCTTGCAGAGAAACAACTAAATAAAAGAAAGAATATGCAATTTATGGCAGGGACGAAGTTCATACCAGGAAAGCGGTGGTTTTGGAATTTTAACAAAAAAAAAAAGAAAAAAGGAACTAAGAGTGGTCGCAAAATAACCTGAACTTACGTAAAATAACCTTAGAGAATAACAGTTGCCGTGCCACCGCTGTCCAACAATTGTCCATAAGTACCAAGATGCCATACCAAAATGGACCATAAATATAAATTTTCATAATTATTGTTAATATAAAAATATAAATGTAATAATTGAAAATTAACATAATAAACATAGAATTATATATAAGATTTATTCTATGCAAATCCATTTCTAATATTATTATACTATATAATAATTCAAACATTCATTATATTTACTTTGTACTTAGAAATCAAGATATAATAATATATCATATTATATGTAATATTACATTATATACATATAAAAAACACACATTACAATAAAAATGAGATGGAATAACAATGAGTATAAAAGCTATCTAAATCAATGATTTATTAGTTTATATTTTAACTCGTAAAATATAATGAAGGAAGAGATGATCCAGGATGATCAATCATAAATAACTTCTAATAGTCTTAACTATTTTTATTAGGTTTTAAATGTAGTTAATTTATTAATTGACCATCATCACGGAACATCTCTTCCCTCATTATATACATGGTCGACTATTATAAATCCAACATAAAACACAAAGATAAATATTATATTAGAAGATGGTAGGGAGGGCAGTCAAAATTAAAAATAAATTAAAATAAAAAAAATGTATAAACTATTTATTAAATTTTGCCATTTCATAGGCCTTCATCAGGGCAGATGAAAAAAAAAACAGATGAGGATGAATCTTATAACAATAAAGGATGGACAAGAACTGAAGAAGAGCTACAATGTGGATCGAAACATCAGCATTCAATAAATAGTTTTAATAATATATATGGTTTAATTTTGACCGCCACCCTCAACCATCTTCTTCTATATTAATCACAACTTGATAGTATACATAATAAAATAAATATACAATGAAAACATAACATAAAAATTAAAGTTATCAAGAGGAGTTCCTGAAACTGACTTGACATCTGATAATGCATAAAAATTAGTCAATTATCATTTATTATTATAATTATGTATTTATTATACTGACCAAACTTGCAATAACTAAAATCCTGAAGAAAACAAAATTTCATTTTAAAAATACGCATTTATTTTTGCAAATTTCCCGGCATAGTACTTTTGGAAAAATAAGAGAACCGAGAATAAAAGGATTGATATGTTTTATCAGCAACATCTTAAATTTGAATTCTTTTTTAAGGAAAAAAATTTCCTTTAGTGAGTTCAAGAAAATGATTAATATAATACCCAATAAGCAAGTTTGTTAGTTTTGCACCAATACAAATGTAAGCCGAATCACACAATTTTACAACGGAACTACTATTGACCCTCTCTGGTCCAACACCCTAAATACCTCATAAGATCAAACAAAATTAGAAATAATTCAATTCGAAATAGAGCCTTACTGATTATATCATTAAAAAACAATGTACTGGGTCGATTAATATCAAGGCAATTTCAGAGAGTTCAGAAAGAACTGAGGATAAATTGGCCAGAATTTTTTTAAGTTAGAAATAACTAAAATTAGCACTGGTAATAGCACGTACAATGTCATTTGATATAGTTGTCAACCTGCAAGAGGAAGCAATATTATGAACAGAATTTCTAAAAAGTTTCATTTACAAAAACAAAACATCTACAAAAAGTAACATTAAACACAGCGAATCTAAATCAATTATCACAATAAATAAAGTACAGCAATTATTACAAACATATATTCCAATTCAAGATATACAAAATTCATAACAAAAAAAAAAAGGTAAAAACATTAGTTATAAAAATGTAAAACTTGAAATGTAGCTGTGTATTTAGATTTTTATGATCATAACCTTTTCTATCCTCGTTCACATATAAAACATACCTCTTCATCTTGCATCTTGCAGTTGCAATAACATTATTTCTGGTTATATCTTCAATACATTAATGATTTTAATATATGTATTTTATTTGGTTCTCCCTTGTTTCAGACCCTGGATTTTCTCTTTTTCAAATCTTGTATACCTGGATAATTTCTAATATTTCCACTATATTTATTTTTGACTCTTTTCTTATACAGCCCATATCTTTTTCCCCATTTTTTCTGCCAAATTTTAGCGCACATTAAACAGAACAAATTTATTATTGTATATTCATTTTTTATCAAACCCCTAATCATCAATTCCTAAAAACATCAGTAAAAACCTTTATTTCAAATCTGATAAAAATACAACAGACATACACATGTTGCTAATATAATAAATAAAATGGAATTCTGATATATCAATAATGATTCTCAAGCACAATACTACAAATCGGCTAAAATATACATTATATTCCAATCATAGAAAAAATATAAAACATCTAATACAGAACAGCATAAAGGTTGAGTATAAGAATTAATACAAGGAAAAAAATTCAAGAAATTACTATTCTTATCAACAGAGAAACACTAGCAAAAAAAAAAAAGGAATGAAAGACTGAAATCTAAACATTATAAAAATATTTTTTTAATGAGTTGACTTCACTATTATTTTCTTAAGTTTATATCTAAACCCGACACATAATGTAATTTTTATTTTCATTGTTAACTGAATTAAAATCATTGTCAAGCCTATAAGGATATTATGAGATCCTTTGTTCGAGAAACACTCCACTTGTACAAAATATTAAAAGTTTAATTAAATAAAATACTAATTATTGGATAAAAAAACAAGTCATAACTTGATTTATATGCAAAATAATGAAATGAAATAAAAATTCTGTTAGGCCAAATAAACCAATCACAACTCAACTACAAAAAGCAATATTTTCAGCCAACACATGCACAATATTATTATTGCTACCCCATCTCTTTAGTGCATGCATAACTATAATAACAAATTATATACATAAAGCATGTACATAAACTAAAAACTACACAATGCTTGAAAAGGTATCTATCTATCTATATCTGATAACCTATCAGTGAAGGTGGTCTGTGGGTACTGAAAAACATGAAGGTTCTTTCAGGGCAATCAGCAAATAGACAATCATTAATCAAGGAGCAACCCATTCTAACAGTTCAGTGATAATCAATTTCTAATATACAAGGTGACAAAACGTTATAGTGCCCTCTCATGTTTTATCAATGTAACACCAATACTGGAATTTTAATGTCATGTGATAAAATCGGATTACGAGGTTTCTTTATTACCCGTTCATGACAGTTTTAGGTAAATACCATGAAACAAAGATAAAACTATTATAACACAATTTAAAATAATTTACCTGTCCCTGTTCTTGGTTAAAAGATTTCGTTCTATCGAGTCCATTAGGTTTTCAAACCACTGAGCCATCGCTGCTTGCTTGTCCGCAGGTTGACTCCTTATGATGTTTTCCCTCAGCTGATTAAAGTACTGAAAGCATAGAGTTACACAAATCTAAAATGGCAGTTATGCAAAGCTTAAGGAGACAACAACTATTATAACAATTATAGAATAAATAGGGAGAAAATTAATAAATGATCCCAAGTACAGATTTTACATTAAATATAACATATCTCTGATATTTGGTGCATCTTCTCACACGATTTTCCTTACTGCTTTGGATGAAAGTTTAACATAAAAGCTTTTTATTAATAGGTTTAGCTTCATAGATAATTTAAATATCTTTCAAATAAGCGTCCAAATGCTACAGGTATGGTCATCAAAAAAAAAAAAAGGAATTTATGTACAAAAACCATGTGTACAAAGTTTAATAAACTGTTGCTAGTTCCAATTTTTTTTATTATTTTTTATTCTCGATATAGGCAAACTCTGGACCACGAATATACCACCACTTAGTCTTTTTTTGTCACTTCTCTTTTTCTTCTACCACACATCCTTCATCCTCGCGGAGAGCTGTGCCTTCCTCTCCTCTGACCACTTCTTTCCTGCACTCCTCTTTTCCGCTACAAGAACCCTCATTTGATCAACATGTTTCCGGAATTCGACTCTAACCATACAAACCTCGCTTGTTACATTAAGTTGGGCTGTTTTTTTTTTTTTTTTTGTCTGTTCTTCATAACCCTTTAGTTACAATGAAAATTGTTGGTAATTTCAATTAAATTTTTATTTTATTCTATATCAAATAGAAAGAAGGTTTTAATACATTTTTTTAATACCTACTTTTTTAAATTGTACTATTTTATTTTTCCATTTTTATAATACATTTTAAGAAAATTCTCTGAATTTCTATTTAGTTGGAAGAAAACTGCTGATTTGTCCAAAATAATCTATTTCCAGACTTTATTGGTTTTCCCTGAGTGAAGAGGCTCTGTTTACAAGAAATAGGCAAGAGAATGTCAAAATATCTAAGTAATTTAAAAATGCTTTTAAATATTTTTTTTATTTTATTTTTTTCACGAACAGGCCTTGAAGACCACGAGAATATCACGAATTTAATGCTTCCTCTTCATCTGCCTCCTCTTCTCCCATATGCCCCTAATCAGCTCTGCGTGCTAACGTTTTCTTTCCTCAGACAGACCACTAAATTATTAAATATATAACTAGATATATTAAATATTTAATATATCTAAAATGTGTAAGCACAATTTTTAAAGGGTGCTAATTGTCTGTTGTATTTTTTTATTTTTAATTCTGCAACATTAGAGCTTTGTATTAATCTGTATTAATTAATATTAGTCTGGGTTTCAGATATGGCAAAAAAAAAGGGATAAGCTCTTAAACTTCGAAAGAATAACTACTTAATTTATAAGGAGACAACAAAACAGAAGGTTCTATCGTACAGTAACTACTAATAACCATATTGCTTTAAATTTAGGAAATAAATAAAATAGCCCATACATATGAGTTTTCAAAACAACTATTTGGATTTGTACAACCAAATGATAAATAAACAGAGGTCATTCACAAATCAAGGAAATTATTGTTCATATTTTTTTTATTCTTCATGGTTAATAAATGGTTTAATATTGGCTTAGTTATGCAGCAGAATAAACTGAGAACCAGGACGTCTTAACGTTTATAATAATAGATCTGAAATCAGTTTAAAGCATTTGTAAAAATTATAATTTGTGGGATAGAAATGGACATGTTTGAGGTAACTCTAAAGGCCAAAACTAGGAGCTCAGGAGGAAGAATGCTTAATTAAAGCAACTCGTCACAAACCTGTCCAAAGGAAACTTAATTATAGAAATATTATTCGTAATGGTAAGCTTTAAATAATTTTCTTTTATACTGAATACTTACTTCTTCATTGAGAAGAATTAGTCCAAGCAGCGGCCTTGACATCGACCATTGATTCCGACAATCTTCAAACATTATGACATTGAGAACTGTACTTAATATTTGCTGGAGAATTTCAGGATGCAATTCTAGTACCTGGAGGAACATATTATTCTGGTTCGTCTGATTGAGAGGCCTCCTTTTTTTACCTATTATAACAAACAAATGCCACATAAAAAGTGAAACATATACAAGAACTACCATAATTAAATTTGCAAACAATTGATATTTTTAATGAAGAGAAGAATAGTTGGGGTGGTCAGTCAAAAAAGAATGCAAAAATAAATATTATCATTTATTTTTTTCCTTCTTTTTTGACTAACCACCCCAACTATTCTTCTCTTCATTATCCACGACAGTCAACCATTTACCTATTATGAATTGATATTTTTAATTCATTAATTCTAATAGCAAAGTAGTAAAATAATTGATAAAGTTCAGATATGCTATGTGGAGTATAGATATATGTAGAATATGGAAAGAATAATCATTGATCAAATATTTAAAAACATGGCAACTACGGGAGTATTATTATGACTAGTCCTTTAGAACACAGATATTAGTTCTAACATAAAAAAAATGAGGTTTTGATGGCCAAGGGTGTTAAGGAAACATAACTTTAGGAACCACACATGTAGAGATGTCAGTTTTAATCAGGTCTTGGCAGGTTGAATGGAAAAATAGAGATAAACTCATAGGAAATGACTTGAAAGAAAGCATGTCCATTTATAACTATATGCAGATGACAAAGTCATCATTTGACTCAATACTGAGGATGATAGTTATTTATTCAAAATCTCAGATTTTTTTTTCTTTATGGATGGAAATATTAGACAATAATCCAAACTCAGAATATTAAAAGAGGAATATAAGCTAAGGGGTCGATAAGCTGATAACACTGAAAACAACAGAATTGAAGCCTTATAGTATCGATAACTGATAATGAATATTCATCAAAAGTGAACAATTACTTCTCAGACATTTTAAATAAAGTTTTCAATTTACGAATTTTTAATCAGGAAATGTGAATATTCTTTTCTAATAGAGCAAATTAACACATTTAAGCCATGAGCAGACCACTTATAACATTCAAAAAAGCACTTAAACACTTAAATACACATATAATTTAGTCAAATTAGTGAATTCTATGAAAAGAAGTAATAAATAGTAGATATTTACCTTTACTAGTAATTTGCTTAAATAAATAGCTCACTATGTGGTCTAAACTTGCACAACAACCAGTACACACCATTGTATCTACACACAAAGTTAAAAATGAAAATTATTATAAATTCATTGAAATACGATACAATGTTATGAGTGGCTTCATATCAAAGACGGACAACAGTAATTTTCAGGAAGTGTAGAAAAAGGTCAATTTTTGTTTTATAAGTTCAACTTAAACTATTTCTGATGGTTTTATTTAAGAATCTTTAAGTTGAATCATGAAAATAATTCATTAGAATTAATTTAAATTGAAGCTGTTTCAAAAATTGGCTTTTTCTCAATTTTTTAAAAATTACAGTTATCCGTCTTTGATATGAAGCCACTCTTATTATATTCATAGAAAAACATGTTTACAGGAGAGATAATTTTAACCATAACAATACATGCATTTGAAATATGGTTATATGGTTAGTAAATATGGCTACCATCATAAGTATGGTTAGTCATTTTATACATACATTATATTAAACAAAAAGTGACTACTTCAAAAAAAAAGAAATTGATAAAATGAAGAATTGAAGACAAAAACTAGACCCAATAACGATGGTTACAATTTATTTCAGAAACTTTAGAAGGATAGTTAATCCATCTTACAGCTTGAAGGATAGGAGATTTCTGCCAAGCATCAAGAATATCAACTAGTCGTATAGAAGAACTGGAACCCATCTGAATTCGAGTAACTTAAATACACATAAGTCCCAGATTACGACAGCCTTCTTGCCTGATTAAATGAGGAAGAGCTAATACCATAAAACTCTCCATGTTCTCATGATCAAGTACAAAAGTCATTACCAGAAACTGGAGTTAGACAATAATAAGAGAAAATGTCATATCCAAAGGAAAGGTGACCTCCTAGTTGCAAAGAATTGATAACGTATAAAGTTATAGTCTAAGGTTAAGGATATCGCCTCTATACCTTAAACTGCTAATACTATCTTAGGTACTTCTCAGGTTACACACAGTCAAATGGATTCATTAATAGGTTATTCGAAAATGCAGGCATAGCAATTTTCCCCTTCCTTAGGTCAGTGATCATTGTGCAAAATTCAGCATTTCCCTGAATGAAAAATTCAAATGCATTTGACAGTGTGAAAACAAATAAGATTAACATTAAAATAATGTGTTTAATTAAAAAGATGATGTAACTACATTTTTAATGCCAAGCTTGCAAAATTTCAACAATAAATACTCAAATAATAAAACCTGTACCTCTACACTCGTAGAGAATTTTGAAATCAGTGTTTTGTAAGGGAGTAATATACCATAGCCTGACGGGTGGGTAAGTAGACGATTTGACAAAGTTTCTGCTTAATTCCCAGGTTTTGTGCCAATTAAGGGTACCCACTTTTTAGAAGCTGGGTGTGTCCGAGAAGAGTCTATTAACCCCAGATTCAGTCAATCCATGGCTAATTTAGCGGAATAAATAAATATCTGCTATAGCCAGATTCAATCCTAGGAGGCCCCAGGGAAATAGGAGCACAGCTACTCCCTGAGCTAACCTATTCCCCACTTTGAATATTATTTTCTCATTCTCATATAGACCTATAGAGCTAGGAAGGTCTATAGAGTGACCTTCCCTTGTTTTGAAGGTCAAAGACCAGATTTACATATAGCTGTATACATTTTACTTTATATAGTATTATAAATAGAAGAGTTCAATATAATGGCAAATTAAGGATTAACATGAGAGAAGTAACAATAGTTTGTTTTTCTGTTTGTTTTTTTTAGATAGTAGATTAAAAAAATTATCACATAGAGAAAAAGATTTGTGAGGAAAATTTGAGTAAAACAAGATATTTATTTCAATCAAAAATCAGAATAGTAAAGTAGACAGTATGAAAATAAATAAGATAAACATTAAAATAATTTATGATTAATACAACCTCATGGACTGTTTCAATGTTTGAGAATCTTTCTACCTTTCTGTTTACTTTGTGAGTGCTCTGGTGGTTTAAGATGTAACTAGTAAAAACAATTTACTTAGCAGCAGAGATAAAGAGCTGGTAGGTCCTACTATCACCCATACAAAAATGGTTTTGAGTGCATTGGGATATTCGTCCAAATCTACATATGCACCTCATGGTGTTGGTCTAAATAACTCAGCGCAGAATGAAAAATGATTATGGCTGTTTTTTCCAAATGAATCATCTGCTGGATCAAATTTATTGAAAAATTAATTTATAACGATCAGTACTGAACAGGAGGATGACCTTCCTCTAATCTTAGAATCAATTATGACATTAGTTTTTAGTGAAGGACTATCTTATCTATGCAAACTATCTTAGGGCACTAAAATGGAACAAGTTTGACTATGTCTTCACTTGAGGGCAAGCTCCCAAAATAAATGGGATATTGGACTAGTATATTGAAGAGAAAACTGAACCTTAGGAGGATTCAATGTCATCTATTTAATTCCCAGAATTTACCTGGCTTGTTGATAAAAATATGTTTCTTGTGTATTCATTAATTCTATGAAAGGAAAGCCAATCTGAAGACTGGAAATCTATGCAAGAGCAAATGAATAGCACTTATTGCAAAGGTGGCAAGAGCTAGTAAGTACATTTATTAGCATGAACATTATGAAAACCTTTTTTGGAATCCAAGAATGGAAATGAGAGTACCAATATAAATGGTGTCTTTCTCTACAAAAGAGGCTTATATTTTCCGAATTAGGAACAATTTGTCCGTAGTGGAAGTTGCTTCACTGGTTTTGAATGCCTACTGAATTCACAAAATGATACAATTTATCATAATGTTAAAATTAAGGAATCTACTTGAAGTTAAAAATGCTGCTAGTGAATGAAAGAAAATATTTTTTTTAAATAGGAACTTCCAATTTCAGTCAGAAATTTATCAGTTGAATTTGTAATATGGTTTCTCAGACATCCTATCAATGAGAATCTCATTTGGCTCGCTGAAACTATAACATAAGAGGAAATAATTGCTCAGAATTAAAAAAAATTGATAATATAAAAAACAATATACATTACCATTACCTAAAGCTGTTAAACCTTCTGAAATCGATGACAGTATGTACAAAAACACATTAGGTTCTAAGGTAGACAAGAAACTCATGTGATCCTGAGCAAGACATTCCAGAAGTACATAATATGTTTGAGAAAGTTTAGGATAATCCTGAAAAGTAAAGAATAAAAAGGCATTAAAAAAAGTAAAACAATATAAGTTTTTTAAGTAAAAATAAGTTTGTGATTGGATTCATTAAAAATTAGAATTTAAAAAATAAATAAATTAAAAATAAAAGTGAATGGGTTGGAAACATGAATATAATAACCAAAATAATATTATTTTTAGTATGTTTACAAGCTGCACCACACAACCGATACTAATCCCTCACTCACCCCTGAATACGGCAGATTTCACAAAAAAGAATTGTTATAAGGCTGATAAGAAACACATTATCAAGTTTCATCAAAATTAGTTTTCATTCTAAAGTGAAGATGATCCACTACCCACAGTGACAGCAGGAGATGATTTTGGGTATTGATTTATTCTTAGTTGGGTGATGAGGTATATAATATTTTATTATTGAATAAAATAAATTAAAACATTTCATTTCTTTTCTTTAATGATCAAATAATAATTACAACTACATTAAAAGATAATTGTAAAAAGTTTGAAACAATTACTTACAAGTAAATCTGATTGAGGTATACTGAGGAGTAACTTGACAAAAGTTTTTAAAGCATTGTCTAGAGCCTCATCGCCGTACAACCTGAAGACTCCAAAATTTACGTAGCTACCACAAAGAGCTGCTTTGAGCATTGAAAAACAAATAGAAATTCCTTTTAATTTCATAGAATACATCTGGTCTTTTGGGACATCAACAGTGAGGATATTTGCACCTATATGAAATTAAAAACATAACACAATACAGTTCAATAAAAATTAAAATTACTGATTTGTTATGAAAATATTACTTATGCTAATAAAATACAGAGAAACCTCAGTAACCAGAACCAATTTCTACAAGGGATGTTTGGATCACAGAAGGTGTTTTGGAAAGGTATATTAAAAAAATAATTAAAACTCAATAGGTATATGCAGCAATTTGATTAACTCTATTAAAAAAATTTTTTAAGTACAGAATTTTAGATTACTGAGCTAGCTAACTATTACATCACATATTTGTTTTTAAATCTTCAATGGTGAAACAGGATTAGACAAATAGCTTAGAATGTCATTGCAGATCGCTACTGTTAGTGTAAAACGTCGATGTTTATTCTCTTCGCGCTAAAAGTGATATTTTACAGTCTACAACTGCTCTAAATAGTCTGTCAAATAGGAAAATATAATATGAAATTATACTAATAAACCATTAGAAAGTTCTTATTCATTATTATTTTACTATATTATTTATTATATTATTGTTTTTTTTTCACGGAACGGCCATAGAGACCACGCGAATATCATGACATTTGGCTTCTTTCTTGTTTTTCCTTTCTTTCCACTTCTCTCTCATAATCTCCGCGTGCCGCCCCTTTCTCTCCTCCGTCCATGCGACTCCCTTTCTCGAACTTTTCTTCTTAACAAGAACCGTGACCTCCTTTAGTCTCTTACCATACCCCTCTCTGTCCAGATAGCCCTGGTCCGTTATTCCAAGTCTTTCCGTTTCTTCCTTCATCTGCCTGATGTATCCTCCCAAGCTTTTGTACCTACAGATTTTTTGGAATATTTCCTTGTTAAGTCTTTCTGGGGCCATTCTTACCATATGTCCGTGGAATTTCAGTCTCCTGATCCTTATTTCCGTTTCTAGATCTCTTGTGTCCTTGTATATTTCCTGATTGGATCTTAGCCTGTATCCTTCTTTTGTCTTTTTAGGGCCGTAAATCCTTCTTAGAATTCTTCGCTCTATTCTCAACAATTTTTATAGGCTGGGGAGGCATGTGGTTTCCGTCCCGTATAGTATCACAGGTTTAACAACTGTATTGTAGTGTCGTATTTTTACTTCCGTGGACAAGTTTCTCTTGTTGTATATGCTACTGGTTGCAAAAGTTAGTTTTTCCAATTTGGCTATTCTTTCCTTGATACTTTCTTTTTCCGAACCATTATTACAAATAGTCTCACCCAGGTATTTAAATTTATTTGTTATATCTATTGACCCGTATTTGGTTTCCACTGTTTTCTTCTTGAAGTCTGCGTCTGTGGTCATTAATTTTGTTTTTTCATAAGAGATTTGGAGACCCGCTTTTTTGGCTATTTATTTTATTGTTATTATTCAAAAACTCAATTTTCGCATACGACCTTTTGCACTAAAAGTAGTGATATACAAAATTAATCAACAATATTATTCGGTAATCCTACCAACAGCATAAATCTTTCACTAAGTAATGCCCATTTTTAGATATGCCTGAAGATGGCCTTGTAGTTGAAACATATAACAAATATAAATGAGGTAAACCAATGAAAAATAGCTATGAGGATGATCTTAATCCATAATGAAAATAAAATTGTTTATTTGTTACATATATTTATATGATAAGTGAGAACCATTATATCATTATTCCTTACAGCCCAGAAATGGTATATTGTATTAAAAAAAAAAAAAATTTCAACAAGTGAAAGCAGAGTAGCTCAGTGCGTTAGGCACTGGGCTGCTAAGCTCAAGGTCCTGGGTTCGAATTCGGCTGATGTCAAGTAATTTTTCATCGACCCCGGGGTTAGGAGACCTCAATAAAGTGGGTACTCTTAATTAAATAATTAATTAAGAAGAAAACCTGGCGGTTGAGCATGATCCTGGCCCGGTCACATCTATGCACAACCATTGGCCTTGAAACAGTACTTCAACAGTACAACAAAGCACTGAACCCAAAGCCCTTCATAGATTGTAGTGGTACAGGTTTTACAAAAAGTAAAAAAAAAATTATCTAAAGACTTTGGTTATGAAAAAAAAAACAGATTAACATGCGAATGAACATTTTAGTAATTTTTGTTACCAAGGAAATAACCTAATTCATTTACTATTGAGCCTTATGAGCAATCCTGTAAAATTTTCTTTTGCCAACTTGAAGGTCACCGTTATATTTAAGCCTTGCACTGAACAATTAACATATATTGCATGAAGACTTATGATACCATATATAAAGTGGTAGATTATATAAGGTTAAAATTTATTGACTGATTTCTTCTAACTTCAATCGCGATAAATACACAGATCAACCACCAGTTGTGAACATGTCCCATTCCAAATTGCCATTTATAATGATGGAAACATTGTTCACCTTCTAAATATTTAAGAAAATCAATCATATTGCATATGATAATTATACAGTTTGATATATTTCTTTTCTTTTCAGAAATATTTGATATTTAATCCATATTTTTCCTTTTATGTTCAATAAACATAAACAACCAACCATTTATTAAATAATTGAAATTGCATTCATGTAACTTTTTTAAAAGCTTTTCATCCATAATGATGTCATTTTTAGAGCTACATTACACTGATAATTTTTTTAGTTAATCACTTCTTCATCCATAATTTTCCACTTTTCTCCTACTGTCCAATGCAAGGATGAGCTTTTTCTTAATTATAAGCACTAGCAATAGACAATGTACCAGATCCGCACAGTCTGATGTCTACATTTTAAAAGAGTTGATGTGACATCAGTCTGACTGATACATGTAGGGATCTTCATGATTGAAGTCATTCACTTCAGTCTTAAGACTATCATTGCTGACTGACCATTTAGGATCCCCTTTAGTCTTTTATTTTCTTTGTTCTCCTTTGCCTTCTACAAAAGGATCAGTATAAAGCAAATACTTAACGTTTTAATACTTTCAGCATGTGGGAAAAATATAATTATTAACTAATTGCAATAAATAAAAAAAATTGCAATAATGACACATAATAAAGAAAACAAAATTATATTAAAAGATGGCGAATTGGGCTAAGATTTTAGTTCAGTCTGTTTTTCTTACTTTTCCTAGGTCCCATTTAAATGAAAAAAAAATTTTGTTCAGTTGCAATCCTTGGGTTCACTTCTTGGTAAAGAAGGCCTGCATCTTGGTAAACAGAGTTGATGATTTGGTATATTTTAAGGAGGAGGTATCTATTTATAAAGTTATGTAGAGGGTGAAAGCTTTCCATTGCATGAGCCTTTTGCTCCTTTCGCATTATTTTCCTCTAGCTCATACTTTATTGTAATGTTTGTTATCTTGTTTATTCATTCATATTAAATACTGCATAGGCATAGATAAACAATTTGTGGAAGAACCTTTTAGTGTCCACATGCATAATAATAACAATCAAAACAAATCAAAAAATATACTTTAATACCAGTTAAACAACTATTTCAAATTAGTTCTATAATATAATGAGGGTATACACAAAGTAAATGTTGATCTTTTTTTAGTGAGTATTACAATCTACCATTTCAGGGCAAAAGACAATAATCATATTATTTTTTATAATATATAATATTCATGATGAAAACATTTGAACTCAGGCACACCTAAGTTTGACTTAAATTATAAATGTTTACACCTACTTTTTCAAGAATTAAAGTGACATATACAATAATAAATACATACCATAACTTGAAATGACCTTGCTTGCTTCCCTGAATAATAAGATTCCATTAGGAGAGGAAACATCAAATTGAAGCCTTTGAGATCTGTTTTGAACCAGCTCAGCAAAAAGTTTGAGCACTGGTGTAGTCACCTGTGGTTCTCTGAACCATAGATCCATCGCATGAAGGAGTATTGGTGTATACGTTGGGTAACTAAAAGATCCATGGTTAAGAAAAAACTTTCCTTTTATTTTTAATTGAAAATTCAAAAAGAAAAATAATAATGATAAAGCATAAAAATATAAACAAAATTATTAGCTAATAATTCCTCTATAGCTAAAATAAAAATAAAATGGGTAATTTAAAAAGTGAAGGAGCTTAAAGCAGCTTCAAAAAATCCAATAAATTATACTCGTTCAATTTTATAATCAATGATATACATATTTTTTTAGATTTACATATTGGTTTTAAAACATCTAAATTCGATGTCATTATAGGAAAATGAATATTAATAAAAAAAAGGATACATCCAATCAAATAACATCATGTAGGAGGTCTTAGTGTTAAAAGCAAATGCAAGACCTCGGAGATCTCTTGCTAAACCAATTAAAGCTTTTTTTGCTTCTTCTCCAGCAAAAACAGGAGTACCAGCTGTCTGAAGCATTGCTCCAATGGATTCAAAAGCATCTGTATAAACACAAAATAATCATTAGAAATTCATTGATCAATATTTTTAGCACCCTTTTATTATACTTTATAAATAACATGTATTAGGTCTATTCTGACATGAGTTTCAAGTACCAGCAAACTAATCTATCAAGGCATGAGGCTGACAGTTATAACTGAACATCTCCCGGAACGTTCCAGATGCTTACTATTAACATGAAAAAAAAAAAAATAATAGTAATAATAAAGTAAAGACAAGATAAAAAAAATATAACAAAATCAATACGACTAACATCAAATAATTTTTGAACTCATCACTCAGTGTTGTAAGGAAAGTCATCAGTGGATATGACAGATATTTTAAATTAAGCTTATTTTTCCCCTCATCTAGTGAATGCCATTCATTAACAGTGATCCAAATTATATTGATTTAAATGAAATTCCAAATTTAAGGTAAACATTTTTTTTTTAACCTAAAGCGATAACTTCCTTTGTGCATCCAAATCAAACCTAATCCAGTTAAAAATAAATAAAAATAATTTTTAAAATTCTGATTAATTTAATAATTATAAAACTCAAATAATACTTAACAAAACTATTTTTACATTAACTAAAAAAAACAAGATCAGGTTGGCAATAATGAGGGTTTCCTAGACTACTTCCTTTTAACCTAATGTTTTGAAGCATATGTTTATTATATTTTAAACATTTTTTATTTTCTTTACATACTTATTAAGTATTTAAAATAAAAAAATTAAAATATATGCATTCATCAAGGGATACATAAATCAATTTATAAAAAATAATTCTTCTATGTACATAATCATAACTAATTAGGGGACATTTCAAGTCTAGATTACATTAAAAAAAAGGCGTAATAATAATAATTCAAAAAGCTTTGTTCAATAGTAAGAAGAGCATGGAAACCACAAAATCTTTGAACAGAGATGAAATCAACAGGAATTGTGAAAGAACACTGACTTTGCTAAGATCAAATAAACCAGATGCAGCTGATTTAATGCTAAATATGCTAAATGACAGTATTTTAAAGAGATATGGAGACGGTAGGCAAGTCATTGATATTTCTAAGTTCACCAAGTTGAACTCAGATGATAGCAAAGTACCAAACAAAAAGGCCAAACTAAAAAAAATTAAAAAAGAAAAAAATCAAAAGATAAGTAAGAATGAAACAAAGTTAAATGAAATGTCTAACGATGTCACACATCAGAAGATAAGACATGTTTCAAATGAATTTAACAGTAAAATGTCAAAACATAATAAATCTAAAACTAAAATAATGAAAAATGAAAACAATATAAAATTAAAAAACAATTTTTTTGAAAAAGACAATACTCCTTCAGACGAAGTTGGAGAAATAACAAACAATACTTCACAAACATTGACAACAAACAGAAATTTAAACATCAAAACAAAATCCAATATAATTTCTAAACATAATGAAAACAGTGAAAATTCAATTGGGATCCAAGAAAGTAAAATTAATGACATACAAAATACAGGTAAGAATTATGTCTTACATTAAGTGTTATCAACATTTATAATATATTGTGATAAACTTAGAAGAAATTTTTTAATAGTCCAAATCTCTAAAAGGTTGTGTTGCTTTATTAGTAAAACTTTGTACAATAATTTACCCACATATGATTTAACTTTTTGTTAATCTAATTTATTCAAAAATATAGCATCCTTACGGAAATGATAATACTAGAACTTTTTCTTCCTTCTCTATACTCTCAATACTCGTCCATAAATTCACAATTTACAATAAGTAATTGAATTCAAACTCATTCTTGAATAATTTTGATAGCCCTTCACATTCCTTATCCTGAGATGATTGGAAAGATTTAGGTAAGATCACTTTTCTTTATCTCACCATTACTTGGTATACTCACTAGCAAGGCCTCTAGACTTCCTAATCATACAACATAAGGGGTTCAAACAGGACTGAATATGATTATGGTACTTTCTTTTTTGTTCTCACAATGAGTATATAGAATTTAATTCAAATTGTGGTAGTCACTTAAAATGTTTAATGCAGAATAGAAACTTGTGAACCTATTCCCAATGCTTCAATTAATATTTAATGATTCTTTGCTTCTTTAAAATTTCATGAAAGGAATCAGGATAAATGGCGATTTAAAGTATACCACTTAACATTCAATTTTTCTACTGTAAAATAGTTATTTTTGACGTATACCCTTTTTACTGCTCTATAAAATATATATTCGAACATATAACAATTAAATGATTATTTTTATCAATGAGTTACAATTAAACTTATAATTTTAAAATACAATCCTTAATGAAGATCTTGTTTATAACATAAATATGAGAATTGTTGACATAAAAATAAAACCTCATCACTCATAACAGCCTGTTTTTAATAATTCACTAATCACAGACTAACTGTGAATTTACTTTTAAAGAAACTAACTTACAGACCTTAAACGAATGATTAACTGACTAAACTCTTAATGATTGACTATACCATATTTTAATATAGAAAAACTTCAAAAAAATCCCCTGAATGCTCGTGGTAAGACCCGACCATACTCTTTAATCTCATTGATCCAAACCTGGTCCCAATTCTTGGATTATTTAGAACCTTCATTGTTTTATACTCCAAAACTCAAAATCCTAATAATATTGAATTTAAAACATTATTATTATCAGATTATTACCTAAAAGTATATGTTGCTTCTGTAAAATCGCAAATATATATATTTATTTTTGATTAAGACATTTATTTTATTTTAAACATTTATTACTTTCAAGGTAATAATACAGCATCAGTAATATTCTTATTGCAGAAAAATCACAATCAAAGGGGGAAAATGAATCATTTGGTATATCATCAACTGTTAAAAGGCTACAATTGCAACATAGATCTACATCAAAAGTAAAAAATCATAAGAAACCTCCTTTGCATGAACTATCTTCCAGACAGAGAATTCAGGCAGTTCTTGAGAAAAGAATAAATAATAAATGACAAATGTTCCAGAATACCAAGCAAGAAAAAAGAACAAGGATATTTCAAACTAACTAAGAGTTATTTTTAGAATAATTGAATTAGAATTAGGTAATTAAAAAATGGGGTCACAAAAAACCTTACTGGTTAATGGAATCATGAAGGTAATGAATCTATCTTCATCTTCTCCAAGATCAACCATAAGCAAACGGCCTAAAGAGGTGTAGAACATTGATCTACACCGCATTTCGCTGACCTCTACACCATTACCCAGAAATGGGAAATGTTCACTCTGGAAAAAATTAAAAATGATATATTAGCCACTTATTATTAGTAGCATCTACAGTATCAGTATCAAGAAGTATTTAAAAAGTTATAAAAATATATTAAATAAAATAGTATTAAAACAAATTCATCTTTACAAAAACATTAATATGAATAAATAATAACAGTATATACAAATCTGTAGCTGAAAGATGAATACAGAAGAACCTCAACTTTGAGCCTGGAGCCAAATCTCGTAATGGATAATTAATTATTAATTGTGTATGAGCAATGGCCCATGCTTAGGATTCAAAAATTGAAGTTCTGATATAACTATTGCTTCCTAATTATATAACTGTTATTTTATTCATTTTTATTTTATTAAAATCAACTCAGAACTTCCATGCGATTTCACCAGATGAACTAAATCAAAAATATTAAATTTAACATTTTAAAACAAAAGAAATTTTACAATTTAAAATTGTAACAAGTGTTAATTTGTCAGCCTAAGTAGGTTCTAGTTATTGACAATGAAGCTATGAATAGTGGCTAGGATAAAGTAGACTCAGAGTATGCAATATCCGTCAATAATCAACAAATGTAAATTTTTGTTTTGATTTAGTATTGTCAATAATGAAGCTTAGCAATCATCAAAGAAAAGAAAATATAACTCCCTCTTTCTTAAAAATTCAGGTTTTACCTTTCAAGAAACGTAGAATTTGAAAATCAAATAAATTAAAAATCCATTCATAGCTGTTCTATAAGAATTCTAGATTATTTTTTTTTTTTCTTTGGCACTACAAAGTCACAGATCAGTCTAAACCATTACTATACCTAAGTTTCAAAATAGCCATCATCTGTAACAACTGTCACAAGATGTTTTTGGAACTCAAAAAGACCATCCAGAAATCAGCTTTTCATACAATTTTAAGCTGTTTATGAAGATAGAGGAAAAAATATACGAAATACTTTGGAATCTTTTTTTTTTTTTCCTGTTCTTCCTACCTCGCCTTTTAGGCTATACGGGGTTTTCCCGGGGCGGAGGGTGAGGGCGGGGAATTTAAAATCCCCTCTGGCACCGGGACATGAATTCTTACTTTTTTTAATCTCATATTCAGATCATCTGGTTGTAGAGCAACTTCGCAGTGCTGTGCACACGCATTAGCCCATTCGGCCACCCCGCCCCCTTAATGCTTTGCAATCATTTAACCGAACGATAAAACAAAATAAAACTTACAGTTTAAAAGATAAAAAGCATTTGTATCTATTTTAGCTTAGGAATCAATCCTTTTCCTACCATTAAACTCTATATTCACCAACTTTATTATCCTTAATTGATAACTTGGTTGGATACAAGTCAAATAAACAGAAGAATAACTATGGGGTTACTTTAATGTATGACTATATATAAATATGGGGTTACTTACTGTATGACTATTAAGCATGAACTGGACTTCATCCAACTTAACTAACTTCCTAACACAGCTATATCCGACAGTGAGATCGTTTAGCAATTGTAATGTTTTACAAATTATATGCTCACTCCTGCCCCAGTATTTAAGGTTTGTAATACTGAAATATATATTAAAAAAAATTATCAATGTTCCGCTTATAAAATTACAAATTAGGATAATTAATAATAAAAACATATGAATGGTCTCATATCAAAGATGCACATCTGTCATTTTAAAAAAGTTGAGAAAAATCTATTTTTTTAACATGCTTCAATTTAAACCATTTTTAAGGATTTTTTTTTTCAGCTTAAACATTCTTAAATAAAATCTTCAAAAACAATTAGAAATGAACCAATTAAAATTAAAATGTTTTTTCTCTAATTTCTGAAAATTACTGATGTCCGTCTTTGATATGAAGCCACTCGTATAGGTATATGGAATTATAAATAAATTGTAGATATAATCAGAATGATTTAAAACTTAATTTATTTAATCAATTTAGTTAACTAAAACTGAATTGATAAATTATTAAGAGGCCTTAATTTTTAAAAAAGGTAGGCATAGTGGTAAAGAATCTTAAAACTAATTAATTATTATGAAAAATTTTTCTATTCTTCTTTTAAAAAATCTAAATTTAAATCGCATCTTAATTAATATAGTCATTATAGAAGCATCATTTTTTTATTTTATTTAATTTTTAAACTGTAATAAAACTTTCCAGCTGTATCTGAAGATAGCACTAATTCAACACAATTCAAATTAATTTAAAAATTAAAACTATAAACATATCTCACACAGAGATATACAAGTTTAACAAATGTTTTTTCGCTCCTCTAAAATGTTGAAAAATTCGAGTTAACATGATGTTGCTACTACAGTAAAGATACAATCTTCACTACAAAAAAGGCAAAGGCTATTGAAAGAAAATAAGCAAGTAAATGAGATTTATGAGTATTAGCCATTTGCAATCTCTTAATACCTTAATAAAACCATTTTTTTAGATTAAACAATAACTGAAATTCAATATTCATACAATGACATAAGACAAAACCTCTATTCAGACCTAACTGCTTTTACTCATATATTTAAAAAAACTAAATTTAAATGAAACTAACATTTTCCTGACAAAAACACTCAACACCATTGATTCATCACTGAGACCCAATACTTCTGACAATCTTCGATAAACTTTTGAATTTTTCTGAACCTAGAAAAAGTAAAAATTAAAATAAATATAAATCAGTAAGATAGATGTAAATTATTTTTAAAAAATTTTTTTTAGTGTACCTGATCGCCAACATATATTTTTCGGAATTGTTCAAAAAAGCTTAACATAGCTAACTCCAACTTTTCACAGCCTCCTTGAGTCAAACGTGAATCAGTTAAATTCATTAACTGAAGCACTCTAAAATAAATTTAAATGGTAATTATATGTAGATACAATATTTATAATCAAATATGAAATTAAGTTAACTTTTACAATACTTTTTATATTTTTTGATTACTATGAAAATTCATATTTAACGTTTTTTCATGTGAGAAAAACAAATATTAACTTTGTTTTTCCTTATAAAATTATTTCACTAAACTTTGTTCCTTAAGTGAAGTATTTCAATGTGCCAATTAATAAACAATCAAACATATCAATGTAATCTTATTATACCTATATTCCAAATATATATATTTTTTCTAAACTGAAGGGGTATCTAAAGTAAAATTAAGCCGGGTATCCACTATGTTCGCAAACCTACAGTGATCCGTTCTCCTGTCAAGTGGATATGTTCTATGCTACGAGCGTGCAGCATGTTTTGCGAACACATAAAGTGCTTCGGTGGCTATCGGCTTTTGTCCTAACTCTAAGGGGAGGAAAGGAACCAGAGGAAGTTCATGGACGGGCTACAGTTAGTTGTGAACACTTGTCTGTGATGTCTGAGTGAGTAATTAGCATAGCTGTGAACACTGTTGCTTTAAGCCGGTATTGCGCAATGGAGTGAACAGACGAAAAATGACTTCTTCTTATCGAACTATATAAAAAATATCCTATATTTTGGAATCCTAGAGGTTCAAGTTATATAAAAACAAATTCAATATATAAATATATAATAAGTAAAATAAAAATCTGGTGCGCCCAACACAACTTTCACTTCCGCTCTACTTGAATATAAATTATTTTACGGCAATGTTAGGCTATTATAAAATTGTTGAAGTGCATTTTTAACCGAGCTAAAGTTTAAAGCTTTCAGTTAATAAATCATTAATACCATTAAAATAACAAAAATCCTATTTATTATATCAACAGTTGATTATGGATTGTACAATCCGTTGATTATGACTATTAGTTATTAAAGCGTTATTTTCCATTGCAAAGTTTACTAAAATGGAATTATGAGATTTGCATTGCCTATAAATAATAATTACCGACCCATATTTCTGTCATCGGTGGTTTACAAAGTATACACTAGAGTCCTGGAACAAAGATTAAGGAACTTGGTGGAAGAAGATCTGGAAGAGGAACAAGCAGGTTTTAGACCCGGCAGACAGACACAAGATCATATCTTCTCTCTGAGAATGATTGTCGAGAAGGCATGGGATATAGGTAAAACAGTATACCTAGCTTTTCTAGATTTACCGGCGGCTTTCGACAATGTTCCTAGACAGGAAATATGGGACGCATTGCAAGATAGGAGAATCCCACAAAATCTTATTAGTGCAATTAAGTCAGTGTACCAAGACCCAAAGGGAGTAATAAGGCTAGCCGGCACTGAGTCTAGGTCATTCCATTTCTTTAGGGGAGTTAAACAGGGCGATAGCCTGAGCCCCCTATTGTTCATAATTTTCATGGATGCCATTTGGAAATTTTGTAAAAGAAGGAGATTGTTGTAAGCAGATGATGTGGTATTGGTTGCGGATACTGCTGAATCGCTCCAGGTCGCTGTGAATGAGTGGCAAGAAGAACTGCAACTCAGAAGCATGCAGATCAATCCCTCCAAAAGTAGAGTCGAAGTGCGATGTGTGTTGGACCAAGGAACGAGGATCTTAGAATCACTTGCAATGGAGAGACCCTTGAGCAAACCGATACCTACTGCTACCTGGGAAAAATGATTGGCAGGGATGGAAGAATAGACCAGGAGGTCATGAATAGAGTCCAAAAGGCCAATGGAATATACTACCAAATATCCATGACACTAATTGGAAAGCAGGAGTTGAGCAGAAAAGCGAAGATTCTGCTATTCAAATCAGTTTTTCTCCCGGTGCTGCTTTATGGATCGGAGAGCTGGACACTCTTGGACCGCCATGCCAGCAAGATTGTCTCTGCAGAAATGAGATTCCTACGGAAAATATTGGGAAAAACCAGGCGAGATCGAATAAGGAATGAAAGGGTGCGAGATGAACTAGGAGTTAGATCCGTCCTAGAGAGGATTGAAGAAAGGCAGTTGAAGTGGTATGGTCATGTCAATAGAATGGGAGATGACCGTAAGGCCAGGTGGCTTCTAGAAGCAAGACCGGGAGGAAGGCGACCTCAAGGCAGGCCAAGGCTTATGTATGCAGACTTGATAGAGAGAATTGGCGCAGCGAGAGGAAGCACCATGCCGGAGATGAGAAGGCTTGCACAGGACAGGGACCGTTGGACAAGATGGTCAGAGGCAGCTATTCCACGCTTAGCAGCACACAGGAGATAGTGAGAGAAGAAGAAGAAGAAGCATTGCCTATAGATAGGTCAAAAGTTGTTATATTAATTGTAAATGGATATTGTTGGGATATCACAAAGGGAAAATTCATCAAATTATTCCCTAATTTAATTTTCTAAAATTTTACATGATGATTTTTCGTAATAAACAAAAGATAGGTATCTAATTATTTAAATGTAATATCAGATGTAGAGTTATTAAAGTACAGTAAATGTATTTAAGGTTATATATCCATGAAATATTGATATATTTCACTTTTTCTTTCACACAACTACAATGAAATAGTATTTTAAACAATGTTGACTTGATTATAACAAACTTGTTTCGGTGGATTTTAAATACTTTTTTTTCAATAAGAAAAAATCTTATTGAAATTGGCAGCCCAAAATCTCCCCTTAAGTGTTACTTTAAAGAAAAAAAAATGTGTCACCCTAATAATTATGGGTCAATTTTCATTGATGTTCTGAAAATTACAAACAAGGATATAGATTGTTATTCGGTCCACCCCTTTATTACTGTACTTTCACATAGAATTTACATTCCGGTTTCTTTATTATACAAATCTTCATTGAATTTTTGCATCATAATAAATTTTATAAAACTAAAATTATCTTTTAAAGTTGTAATTAATCTTGAACTGATTAATACTTACTATACTGTTTCTTACCTGCATACTAACTCACCATCCATTGCATCATGCTCTTCATTACTATTAAAAGAAACCCTTCCTCCAATAGCTGAACCAATTATATAAACTAACCAAGTAAGTCTACCTGAAATTAAGATAATGCAAAATAAGCAATTCCTTCAAAACAAGCATTGAGATAGAAGAAATAATATAGAAATAACAACAAAAATAAAAAATAAGATATATTAAAATCTTGTGACAAAAATACATCTGACCTAAAGTTTGATTTTTGTATCTCATTTTAATTAATATCTAATATAGGAGTTAAATAGTATCATAGTTTCTTTTCTTTTCGATACTCTGATTGTTTCTCTTACTTAACAAGCAATACTTCAGTCCAGACTAGGATAGACCAGCAGAGACCTACTTTAAATAACTGTACTTTAAGTATGGTTTCACAGATTCATAAAAAGGGCATTAGATTAAAGAAAACTATAATTTCGAAATTTATTAATTAAATGATTAATGCTATCGACATAAATAGCCTTTAGTGTTAGCCATTGTCTATTTCAGCGAGTACAAGATGAAATTGGACCAAATCTGCTACATACACAAAGTATGGTGTAAATTTAAGAAATGCAATGAACGGAAAATAAATCAACCACTTGATAGCTTACAAACAAGCAAACAGATTACAAAGAAATAAGCAATATGAAAACCTATGAGTTCAAAGTTGCCATAAAAACTAATTCAGAGTATTGTGGCCATTTTTAAGGATCAAACTGGGCTTGTTACCTGAAAGTCCTTTTATCTTCAAAAATTATAAATGCTACCCTTAGTGAAACTTTTTCCCTTAACAAATATTATGAAATATCTTTTTCGGCAAGAACAAATGTTCTCACTGAGACCGAGTTGGAATGGATTAGTTTTATGATTTTAGTTAATATGTTTGCAGATACATTTTTCTTTTGAATAACAAAAGCTTGATTTACTTGCCTGCTGTTGTTTATTTCTTTATTCATATCATAATACTCTAAAAACAGTGAAAAAATAAAATAAAAAAATGCTCCCTTTTATCAACAATGACATTCATTGGAATTAAATGTAAATTTTTTTAATATTACGATCCAATCATTTTGTCAATGTTTATTTCTTAATTACGATAAATGTCATAATGTTTTGCAACATACAATGTTAGATAAAACCATTCACAACAGAAAAAAAAATTGTATTTCATATAAATAAGTAACAACAAACAAATGAAATACTTGTTATGAAGCGCATTATTTTGGTTTTAAAAAAAAAAAATTGTATTTCATATAAATAAGTAAAAACAAACAAATGACGTAATATTATGAAACACTTGTTATACAGCGTGTTCTTTTGGTTTATCATTTTAAATAATTAATTTTAGTAATCATCAAAGAAAAACTTATAACACCCTCTCATCAAAATTTAAGGTTTAACGTTTCATTTAACGTAATAATAATAACGTTTCATTTAACGTAATAATAAATAACATTTGATTTCACGCAATAATAATAACATTTCAAGATAGTTAATAATTATCAATATCAAATTAATAAAAATAATCCATTTTCCATTATATGCCATACAAAAAACATTTCTCAGGGCCAATTTTTTTATTTTTGACACAAAAGTCACAGGCGATCCCATGTTTCTTGGAACTTGACCACATACCATTTGGGCTTCAAAATGGCTGCTGATTGGAGATTTCAATTAAGGTTGGTTGATAAACTACTTTTTAAACTGCCAATTGTAATCCATTGACTCTTTCGTTTAAGTAACAATCTATTTCTTACCTACTAATGAGTCACATTATTTATCATTTGAATAATTAACACATTTATTTACAAAGTCTAACCTATAAAGTTTTAAAAAATAAATAAATCAATTGTCAGAAAGATTGGTTTCAATATTTTCAGAAAATACATCACTAGTTTAAAAAATAAAATCACTAAAATGGTCAGAATATCTTTAAACTAATATGGATGAAGTTTCAAAATTGCATAGGTTTATTACTAATACGGATTGAACTTTTACCAAAACTGCATGAGAATTTACTCAGTTCATCAGAGTTAACTATATATTGTTGATGACAATATACAGTATCAATAAGATTAAAATGGTAGCTAACTTACACTGAATGAATCTAAAAATATTCCCAAAACAGATTATGAGAAGGGCTTACAGCTGGAGAAAGAAAGGCCTAAACCACAGTGGTTGGAGGATGTTGAAACTGATCTTAGTCTCCCAACAAAAGTGAGATAGATAAGAGTTGCAGAGAAGTGGTCTGATTGGAGAATTATTGAATAGGTCAGTTTTCTTTCTTTTTTTTTATTATAAATTCATGGGTCCAGCAGTTTTAATAATACTAATAACTTTAGTTCTTAAGTACTACAACATTCAGCTGTTAATTAGCTTTAAAGGTATATTATTACATGGGTACAGTCCTTGGCATTTATCTGATGTTTTAATGAAAGTCAGACCAGCAGGTTTTTATCCTGCTATTGTTGACTAACTTTAAGTATAGTTTTTTAGCAGATCCCCCGGTCCGTGACTTCCATTATATTAATTGATATAGAATATAGTAATGTTAAGTTAAATACCTACATATTAAAGTTTACTGTATTATTTATTTTTTAATTAACTTGAAAATAAACATCAATGCACATACCAATGACGAGATAGATACTACCAAAAACATAGGAATAATATATCTTTACTAAACTTGAACATTGAATTTACATGCCAGTGAGGTAAAATAAACCATTAAATATATAGTTTTTTTTTTTTTTTGTTTTGTTTTTTAATAAGTCAACTTGAATTACCCTGCTGAATTGAAACATCCATTTGATGGGCATTCTGAGAGTTAAATAATTCCTGGTACATGGTTGCTGATTGATCAAATAACTGAACTAGAAGTGCACATGTTTTTTGATATTCACATCTTCCGATAACAGATAATTGTTCTAACTGCTGCTGGACCATTCCAAGATCATCTAATGGATCTTCCAGACCTTCTCTACAATCAGATTAAAATATATTTCTGGTAAGTAATTATTATATTCAAGAGTGCCTCAGGCTGAAGTAGAAACATTGTGATACAAAATACTATTACCATTTACTGCATGAGTATCAGGTTTTACTAATCCAAAGAAAAACTAAAAAAAATGTATCATTAACATGAAACTGTTTGAATTATAATTATAACTACATAAACTGGCTGATAAAGGCTTAGTTTTTCCTTTAAATATAAATATAAGCAAGGGAAAAAAAAGTTTTAGCATTGGATTTCCTTCTCATAAATCTTGAACTATTAGTAAAAAATAAATAAATAATATAACCAGATAATGAGCTCTAAATGGATAAACATAGTTATTCCAAAATATTTCTCCAAAACATTATAAGACAACAAAATAATATAATAAATAGTATATTCCTATGAATCCTCAAACATTAGATATCTTATCTCTAATACATTCAAAGCGTAAGTGATAATAGGAATAAATTTTTATTCGTAAAAGCAATGTGTTATTAGCAGAACAATCAATTCAATAAACATAATCTGTGAAGCTTTTATAATAATAATAATTTTATTATGATTGTTGAAGTTCCAGTTTATTTAATAAGCTATTGGCTTAGTCTACTAGAAAATATCTCTTCAGTTAAGCACCACATACTTAGCGTAAATATAAGCTTATACAGAACCGTTATTGTACTCTTTGAGAACTATTAGGTTGAGGTAGAAGAGATATGGTTTAGTTCAGGTCTCCCATTCAAGAAGAGTGAAGTTTAGAAGCCTCTGTGATAAGAACTTTATTACCACTATGGTTATATTGAACGAAGCAAATTAAAACATGTTCACTAAACATGACTATTTTTATTAAAATTTCAAATCTAAATATTTTTCTATGCTATAGAAGGGCCCAAGATCAGGGCTACTCTCCTCCATTTATCTTTTTAATAGATTTTTAGTTTATCAAAGACTATCATAAATAGCAATATTTTAATTTTTAAAATCTAAACATAAGATAAGTATCCCATGGCAACTATAGGACCTAAAAAGCTTTTAGCAAGAATTATGGTTTATCTTGAATTTTAGGACTTTAAAATGCAGAGCCCTTTGGAACTAAACAGGTTCTTGATATCCATGACAAAATCTTTAAAATACAATTTATCCCATCTTAATCTATTGACTTTTGAAACCTATCAATTTTCAACAACTTTTATTGTAGTTGTTGAGAAGGTTTGAAGTTTCTAAATTGGCATTCGTCAATTCTCTACGAAATTATTTTTCATTAGATACCTCATTCATCAAAATCAATCACTCCTGAGAGCCAGAATAATGATTTATAATAAGGTGTTACATGTAATGTAGATTCTTCACTAAAACAAAACACTCATGTACACACTGAAAACTTGGCACATAAATTATATGCTATTTATATCATGTCTTGTAGTCCATGAAGTAATAACGTGTCATGTTTCAAAAGTAATCATATTGTTTTAATAAACACTGTGTATCTTCTTTCAAGGTTTTCACAGCAAACGCAAAAACATTACATTTATTTTAAGGTAATATATCATTGGAACAGAATTTAGGATTAAAAGAAAAAAAAAAACAGGAAAAAATTATGTTATTCTGGTAATTTTTAAAAATAATAGCAGAATATTTTTAAAACAGCAGCAAATTTTTGATTTCCTTGATCCATGACTTATAAATTGTGCAAAAACTTCAACGCCCTCTGCATAGGTGAATATAGAACTTTACTTTCTCCACAGATCTAGCATAAAATCAATCAAGACTTCTAATTAAGCAATATAGGTAACAAATATAAAACATGAGATTTATTATACCTGTCATAAAAGAGAATATCATAAATCACCATTCATATCAAATTATATTCAAAGAACAGCTAAATTAAGAAATATTTATTCACTAATTAAAGACATGTATTAACATTAAAATATATAATTTGTTGAATTAACAACAAAATAGCTTTCTTTAAATACAAATTAATACAATAAGACGAAATAGTGAAGTTTTATGTTTTACTGTAAATACTTCAAATCATGTATGGTTTATATTTTAAATATTACACTTGAGGATGGCTCCATGAGAAATTATTTCTGAAATCTTGCCAAGTTCTTGAATGTTTTTATAAACGCTGTTTGTTATAGTGTTTGTTTTTATATTTGTGGAAGCATAGAGAAAAACTAGAATCTAATGAAAACAACAAGATAAATGTTGAATAATAAGACTGCACATATTCATTGTTAAACTGCTGAAAATATTATTTTAATGTTTCTAAAAAAAAAAAAAAAAAAAAAAAAGAGTGATTAGAGCTAATTCCTACAAATGTTAGTGAAAAGGTTATTTTTCCTTTAAAGCTAGGAACTTTGTTCAATTGATTATTTATATTTACTATTAGTTTTATTTAGACTTAATGAGGTAAATTTAATAAGGACAAAAATTCTTTAAAAAAATAATTTTATTAATAAAAATAACAAAGTTTATATTATTATAATACAAAAAATTATTAATTTTCATTATAATAAATAAGTTAACAAAAACAAATTAAATCACAGTCTAGTCCAAAATATATTAATGATAAAACAACACAGGTTAAATATATGCCTTCATATTTACCCGAAGATATAATTCCTAAATACACAATAAATAAAAAGTTATGACATAAGAAATCATTAGTTCTGGAAAATAACATATTCAAAATTATCTTTATCCATCAAGAACATATAAATATTTAAAAAACAAATCACCTGACTACAACAGCAACTGATTCGAGCCTCGATGTGATGTAAGTAGAGGTTACCTCAGGTGTGTATGTTTCTAAAAGATGGGGTTCAGTGGCTTTAACATATGGTACACTGGCTACCATTCGTTGCCATAAGCTCAACAAATAATGAACACTGTTAGGGGCAAAATGCCACATCTAAAAAAAATATTAAAGCTCTCTCAGAAAAAGTTAAAACAACTAAATTAAGCATTTAAAAATTAAAATGTGAATAAACTTATTAAAATTATAAAATTTGTGAATAGAATTACAATTACAACAGTTTTACAATTTTAATAAGTTTATTCACACTGTTTATAATTTTATTTAAATATCATGTAACTTTCACATTTTTATATCCTTTTGTATCTTGTTCATTTTAGCCCTGAAGAAGACCAGTAAGTAATCGAAACATTGGCTTGAAATAAAAATAGTTTTTTTTTCACAAATTCAGTATTTTTAAGAACGTCACCCCAGACCATTTCCTTATTCAATAGCATACAACGCTCAAATATCATATACAAATCCAAATTATTTACACCAATTCATAAAATTTATTAACATTCAAAAATTAAATTATTCTCCAAGTAGGATGGTAAATGAAAGCAGTGTGATACGATTCTACCGATTTTTTTTTTTTTTTCATATTCAGACAATTATCATTTTAATATAATGAAAATAAAAAAGAGAAATAATAAATAAAACCCCATAACTAAGAATAAATCTATTTATTTATCATTTGTAAGATTATATTTTATTAAAAATTATAACAAATATGAATCTATGAATAACTATGTTATCAAAATTATAATTATATTATAATAATTAGTTTTCTGTTTTATTCATTATACATTTGATAAAAATTTACAACATTCAATATAAATGTTATAGATATGAAAATATTTTTGGTATATTTATTATTGTATTAACAAGCCCATATTAATGCAATAATTTTATTCTGTACTGAGGACGAATAAGATAGATCCTATCGTAAACAAATACATAACTATAACAAAAAAATTTAATTCTGAAATACACAGTTGAATATCTGGAATTTTGAATAGTTTATAATTTAACTGTTTTAATTTTATGTTTTGACATTTACTGACACTTGCAGTTTGTAAAATTGTATATAATTTCTGAAAATAAATCATAAATAGTGCTCTTTATAAAATCAAGCTCCTGAAACCCAAACACACAACTCCTAGAGCCTAGCCTATTTGTCACATAGGGCCAGTACTTTCATCGATTGGTAGGTACGATAACAACATATCTACTAAAATCAACAGTGATGAGCAACAGCGTGCTTAATGTGTTGCCATGTCTTATACCTATAGTTGTTTTAATGTAGCAACCAATCTGCAAATTGACTCAATATGATACTAAGTGTTTTGTGTGCTTATTTTCATGAATCGCTCTGTAGTCATCTACTTTAAAAACTAAAAGATACTTTATATGAATTATATACTTGACTGTTACCTGACCATTTATCAAAAATCAGATGCCAATAATTTTTGTTTTAAAAAATGTGGACTGTCTTTATGGTTATTACATTTCCTATATTTTCCTTTTTTCTAAATGGGCTTAACCATAGTAATTTTCTATTCCTTTTCTAATGGAAATTTAAGTTCAAGAGATAGAGAAACATTTCTTCACCTCTAGTGTCCATGTAGCAACAACCTGCCTCATCATTGTAGCAGTTGTTTCATTCTACTCAGCTGACCAGTCCAGTCTTGCTTCCAGCAATACTTTCTTGCTGATAAAATTGTCTTCATAGGAATAAACCACTCAAGTCTCCTGAAATTCATCCGAACTGAATCTCCCTTTTAGCAGCTCCTTGAAATAATCTCTTTATCTCTCCATTATATCTTTGATCCGTCAGATAATTTTTCCATCATTATACTTGATTCTTATCAGGGAATGTGCTCATACTTTTATTCTTTATTATTTATTATAAAGGATTGCCGATTATCTAGTACCTTTTTTGGGTCAACTTATAGGTTATAAGTGTCCTCAGAATTACAAAAAGAGAAGGAAGGATTTATTATTATGAAAATATATTTGTTTACATTAGATACAACTTTGGACAGACACTCAGTACAGAATAAAGAAATAAAAAAAATTCTTAGTAATATAAATATTTTTCCAAATCCAAATTATTTACACCAATTCATAAGGTTTATTAACATTCAAAAATTAAATTATTCTCCAAGTAGGGTGGTAAATGAAAGCAGTGTGATACAATTCTACCGATTTTTTTTTTTTTCATATTCAAACAATTATCATTTTAATATAATGAAAATAAAAAAGAGAAATAATAAATAAAACCCCATAACTAAGAATAAATTTATTTATTTATCATTTGTAAGATTATATTTTATTAAAAAACATAAAAATTATAACAAATATGAATCTATGAATAACTATGTTATCAAAATTATAATTATATTATAATAATTAGTTTTCTCTTTAAAAGTTGTTGTACCTACAATAATTACTTTTATTTTTTTTTTGCTTTAAGGCTTGTCCAAAGTAAGTCCTATTTTGCCTTAAATTCTTTAATTTTGTAAATATCACTTTTAATAATTAAATTAATGACCATTAAAATTTTATGGCCTCAAACACTGATCAAATTAAAAGAAAAATAATATTTAATGTGAGGGGTAAAAAACATTACCTTGAGACTTTCTACAGTGAACTTGGCAATTAACTGAATTGCTTCCCTATAATTTTCAACCATGACAAGCTCTCCCAATTGATAGTTGGATTTTAGCCTAGCTAACAGTCGACAAAACTCATGATAATTACTAGGATCACTTAAGCCCTAAAATAAAAGAAATGAAACAATCAAAATATATGCAAACACATTAAGAACAAATAAAAATTAGAAAATAAATAAATGATCATAATAAATTATGTACCTGAGGATTTCTTAAAATATGCTTGACTCCATTAACTAATTGAGTGAGAAATTTAGCTCTTTCTGTATTGCTGAATAATGATCTTCGAACCGAAGCAATTTGAACTAGACAGGAGAGTGCCTAAAACACAAATCGATACAATTGCATGTATGTACATGATTTGCAAAATTATCTAAGCTCAGGATATCTTGGGAGAAGGTGATGGTTTCTAGTAGCACAACCCAAAAAAGCTGGCCTGCCCTTTGAAAATGGAGCAATATTCATATATACTTGAGTACATTTAGGAGACAGGAATTTCACTGTGCATCTATATTTACTATGCCAAATTATAACCTATTCCAAGCTTTCCTGAGCTGAAATCACTGAATAAAACAATATAAATAAGTGGAATTTACATCATTTCTTTTAATCAAATCTAACAAATATATAACACTTTCAAATATAAATGGAATATTTATATTATATATAATATATTTAAAGCATAATCAAACCAAAATTAGGCATCTAATTTCTTTAAAGACAATATACAATTGAGTAAATAATAATAACCACAATAAAAATTATTAATATATCTATGAATCATCAAATCGTATAGAATAAACAAACTTGGTATACAACCATGCCTTTAATTTTAATATGTGAAAAGTAATTAACCCACCAAAGTACTACCAGAATCACAAAAATAATAAAGAAGATAAGCCTTATAAAAAGATTACAGTAAAACCCTGCTTACGCCTCAGTCGGATTTTATTGTGCACATGATCATTAAGTTTTAAATAGTATTAATACTTTTAATAGAACCAATAAACTTATTTTTAATTTCTATTTTGCTTTACTAAACTTAGTGTTTTTATAAATTAAAAATGTTATGTTCTAAAGAATACTAACAAACCTATAATATGATATATAAATCCATTTTAAATTAATGCATTGAAGTAACTGCTTGTTTTTTTTTTGTATGTTAGTCTTCATTAGTTAACTCCTTCAAGCTAGTAACATTGCCTAACCCGATAATCATTGCCCAAAATTTCACAGGTCAAAATTTGATGTAATAAAAACAACTTTTTCCCTTTTAAAAATCTAATTTCTCATTTGTACAATAAAGTTCTGATGTTAATGTAAATACTGAAACTAGTGAACTAAGTCATTAATTTCATTGATTTTTTTTTCAACTGCCAATTAATCCAAAAAATTGGTTAATGGGGGTTTGTTGAACAGGGTTCTACTATACATGGTACATGTATTAGGTCAAACAGTTTTTTAAATTACTATGAAAAATGTTAAAAATAAAATATCTTAAAAATTTAGGCTATATAATGGTCAAGAAAAGTGGGCACAGCTGTCGCCATATGAAACTTTCTTTATTACTTAGCTATTCGAATTTTTGATTGATGATTAGTGGACTAATTAAGGATGATAAAAAACTCTGATCCAACATATGCTTCCTGTATCAGTTCCTCCGTACAATTAGTATTCCAAAACTTTAGTCAATGATAAATTAGCTGGTAGGAGCTATAATATAATATTACAGTAAGAAATTGAGTCACAATTTCCTCTCACTATAGTGCTTGGTCCCAATACTAGTTCCTGCCCCATAACCCTTCAGAATTATTTGTGGAACTAATTAAATAAAACTAATTACAACTTTTAAATCATTGGTGCCGGGAATACTATAAAGGAAAAGATCAATAACAGTAATAATTGGTTTAATATATAATAAACAGCCAAAATCCTGTTTGGGATGAAGATAATTTAGGGAATTGAAAACATAGTATTCATGTTCAGGTCCATAGCTCTGAGTATTAAACTTCAGAATTTCACTCAATAATCAAAAATTCAAAAAATTTAAAGCAGACCATAAAGTCTTGGACAAAAACTGATAACTAAATTACACAGATGCATAACGTACCAGGGGAGATAAGGAACTTGGCAGAGAATGGTACATGTCAAAAAACAGTTTAAGCGTAGTAAAATCCAGAAATGCTGGCCTCCAAGAAGTGGGAATTTGCACAGTACAGAGATCATCAGAGCTTTCATCAGTGGAAGTCCCAATAAAATCAAATGTAAGGCAATTATGTGCCAACCTTAGTAGCTGAGTCATTAGTCCATGCTAAAACAAAACATTGATAAATAAAACAAACACAAAATAGAAAGCTGAATGGTATAATAATCCTATATATTAATACCTGGGCTTCGTCATTGAAATTCAAACTTTTACAATTTTCAGAAGCTGTTCCAAGGAGAGAACATGATAGTCTGAATATTTCAAATAGTTGAGTGTCACGGAATGATGAAGCAATTTTTCTGTGCTTGGTTAGAGACCGATTAGCATCTGCTTCAGATATTTGGTTCATCTCACATGTTAACTGTGATAACAACTGAACACCTATCATACAATGTTCAACAGCACCCTAACCCACAATAGAAATGCAACAACAATTATAATCACAAGTATTTAGCTTATATACAACCAGGTAAATATAACTTTTAAATTATAAGCAATTTACAAGTGTAAATTATTTATAATTTAAAAGAAAATAATAGAGCTCCATCCACTTACACTATAAAAATTTACCTGCAAAAATTTGGTGATATCATTAATAACATTTCTAAAAACAAATTCATCTTTTATACAATCAAACCAACCAAGTTTTGTTATTCTTGTGTACAATGTAACTAATGCCTGAACTACGAAGGGAGCCAATTTGGGTCGGGTAGCTAAATAATTCAAAACATAATTTCCTGAAATTAAAAAAAATGAAAAAGATCAAAATGATTCCCAAGATGATTCTAAAATGGTGAGATATCATATATCATATTGTTTACTTACTTATATCAATTCTTTGTTGTAGACTGACAGTTTGTGCAGTCCGTGAAACAAGCTTAGTTAAGGTGGTTGCTGCAAGTAATTGGGCATAACTTGAATCACCTCTATCCAGAAGTAGTTGACACTTTGATAAACTGTCGGGGGAATTTTGAAAATTAACAAGGGTTTTTTCTGCTTCAGTCCTAAGTGCTGGATCATTTGACTCATATAACTGTTTACAAAGTAACTCCAACTGTCTCACCTCCTAAAATGTAATGAACTTTGATAAAGATGTAACATTGTCACCACTGAATCTAAACTTAAAGAAAAAAAAATTAATTTGATGAATTGAGTAACTATTTAAATGTTATGTTATCCACCAAAACATTGGGAAGGTTCTAATTAAATGAAAATTTGGGGATGCATATCCAGATCTTTTAAAAAAAATAACCTCAAATGAGAAATATAAAAATTTTAAAATTATTGGCAACTAATAAATTTGACAATATCATGAAAGATATTCAGGGCCTTACTTGAAAGACAGTAAAGGCCGACAACGAATAAATCTTAGAAAAATGAAAGATCCTACCATCTTTATAGAAGAGAACCTCTGTCGGAGTATCGAGCTTTAGTGGGTACAAATAATATATCTTGATTGCGATTTTATTCAGGTAAGCAAGATATTCTTCGTAAATAATAACATTGTTTACAGACTCACCTGTTCTTCCGCCATTTTTGCAGCTACCCATCCAACGACTGTAGCGCAGACTAAAAACACAAAAGGATAAAAGTACTTAAAATTTATTATTTGAATTAACTTACTCAATAAATAAAAATTAAACTATAGTTGCAAATGTTTTTTATGATATATGTGATATACCTGTTTTTTATGTCTACTATATTATTAATTATGATTCAGTATTTCATTTTCTAGTGGAAATCCTGTTTATTAAAATAATTTTAATAATTATAATATTAAGAAATATTCTAGGATCTCTAAGAAAAGTAAAACAATTTCTTCTGATTAAATTTTAAAAAATAAAAAAAGGAGCAATTTATATTGGATTTTTGTAAATTTAGAATATTTTTGAACAAAAATGTACAAATTCATAAAAGTTTTTAACCAAGGTAATGCAGAAATTTTAATTATTGATGCAATTATTAATAACGAGAATAAGTTAAGAAAAATTAAAGAAAATTAAAAAATTAGGGATCTTGCAAACATTTATTATTATTTCTTTGATTATTTTATGAAATCAGGAAACGTTGTATTAATTATGGTGACGAACTATTTAAGTTCAAATTTTTTTTTAGTCCAAATTAATCAATAACCTCCTACTACACTTACTCGAACAGCTGTTTTCTGATATTATATGGACATTGGTTTTCTCTTTTTGGCATTTTAACATTTTCTGATTTAGTAGTGCAGTAACCTTCTGTAGGTGGTACTAAAATGGATTCAGTTTTGTAATTAAGTAATAAGAAGTATTTCATTATCCCTAACCTTTTAATATTTTAACCCAGCTACTAACATTTAATGAAGTGCAGTATTATTTAAATTTTATTTTCTATATAATTGTCATCTAAGTGCAAAGGTTTTTATATTTTTTTATTTTATTGCTGAATTTACTGTAAATTAATCTTCGTTTTTGTTAAAATAAACGTATCATTTAATTCAGAAGATGTTGCATCAAGCAAGATTTGATTTTGATGACCCTATTTGGGACCAACGTTCCTATTTTGGAAGATTTAAGTACTTCGCTTGGATAACAGATCCCCGATTAAATTTTGTAAGTGACAAATGTCTTGATCAAGCGAAAAACCTTCGAACATTGTATTTGTAAGTTTACTGCATTGGAAATGCTTTAATAATTATTGCAATCCAGTTTTGTCATGTAATTACAACATTACAACAGGTTGTAACTAAAGCTTACATTTTGGGATTTAAACAGACAACATCGGGAACCTCCTGGAACTACACGAGAGGAATTATTGTATGCAAAAAAGTTATATGAAAGTGCTTTTCACCCAGATACTGGTGATAAGATGAATATATTTGGAAGAATGTCTTTTCAAATGCCTGGAGGAATGCTAATTACTGGTGCAATGTTGACATGGTACAGGTCAGTACAAATCCTGTACTTATTTTGATTTGTAGAATGTTGTTCATTTATGTGACCATTTTCACCGTAGAGACTTTAGTGATTTGTTTGTTTTCCTCCTTAAGATTTAATTGATGTGGAAACATTTTTTTCAAACAGACATCTCCTGGGCAGCTTAGTAGAATGACCATAGGATATATATGTATATATGCATGTATGTATCTAAGTCTGTGTGAAAGTGTGTAGGGTCATAGTTGTCAGGTGTGTAAAGTTGCTCGTACACTATTTGTAGAGGATTTTTTATTTCAATTTTTATCTAAATATCAATGTTCAAATCACATTTCTGGGGTTCCATATCCAAAGTAATAATTAACATAAAAAAAGGTAACTTTACAAATGTCACTCCATTTTGCCGAGGTGGCCAAGATCCCATGATGTCGTTTTTAAATGGAATTTTGAGAATAGTTGAAGACTGACATCTTCACTCTATAACCTACCTTTATTTAGATTGTGATTTACAAATTTTTGGAAACTGTACTGGTTCTTTTTAGTTGAAATTGCGGCCTTAATTAGCTTTAATTACACTGCTTTTGACTTCTACTCAGAAAGGGTAAAGAAACCTCTAACAGTTCCTTTTCAGTTGAAGCTTGGGGTGACAGCAGAAGGTTTGGTAACTTTCGAACACACTTGGCTATTTTCCCAATTCTATTGTTAGTATGGTCATGTAGTCTTGTACCACCCACACTTATGCAAGTAGACTGAAATGTTTAAAGCAGTACCTTGAAAAATAAATAATTTCATTAAAAGTGCTGGTGGTATCCAAGTACTCAGACCATTACAATTTGGTTCCCCCTTGGGGACATTAACTTCCTCACCCAGAGATTCTCAGGGAGATGAGTGACCCCTGGATTTTATTTTTGTACTGTCTTATCATAGCTGCAGGTAGAGAATTAGGCTTAGGGCTATAACTCTATCTCTTATAAAACACCTTATTATGAAATCCAAAACTCGCTGTATAATTATCAATTATATATTTTCCAAATCCTATAAAACAATGAATCTTCCTCTATCTCTGAAGTAATTACTCTGCATTCCTTTATCCACTTTTTAAGCATAAGAACCCAACTAGTCTATATACTCCATTGCGTAGGGCTGGTTTCTTTGACAAATTCTTGTTTGTTCCTCCTTTTGGAATTTCTTACCTATCGTATCCTCAAAGACTCTTCTCTGTTTTTCTCCAAACGTCAACTATTTCTTTATCTTCTTATGTCACAATATTTCAGTCAAATATAAATTTAAACTATCCAATTATAAATCATAAAATTACTTCAAAATTAGACCATTTACCCATTCTATGGGTCTGCCCCACACTTATAAGTGAATTTAAAAGTACCTTAGTGTAGCTGGCCGTGTGCAAGGAGGCATTGTCTTACAACAAATACACTCTCTTCGTTAAACATTTCTCTCCATTTGCTTTGAATTGTTCTCTTGAGGTATTGTATCTCACAACATCATGCTGCATTAATACTCTTCTCCTGAGAAAAGAATTTGATCAAAATGATATCCCTTTTGGTCCCAAAACAAGATTTTTTTTTTTATTTATTTTATTTTATTTTTTTTTTAAATAGAGAAGGAACCTTATGACAGTGAGTACTCCACACCTGGAGTTCTTATTGACATATTTCACAGAAATGGATGCTATGAAGTGAGTTTGATACTAACGAGGATCTCTACTGCCCATTGTTCTCAAGCGAATCCTTTCTGCCACTTAGTGTTACCAACTTATGAAACAATAATTCTCACTTCACAAGATCCCAACTGTACTCTTACTTTCTGTACCTCATAGTTCGAATGGTTTGTGTTACTTAATAGGGTGTTCTGTACGAAAGAAATCACTTTTACTGCCTTCATAGTTTACCGTCATTTAAAAGTGCCTCTAGCACAAATCAAACCACATTTAGAAAAAGATTGCATGGGCTGGTAGTGGAGTTGGTCAATATGAACTGCTCTACTATAAACTAAATTTCACAATTCCCACATTGCATTAAATTTTCGGCAGGCTTAAGGGTATTTATTTTTAATGTCAGTCAATATTTATTCATTTATCACATATTGATAATATTTTTATGAATAGCAGTATTCTTAAAATACTTGTAATTATATAGATTTCAACTTTCCTTTAAAAAAAAAGAAAGAAATGCTAGTGCCTCATAATTCCCAATTCTGAACTATATTTGTATATCAAAATTCATTGTTAACAATCCCTATTGATTGAAAATGTTATTATATTAAATAATTAACTATAAAAAATATATACATTTTTTTTTTTTTTTTTTTTAACTTCTTACTATAACTATTTCTCACTAGTTGCATGAACACCTCTATGTTATTTGTTGATCATTCAATCATTAGAGATTCCAGATCACATTTTTTGAAAAAATAATCAAGTTAATTTCAATCAATTAACAACAGAATCTACATTATTTTCCTATCATATTTTAAATCGATTTATTTTGCTGATTAATGTTATTAATTAATTAAACATTATTATTACATAATGTATAACACGTAACACTGTCTGGGTGTCAGTGAATTCAAGGGTTTTAATGTTTATCTCTTCAGCTTGAACTTTGAACTTTTATTTGAATGTTTTTAATTGTTTTTTTTTCCTTATCATCCATATCAACATTTAAAATTTCTTTATTCTTATTTCCATCAATTTTTTTATCATCAATCCCTTAAAAATCTGACAACAGCGATTTATTATAATTAATAAATTTCTTGAAGGTTCACTTATAGTATTTCTAAAATTATTTTCGGTGTTTGTTCTTCATGTTTTGTAAAAATTGAATATTTACTAATTGAACAGAGAACTGTTCACACATTCTCCTTTTTGTTTCTTATTGTTACCGAATTGTGGTGAAAGTAAATAAAATAATAATGACTAAGAGTTATTTTATATTTGAACAATATATTTCATTTTAGATATTATTCTCACAAAGAAATTCATTTATTTCTAGTCCTGTGGTCTTGTCAAATTATATTTCAAAGTGGACAATTCTGATGTAATTCTGTTTAGTGGCATTTTTAAAACAAACTTTTAAATTAATAGGACATGTATTAATATTGTTTATATTAACTATATGTTTCTTTCCCTTCAATAGTGTTTACCCGTGTTTAAGAAATGCCTTTTTTTTTTTTTAAATGCCTATCTTACTCATGGTCAAAAAAATTTGTTTACCTGAATGATTTTCACCAATTTATTGACATCACTTCACACAGAAACCATAAGTTGTTTTAAAACATTATAAGAACACGAATTATTAGTAAATTTCTCCTCCTTATTTTAACTGAGGACAACTTATGGGATAAAAAGAATATTTGCGTTTTAAAAGTAAAAAAGCCTGTGATTTTTTAATAATTTATCATATTCAACTAAAAAAAAAAAAAAAAAAAAAAAAAAAAAAAAACTGTTGGACAAATTCTGATTCATGTTCAGAATCAAAAAATCAACCACGAATTAAACCACAGAAACAATTACACCAACATTTTACCCACAAAGTACAATTTGACTAAATTATGATTCTTGCCCATTCTTCAACATCCGTTTGTGCAATAACAATAAATCACTTCCAAATATGTTCAGAATATGAGTCGCAGGTCTCATTTTTAATAGTATATATAATTTTTGCATCAAGAGCCTACTTAAGCAAAAAACACAAAATAATTGATTGGATTCATATTCATCACCCCAAAAAATATAAAGGCCCTGAAAGAAATTAAAACAGAAATTTTCACTTCAATCCCTTTTCAACCTAATTTTACTGATATTTTTTTAAGGGAATGTTTAAATTTGAAATATCAATTAGATACCAATATATTTTGTATGAATTAAATTTAAAATTATTTATAGTTTTATGCCTGAGGAATGATGCTTTGAATTTAACTTACAGTACAGCTAAGAATTACTTTATATTAAGCTCATTAACATAATTATTTATCCTGGTAGACTAAATGGGCTATAAATGTCATTACACTGGATACAGAACTAATCACTCAAAAGATGATTAACTTAATCTAGATTAATGGACTAGATTTAATGAAATCTTTTGAAAGGTTCAATCTTGTTTGGAATATTTAGGTTTTGGTGTGGTTTAGTGAAGAGAGATGAGTTGCTAACTTTCTTTTTGATTTCTAAATAAAAAAAAACTTTAGGGTACACTAAGCCTTGTTATTATTAAGTAAATATTTATTTTTAGAACTGTTCCAGCATTGGTATTTTGGCAATGGGTGAATCAATCTTTCAATGCATTTGTCAATTATACAAATCGAAATGCGAATTCTCCATTGACTGTTACACAACTGGGTGTAGCTTATGTAACTGCCACAACAGCTGCCTGTCTCACTGCCATAGGATTTAAAAACTTTCTCGTCAAGCGAACTGGTCCACTTCTTCAGGTAGGTAGGTCTTTATTTTACAGTTCGAAAAAAATGTTTGTTTAAAAGATTGTAAATATCTTTTAAAAATCTATTAGGAACTTCTGCACACAAACTTTTTTTTTGCTATGAAGAAAATTTCAATATTTGACACTGAATAATAATAATTAATGTATATGTTCATGTATCATAGAAAGCTTTAGGAAAATATAAATAATGTTAAGAAATTAACACTTTTCAGAGATACGTTCCATTTGCCGCTGTTGCTGCAGCTAACTGTGTTAACATTCCATTAATGAGACAAAATGAGATCATAAATGGGGTAGATGTATTTGATGCTGATGATAAAAAAGTTGGTGAATCAAGGGTATGTAGAAATATATATGATTTTTTTTTTATATATATATTTTTATTTGGTTAGAGAAATTTGACAGCGTAAATTGAAAATAGATTTTTATTATTTATAATACTTGAGAAGAAAGACTTGGTACACACCAGAGAATATACCAAATCTTGCTGTAGGATTTGTGTCAGTCAGTCATTGTAATAGGAATCTGAAGTTCTCTGTACTGCTTACCAAACTGACCTAAATAAAATAAAAAACAATATATCCTACAAAACAGTGGCTTGAAATGTTCTGAGCATCCATATTAGCTCCATTCCTAAACCTTCTCCAGACTAGCACTTTATTCTACTATCTACTATCCGACCTCAGCCCTCCACTGTTCGGAAATGATTTCCAGTTCTTAAAAACTGAAAATACTAATAAAGCATTGGAGCCACTTTGAAAAAAGTGAGATTATTTTTTTCTGTTATCAAATCTAAATTTGCTAATGATTCTCACTCCAACACTTTGTTATCATTGCTTGTTCTAATACTACAACCAATTGAAACTATTAATAAAAGGAATAGCATTAAGGTAATGATATTTGTTGAAGGTTTCCTTGACTAAGATAATCACAGAAGATTTTATTTGCAAAGAAATCAATCTTAAAGATATTTTATTCTGATTTGTGAGGTAAAATAGAGGATTTGAACTAAAGACGATTATAAACTAATAAATTTATGGCAGAATTGAATAATTCGGTAGAGAAATGATGCCCAAAAATGCTGGTGATAGCCAAAGTTGTCATTAGTATTAAATTTTAATATCTTCCTTAAATTTTCATGAACTGTGGGTTAGTTAATTTTTACTGTTTATATTTTATTCTAACTTCAGCCGTTAGTATTTTCATTTATAGAAGGACATCTAAATTTAACGACAGTGAAATCTCTGGATACCAGATTGTCACGGTGACTTTTTTTGTCCTTCATGAGAAAGTTTTAAAAAAATATTTATATTTATACATACACTTAAAATGATACATTACCTATGTGATATGTATATAAAATAAATTAAGGGGGCTAATATTTTCATAAATCTAATGGAATTATTTTGAAAATTGTTTTATTTTATGTTGCAATCCATATATCAATGAAAGGCTAAGAGTCAAAGAAAAAAAAAAATCTGGTGTGTCCACTCACACGACTTTCCTACCTATTTCAGAAAAGTTTTTATATCTTTATATATGTTCATCAAGAAACAAAAAAAAAAAAAATTGAATTAGATTTATTTGTCCAAAAATTTACAGTACGATTTATTTGATAAACTAAAGCAATGTAAACCGGCTTAAAGTAGATCAGTCTAACAATTTCAATACCCTCTAATATTGCTGATCAAAAACTTTTTGCCATAGCTTAATTTTGTCAAACAATAATTTCTGTTAAAAGTAGGGAAATAGTGAAGCTTGTGTGATGCGGGCAACAGATTTTCATACTTTCACTTAGCCATCTTCTTTCTGTCATTCACCCTCCCCCTCTTGGATTGGAAATTGAATAACTGTAACTTTGTTAGTAGTTGTCCAAACTGAACGATTTTTATGTAGTTTTGTAGGGAATTTCCTTACTTTAAAAAAAAAAAAAAACAGGTAAACTGTGTTTTTTTGGACTCAGGGGGCTCTGAAACGTATAGATCTGTCAAAAACCGCTGATTGAAAATTTGATCCGATCACAATACTTTCCTTACCTGGTATAGGTCAGAAAGTTAACAAAAAATAATTTTAATATTTTGACTATTAAAAAAATATTATTTTGACTATTTTAGGTTGTTCAGCAATGGCATTTACTTTGTCTTACTGATTTTGTTTGTTTAGTACCTTGCCCGTTATTGATGTCCAGTCTTCATCTGTATTTAGACCCATTTGTATTTTTAATGATATGATGTAATATCAAATGAAAGTTATATTTGTGCATATTAGAAAATATCATTAAACAGAAGTAGATAAATTTAATTCAGTTATTAATAACATTAATTTTTATAAAACTTTAAATTACAAAATCTAATTAAAAACTGATAAAATCTCTAAGCAATAAAAGAATCAGAATAAATAAGACTGTCCTAAGTTAATTGTTTTCAACTATTTTGATTATGAAAGGGTCTTTCATCAGCATATTTAAGACCTTTGCGAATGTCTCGATCTAGGAAGTAAGTTGATATATTTCATATATGTATAAATATTTCATAAGCATTCTTTGCAAAATCGTCTTCCAAATAGAAGTGTCCCTTTATCAGAGAGGTCCTAATGGGGAGGTTTAACTGTAAAGCTAATTGTTGCAACTGTAATTAGAAGTTATTTTATTGGTAGTTCCGGTAATAAATACTCTTACTACAATTGATATTATTGGTATTTTTAGGTTTAGAAATTTCTTTGAAATCCATTTCTTCTTTAATTGAGGTCTAAGTTTTAATGAGTTGGTTACCTTTTTTTTTTCAGTTTCAGCTATTAAAATATACATTGATTGTGTAAATAAAAGAGTTGATCCTTAATGTTTGGCAATAAAATGTAAACTTTAATATGTCTGAGTTAATTTAAAAAAATAATCGATATTTTTCAAATATATCAATATATCAGGTTTCAGTATTTTAAATCTTTGAAAAGAATAGGAATATAAATATTGAACCATAACAGCAATACCTTCCACCCCCTTCCAAAAAAAAAAAAAATTCAAGATTTGTTACTGCTTGCTATTCCACATTTCAAAGAGAGAAAATTTGTTAAAAACACGATCAGTAGTGATGCAGACCTTCAAAACTAATGTTAAATTTAAACTGAGATTTAATTTATAAAAAAATTAAACGTGAAATAATTAAAAACGAACTAATAATTTATATACATATTTACAGAAACACCTATTTACAATTTTTTGGAAACTGGACGAATAGGAAGTGATTGAACATACAGGATTTAAATCCGGGTAGGGTATTGGAGTGATGGATGTAGGAAGGAATAGAGTTGCGTAGGGATGAGGATCAAATAATGGAAGATCTGTCAAAAGCCGCGGTTTGGTGGGCCATTCTATTTAAATCTGAAGAACAGAAATGGATATTGCGGTTCATACTTTAGGTATTATTGTCTGAATTTCTTAGTTGTCTCTCCTAAAATTGAACGTATGGAGAAATAAGAATCAGTAAATATTTAGATTTCAACTTTCAAATTTTCTTAAATCTGCTTCCTTGCTTTACTTAGATTACTTTTGTGATAAAGAAAGCATATTTCATGTTTCTTTTGTATGACAAAAATTTAGTCACGTTTCTTGATTTATTTGTCTACATTTGATAATGTATTGTTTTTCATCGAATAATCTGCTGAAGTTCCATTGAAATTATTATTAATATTATGGGTGGTGAATATTCAGGATGCAGTTATTACAAAAAAAATTTATTTGTCCCGTTTCAATCCAAACATGTGGCTCATCATCAGGGTGTGGTTCGAGCACCGAAGGCTTTCAAGTATGATGACCCAGTATGAAGTATGATGACCAGATGTTTGGGTTGAAACGTTGGCACAAATAAAAAAATTTTACAATGACTGCGTCCTGAATATTTATCAGCCATGATATGTAGAACAGTCGACTAGCTTCCTTCAATATTATTAATATTCTTTACCACTTTATTTCGCTCAAATTTGCTGGCTTTCTAGAACTAAACTTAATCTAGCTGGCCATAATTTACATGAAGCATGTGGAGACGTTCGAACATTTTTCTCTTACAATCCCCTTAAATGAAAATTTATAAAGAAAATAATTTTCCCTATTCATTTGTATTTTTTTTTTTCATTTTTTTTCTTTAATGTAACTTTTAGCTCTTCCTTTTCCTCCTTTTTCTTTCCTCAGCTCTTCTATTGTCTATCTTATTTCTTTTTGGTAACCTTTCGCCATGATTTAGATGTAACATATTATTATAACATATAATTTATACATAAAATATATTAGCTAATTCAATGGATGCCTTACAATGTAATTTTTATATTAGTATTACGATTTTATTCAATGTTCTATCATATTTCCCCATGAACATGATAAAAAAAAAAATGATCAATTAAAAATAAATAAAATAATGATTTTAAATAGAAATAAAGAGTTTTTATGAGTAGGTTATATAAAATTATGTTTCTAGTAGTTTTGAGACGTCATTGTTATATTCAAAGGTAATATATTGTCAAATTTCTGAAATTTCAGATTTAAATAGAAAGGCCGAAATAGTCTGTTTTTCACACTCTCGTTATATAAAATAATTAATTATATTAACTTAATATCTGCTTATAGGTTAATTTTTAATGTTTTTCTATTGTAGATAGCAGCTGTTAAGGGTATAAGTCAAGTGATATTTTCTAGAATACTGATGTGTGCCCCTGGAATGAGTATGTATCCATCATTTTATTATTTTTAATAATTATACATTATTTTGTATTGTAATCATCATTTATTATTTATTAGTGAAGTATAATTTATCACCACCATATATATATATATATATATATATATATATATATACACACTTATGCATAAGTAAAAAAGTAGATCAAAATGCAGAGACTTTTTGAATTATAGAAACTACGTATCTGTCAGATATGATGCGAGTAATGGAGTGTTAATATATTACTGAGAAATAATCTTTGTAATTCTAACATGTTATCTCTGGATATGAATAAGTTTGTTATCTTTGCCTTTTCAGCTCTATAAATGGTTATTTTTTTGTTCAGTTCTTATGGAGGTTTTTAGTTGATTTTATAACTGAATTGAGAGGCCATAGTGGCCGGATGTCAAGGTGCCACCTGAGTAATCTCAAGTTAAAAGCAGTGCTAGTTCCAAACAGGCCTGGGCAGTATGAAATTTATTCATCCACAAATCTCAACTTTCTCATTCTGCTAGAATAGTTTCTAAATGACCTATAGATATTATTTTTTATGGAATACATCTTTTCATAAGATAAGTATACATTTATTTATTTATGTATATATTTTTGTTTTTGTTTTTAGCCATCTTACCAGTTGTAATGGAGCAGTTAGTGAAAAATTGTTGGTTCCGTACTAATCTGTGGTTCCATGCACCATTTCAAACCATAGCATGTGGTGTTTCGTAAGTTTTCTAGTAATTATAAAACTACTATTTGTTTTTTCAATAAGGCAATGGTCTTATTTTCTATCTATTTATTTTTTATGTTTTACAGTCTTACGATGATGGTTCCTGCAGCTTGTGCTATATTTCCGCAAAGATGGTATGTTTAGTACTATAAATTAATTTATAGCTCGTTTTATAAAACCTTCTTAGTTTTTTTTCTTTAATCTTAATTTTTTAATTAATGATTTCATTTGAACAATTAATGGCAGTTCTAATTAATTATAGTATAGTATTGATAATTATATTTTATTGTGATTAAATGGTCTGGACTCAATCATTATTAAAATTTATATAGGAAAATATGTTAAAAATACGATTTTTAACCATTCCATATCATATATAGAAAATATTTATCTATTTTTCTCTGTTTTTTTGGCAATATTTATTTATGTATATACATATATATAAATTTAAGTTCAACTTACTACTGTTATAGCTCTCTCCAAACTAATACAATGCGGCTTTTTGAAGAAGAAAGATATAATCGATTACGAAAAGTGAATGATGTCATTCCAGAACGTGTCTACTTCAATAAAGGGCTTTAATGGATCTACGTGTATGAAAATATGAATTAGAAGTATTTAGTGGTGTAGAAAGAAGATGAGTAATGCCCTCAGTTAACTCTGTTGCTGGTACTTATTCTAGAGAGTTACAGAATATTTTCTGATTTTACAAAATTTTCATTTTTAACTCTAGTCGTTTTTTATTTGGTTTGTTATTGAGTTGGTGAAATCATAGATTTTAAATTTGTTTCTAACGCTTATTATGTTTTAATTAAAATTTGACGGGTGATTATTTTTATTCTATGCTGTATGTGAGAGCGAGACAATAATTGGAGTGCATAATATTTATTTTTAAGAACTTATATTTTGTTTTGTGTTTTGATGTCCATTGATAGATGAAACCTTATTATGTTAATTAAAAATTAGGGTATTTAATACAACTTTAAATTGCTGCATTTGTAAGTCTTTCTTCTTTGTTGAACTAATCTTGTGATGTTATGTTTCATATTTTTATGTCATTTTATTTGTTTGGGTACATTGTTGATGAAATTGTTTTAACATACCAAAATAATAAAATCTCAGGGTTCCATTACAAAAAGGATATATAGATAAGTATTATATGGTATCTTTAATTACTATAAAACATATGGTAATGGTTTTGGGTTGTTTATTGTACTTTCAATATATTACAGTTATATATTTTATTATTTTTTAGTTAACTGCAAATTGGTGAAGTATAATCTGTTTTCTTGCATTAAATGCTTAGTGAACTATTATTTTTAACATTTTAGTTGTTACAGCTTTAATTGCCTACCATTCACTGTTTAACAGTATTGGTACTTACTTAGGCACAAATACTTTGTGTTATTCTAGCAAAGCAATAATAAAATGTTTATAAAAATAAGTACTTTTTTTTTCTCTGTTTTCTTATTTCTTAATTATAATTATACTTGTAGGTCATTAATGTCTGTATGTTTTTTTTTTTTATCAGTATGTAATATTTTTATTCTTTCAAATACCAAATGACAATAAATTACACATTACACTGCTGCTAGTTTATTCATTTGGACATGAACCTTATCCACCTGCAAGTCTTTGAAATCAAATGAACATAATGTATCTATCAAGTTATATACATAATACCAAAAAAAAAAAAAGAAAAAAAAAAGCACAATCCCAGAAAAGCAAGGACAAAAAGTTATGAAGAAAAGAAAACTTTATTTGCGGATATCTTAAAAAGTATACAAATTGTGGTTGATTATACCCATGATAATTTGAAAGTTTTCCAAGTTCCCTACAAAACAAAATAAAAAAAAAAAATCTTAATGAGATGTGTATTTCTATGGAGTATAGAGTAAAAATGGCTCTAATGATTGGGTACATCTCCAAATAAAAAAGTAGCCTCTTGGAAGTTGTACTAATGATTTAATTTATTATTTTCAACTATGGGCAATTATAATTGACTATGAAAAATAAATTCATCTCTCTTATAATATGTTACAATTATATGAGAAGGAGTTGGTCGGGGGGATGCGGTCAAATAAATACTAAATTTTTAAAAAATAATATTTTTAATTATTATGCCGTTTCCACGCACCTTGCAGGTCTTCATCAGGGCCTGGCATGTGGCCTGCAGGAAGCAGTTGATAGACTCAGTCTATCTTATTGTATCATGGTCAACCATCTCTAATCATTATTGCAATTATACATTACTTTTGATTTATTTAGTAAGTACAGTTAATGCATTATTTTCACAGGTTAACTAGTATATAGTTATACTTTTAGATAGATCATACATATTTCATATACATTTATGTTCAAGCGTCATCTTGAAGTTCGACGAAAATTGGTAGTCAAATAATGGCATATCAGGCATGAGGAAGAAAAAAAAGTGCCCAGTGGTATCTCTTCTATGGCATTATTTAATTTTACATTTTCTTAATGTGTGGGCCCCAAGCCAGTCTTCTATCAAATATTAGTCCTAAGTAGTTGACCATATCTGTTTGCAGTAATGGTATGTATTGAAATATACAGAAGGAAAACTTTTGTGTCATAATGTAAATGTTATGTGTTGGCATTTTTCATGGTTCATTCTTATTTTTCACATCCTACACCAATCTTGTAGTTTGCATAAGTGATGTTGTAGCATTAGTAAAGCCTTTGTAGGGTCTTGGTGTCTTGTTATGATTGCAGTATCGTCTTTGTATGTTGCTGTTATGATGTTGGAAGTGTCTCGTGTGTGTATACAGTGTACAGGAATGGTGAGAGTACAGACCCCTGTGGTAATCTTGCTAGGGCTGGTCGAATAGAAGAAATTTCAAGGCCTTGACCTATGGAGAAAAATCTATCAGAAAGGAAAGATTTTTGTGTTGGTATTTGGATTAATTGGCAGAAGGATTAAAAAGTATGTGCTGGGTACTACTGTCTTAAGTTTAAAAAGTAGGCCCTGGTGCCACACTTTTATCAAATGCTTGAGCAACATCCAGAAATACACCTGTTGCATATAACTTTTGCTCTAGTGCTGTTGAATTGAAGTCTGTCACTGTGTAATTGATGTGTTGTTGAGTGGAATTTTCTAAATCCAAATTGGTGGTTAGGTATTCTTTGCTTTTCCATTAGTATGTCAAGTATTCTTCTGTATAATATTTTTTTAAATATTTTGGAACAAATGCTAAGTAAGCTGATAGGACGCTAGGATGAGGGATTGGATTTGTTAATCATAGAGATGTATGAATATTTCCACTGTATAGGGAATTTAGTATCCCTAAGTATTGCATTGTAAGTAGTAGTAAGGAAAACTAGAGCCTTTCTTGGCATTTGCTGGAGTGCTACAGTATTTATCAGATCACCAACAGGAGATTTAATTTTTGGCAAGTGTTTAATGTGTTCTGTGACCTCTGTGGGAGTGAAAGTTGTAGTGGAATGTCTCAAGTATTGAGTACGTTTTCGTCTTGTTCTGTATTAGTGATTTCAGTATGCAGTGTGAAAACAGAAGAAAGATAGTCAGCGAAGAGTCCAGATTGTTTTTCGTCCATGAGAACCCAAGAACCGTCTCCTTTCCTTACAGGTGCCGAAACCGTGCTTTAATACATTTTTTGTGAAACCTCCACAAGCTTCCATCGTCAGTTGCCAAGTTTTTAATGTAAGATTCATAATTGGTTCGGTTAAATTTTTGTATTTGTCTTTTCAGTTCATTATTAAGTTTGTTAAATACCCTTTTATACGATAGAAATCTATTTGTCTGCCAATATTTTCAAGCTCTTCTCTTTGCTCGGATCAGATCCCTTATGTATTGTGGGTAGCAAGATAGATTCAATGCTTCTTTGATGGTGGGTTCTGATGAAGAACAAGCAGCATTCTGTATTGATTTTGTTTATATATCTTCTTGGGTTTTAAGTGATACTGGAATTGAAAGATTGGATTGAAGATACGTTCGGTAAAGATCCCAGTCCATGTTTCTTCATATGAGGGATGGTTTTTTTTCTGCTGCTGAAGACTCGTCATAAAGAACTAAGTGTACCAAGGAATGATCAGAGCTCGATTTAACGGCGTGAGGTACAGTTTTAAGTCGTTTTATTACAAAAAAGTCGATCAAGTTGAGAGTTTTATGTACTGAGTTTGGTCAGTAAGTCGGAGTATCTCGGTAAATTGTACCTAATGAAAGATCGTGGAGGACACGCAATATATTTCTACATCTTGGCATGGAGAGTCCTGAATCCCATCTGTAGTGCTTGGCGTTGAAATCATCTCCAGCGATGAAATATCTTCCCAAGAGTCTGAAAACACTGCAGGTGTCAAAACGTACCTTGGAGGGCAATACACAGTAGCAGGAGTGCCTAAAAGAGGTTTCCGTAGGGCAAGTTGCTCCATCAAAATTTCCGGGGGCGGTATATTTTGATGTTTTTTATTTTTTATTTTAGAGGGGGGAAATGAGGGTTATGAATTTTCGGACTAAGAGACAAGGGACAAAAAACATTGAACATAACGCAGCAAGTTTGGTTGTGTATGATCTATGATTTTCCTACCTTGGCTTGCTCTGTTTCTAAGAAGAGGTAAGCAATAAAATATCTTGAGAGGAGGGGGAGTGGTAGGTTCTTGCGCCATCGACGTTGGGGAGGATTGGCATCCCTGCACAGCAGCAAAAGTGATAGGTGTTTTGTGTAAAGTGTGATGCCTGTTAATTGTATGTTATGTAATAGGTAAGTTTATCGGGTAATGTTTGAGTGATCCTTTGATCAGTAATGCTGTTCCACCGAGCGTTGTCTGATCAGGGTGATCTGATCTGTACTCAGTATATCCTGGTATAAAAAATTTTCAACGAGGTGTCAGATGAGTTTCAGTGATCAGTGCTATGTCTGTTTTTCATGCAAATATAACTCAAGTTCTTTTCTATTTTCGTTGAGTCCGCTTGCGTTCCAAAGAAGAATTGACAAAGTGTCTATGGTTAAATTATTAGAGTGCATAAGTGGGACACCAGACTTGAGTAATCTGTGTTGGTGAGTAATAATTTTTGGAGGAGGGTGAAAAGGGGATGAATAAGATTGTTAAGATTACCAATGATCTCTATTATTTGAGAAGAACCATTAATCATCGGAAGCATCGGGTGGGCAATGCCACTTCCTATACCTGACGATGCCGGCTGGTGTTGGGGCGCTACACGGGCTGTTGATGTTCTGCACCGAGTTCAGAGTTGGTTCTTGGAAGTGATGCCGGAGGGCACTGCGATGGCTGCCAGAGGGACAGGAATTCTTCTGGGCGAGGAGGCATCTCCACTGGTTGAGCAGGCGCTTGCCGCTGAAAATGTCTTCTGGCCAGGCCCTTCAAGGTTTGACCATCCTTTGTAATTTGCTGGGTGCTCTCACAAGTAATTGGCACATTTTGCATGCGTGGCCCTTTGATTTAGTACATGTACTACTTTTGTGGTTAAGGTCACATCGGACACATCTTGGTTGGTGGTTACAGTATGATCTTGTGTGACCATACTGCTGACACCTTAAACATTGTGGTATAATCCTCTTACGTTTTGGCTCTTCGATTTTTACGTGAGAATAATAAATCTATTCGATATCAAAGATTTGTTCCTTGAATGTTGACTTTGACATGTCAACAAAAAACATCGAAAGGATTGTTTCAAAGCGAAATACGTTGGTAACGTCATTTACTTCCCCTAACTCTTTTAATTTATTTTTTATTACTTCTATGAGCAAAGTATGATGAAGTCCCTTAATAACTACTTTCGATGATTCGTCCGCTGGGAGCTGGTATGAGTGAAAGTCGGCACTTGCTATTTTAAGTGCAGTAATACGTTTTCTATAGGTCATAGGTGTTTCAGGATATACTGTCACACCTCTAAGAGTCGATATTATTTTAAACGTTTTTTGGCCAACTTCGTTTTACAGAAATAAGATAAGGTGAGGTTAATTGTCAACACCATCAACGAAAATAGGTGGAACTTTGTCAATTTTGATAGATGGACCAAGTGAACAGTAAGAATTGGTTGTGACAAAACGTCATATCTATTACTGGTGGCGATAACCTGACTTTGTTGCGGAGTATTTGTTTCAGTATTCAAGGGCCTTTTTCGCCCAGTTACCAGCTCCCAAGAATTGTTATTATTGGTATTTTCATATGGGGGAATGTCCATTTGACTTACTGAAAGCTCAAGAACTGGCAGCTCGCCGACCATTGCTGGTGTTGAGTTTTCCTTCTTTCTTATTTGTTGTTCACTTCTTATTTATGCTAAATATGCACTTTTACTGTTAGAAATAAACTTTAAAATAGTTATAATAACCCTAAACATAATAAGGTAAAATTAACACAACTTTTCAAAGCAACGATCTTTTTTCATCACATTAAGGTAAAAAAACTTTTATTTCATGAAGTGACAAAGGAAATATGTTAGGAAAAGTTTATAAATTGGTAAAAAATGAAAGAAAAAGAAAAACGATTTTTTAATAAAACCCAATTCCAAAGTCCACTAAAAAATTAAAAAAAGAAGTAATTCCAAAAACCTTAATTCTACGGACATTGGTAAATTTCCTGATCTTATTCTTTTTTTAAATGGGCATTAAGTGAATTCAATATGAATCAGCTTCAGTTGTATTAATTTAGGATCCTATAAATTGACTATAATTATTATTGACTTAATTTCCCATCTATTTCAGGATGAATTTTGACAAAAAAAAAACTGTTTTTCAATAGTATTTCTATTCCTTATTATTTAATCTACACATGTGCTTAAGTTGAGTTCAAATATTAATTAAATGTCAACTTAATGATAAACTTTTAAAATAATGATATCACCTATTACAGTATGAAGTAATATGCTAACCAGGGATGCCTAGAAGGCCGTTCATGGTGCAACTTGTGCCATCAAAATTTTTGAGGAGAATATATATTGATGAGGTTTTGATTTTTTGAGGGGGCTGATTTCGACTGGGTTATGAATTTTAGGAATGAAAAGTTTTAAACCATGGGATAAGGGAAAACATGGTACAGACCAGAACAAGCGTAATTGTTTATGATCCACGATTTTTCTTATTCTACTGTCACTTATACTATTTTTAATATGAAGTAAGCAATAAAATATCAATGGAGAGAAGGAAGGTTAATGTACCTGGGGAGCATGGGTACCCATGATGCTAACATCAATTAATATTTTAAAATACAAAAATGTAGCAGATGTCCTTCGTTATTGTATTCATGAAAAATGAAAAAGTATCCTTTAATATCTTGTTGAAGTCTCAAAAACAATTCCATTTCTGAAGAGAAATGAATGTAGCCTTTGATCTAATGAATCTATATCATTAGAATTATTCAAAATTTCGGGCTGGATTCCTCCAAAAATAGAAAATTTTTGATTCTGTTAGTGATCTGAGATAAATACATAAATAACAGAATAAGTACTCTTCTCATCACCTGAAGCTCTTGTGTACAGTATCCTAGTGATTAATGAAACTTGGTCCATAGAAGATCAAAGAGAAAAGGAGATTCCGATGGAACACAGCTGGAAGAAAGCTGATTGGGAAAAGTTTGCTTCTGCATCTGTCCAATACGTAACAACCAAGGTAGAGACTAATGAACTAGAGCAATCCGTGAAGAAAAGAACTGAAGCTATGATAAAAGCTGTACATCAGAGCTTCCCACAAGGTTATATTATAAATTATTAGCCATTTTGAAATGAGCTATGAAAATCAACTCTTATAACTTCCAAACAATTCAGCTGTAAAAATGCCTTTGCAGTGTAAAATGGCAGCCATAACAATGAATGATATCAAAAAGGCACCACCATGAAAAGAACGTATTGCAGCGGTTCATGCCTCGATTTGGGAGTGTTTACTGAACATAAAGACGACACTTTGCTCTAAGAACGAAACACGGCCATCTTTAACCATTCCAACCAGAGGAATACATCTCTTATAGCTATGCTCATAAGCTCGGAATATTTAGAAACTGAAATTATGCGGAGTGTCTAAATGTAGAAATAACCCTAAAAACGGATATATACTTTTGAATATGACAAACACTCCCATTTCAGCTGCCATATAAACGGGGGAATATTCCTATGTTTACAATCAATAGCGGTCGTCATTCCTCAGCTGAACTTGGACCCCACTCCCTAATAAACTTAGGAACAAAGCGTTGAGGAGGACATTGTTTGTATTCTCGGCCTCCGTTGCTTGTAAATCAAATCTGTCCTCAATAACCTATTTTTCTGTAGACTGTGTTACCACAAGTGGTCCACAGCTGCTTAAACGATTTTGATGAAACTTTTCTGGACTATTGACTTGTGTTTTTCGTTGATTATTTTGTATAACTTATTGATACGGAAACTTTATGCGGTTTATAAGAGAAAAAAAATGTTTTCACATTATATTGTTATTGTTACTATTAATATTGAACGATTTTATAATAATAATAAAAACACTCATTTTTAGTTATTATTATTGGAGTATTTGACTGATTAAGTTAGGATGACAAGGACAATTCAATCCAATTGTTTTAAATATTTTTTTAAAAAGGTTTCATCCCTTGAAAATAGCCTAACGCCGGCGTAAAAAAAAAAAATAAAGTAGGAATGTTGTGATCAAAACGAGTGTTTTTATTATTGTAATAATGTGAAGTACGAGTATAAAAATATATATTTAATTAAACGATTTTATTATTTTAAATTTTCTCCTGCAAATAATAGCTTTAGGAAAAACGAAATTGAAGAAGAGATTAAAGTTAAACTGAAGGCGGGAATTGCTTGTTATTTTTCTGTGACAAAACTTAGCTCGCGCCTCCTGTCCCGGAGCTTAAAAATTAGAATCTATAAAACCATTATCTTACCTACAGTTCATTATGAATGCGAAACTTGGCCGCTTACATTAAGGGATAAGCAGCGTCTTAAGGTTTTTGAAAATAAAATATTGCGTAGAATATTCGGTCCGAATAAGGATGAGTTAACCGGAGAGTTCGGACGGTTACACAACGCCGAATTGCGTGAACTGTATCCGGGTAATATAACTGAGGTAATTTCATCGCGGCAAATCAAATGGGCTTGTAAAATTGTTGGGCTTAGTAACGAGAGAATTCCTAAAAAGTTAATATTTGCTGTACCGAATGGTAAACTTCCGAGGGGTAGACCGAAGCAAAGGTGGGAAGATTGCATTAAAGCCGATCTGAAGGGACTGGGTTTGGACAGCGAACGGTGGAAGGAGGTGTGTGGTGGGCGATTGGTGGTGCCGGCATCGAACCTTCGGGTTCGCTAACCCTTTTAATATTATAAATAATAGCTTAATATTTTATTTTATATGTTTGCTAACTGTGTACAAATACTTTGATCTTGCAATAGATTAACAAGTCTCCTAGAGAGTGGCTGTAGGTACGAAGAACAGGCCATCACCTTCGTACCAGACAATTACTCAATTTTAAAACAAAATGCTATGAACATCATTCATCTATCTCACGCCTTCAATTGAAAAAATATATAAAAATAAGAATAATCAAAATAAACATATAACCCAAATATGCTCAATAGATTTTTAATACTGACAGCATTCAGTACTCTGTTCTTGGAAAGTTCTTCAAAACATGAAATTACTTTTAATAAAAACTACTCAGTGCTTTGAGGTCAGATAACCCGCCATTTTTTAAGAATAAAAAAAATTACAAAGCGTGTGGAAATAAGTACTTTTAGCCCATCAATAAATCAATTGAATTAGAAGCATATTGAATTAAATAAATTCAAATATTACTTGGTATAAAACAGCTTAAGAAATCATTTGTTTTTTATGGAGGGGAGATGCCATTGCCTTGGGCGCCAAATCGTTACCCATATTTGTTCAATTAAATTAAATTTTCTGTTCGAATCTCTTTGCCAACAGTAATCGATCTAATACAAATGGTAGTTCAATGCTTAGTAAATGAACCGTCCTTGACAGATGGAAAATGTATTTAGAAATGAATAACAATATTTAAAAAAAAAATTAAAATGATGTAGGCAATAAGTCATGTTAGGGAGGTTTTCAACTGCGCTGCAACATGCAGCTGATGTGGTTTGTACTTGGACATTGATTATGGTGTATTATATTTAATTGAAGTTGTATTTCTGTTTTTAATTTCATGTAGTTAATCATATTATTTAACATTTACGACAAGCAGAAATTTTTCATTGTATCTAATAATGTGTTATGACATTAGTTGGCTCCTCCTCCTCCCCTGTTTGAAGATTTTGTTTATTACTGGAAGAAGTTGATGAATCATTACTTAGATGTAACTAAAACAAAGCCAACTCCTATAGAATTAACTAACATTCCAAATCACTTGGAACATCTATTGGAGGTTTGTTCCTATGCTTATTCTAATTACTCAGAATATTTTATTTATCATAACATCAGATTTCTATTTTTTGTAATAGTGATATTTTTATAGAAATAATGTGTGTCAAGGATCATTAATTATTTACTCAATATTGAGTTATCGATTAAATTTTATTTAGAAATGAAGCTCAAAAATGTTGTGTGTTACGAGGTAATCACAATTGGCATTGTCTAATGAAAGTGATAGGAACTCGTTTTATAATAATGATTTCACTAACATTTATACGTATATTTATAATGACATAAGTGACATCTACTTGATCATTGAAGATATCTCAATGATTTTTTTTTAGAAAGCCATTTCATTTTGGCATTGGCATTGTTTATGTGTAATATTTCTTTTATAATCCAAGTATAAAATTAATTGACACATAAAATACATTTAAAAAACAGAATGAATGAGATAAATCAACTACTGTTAAAAGTATTATATATTCTCTCCGTACATCCAATTTAATGAAAGGATTTCTCATGAAAATGTATGTAAAAGTTCTCATTGAAAATAAACCTTAACATCTTCTATTTTTATTTACTTCATTCAGTTCTTTAGTAACTTAAAGATTTAACCTTAAATAATTTACTGTGGATGTTTTTTTATGATGTATAAAATAAATTCTTTCATGTTCATAATGAATGTAATGACGGAAACTGCTATACTCTTTAGATATATTTTTGCTATATTATCATTATTATCTTTCATTAAATTATTATTGATGTTGAACCTTCAGTTTTCTGCCTCACCTACTCTGATAAGAAACATTGCTTGGTAAAGTTTTGAAAAAGTACTTTTTTAATGTTTTTTTTTTTTTATCTCTTGAACAAATGAAAAGTTAAGAGCAATGTATGAGTAAGTTATAATGAATTCCTCTGAAAAGAAGACAACATTTAAAAAATATATATGTATGAATTAAAAAGAAAAGGAAGTAATATTTTTCTTTTTAAACTTTCTCTTGTATTTTTGTTTAGCTTGACTAGGGTATATTTCATTTTTTAAATTGTGTTTTCCTGTTCAGATCAAATATCACTTCTCTCATGGATTATCAATACATTTTTGAATCTCAATGTATAAGATTTTCATAATGATGTAGAGATGGTTGACCGTTGATATTATATGAGAAGGAGTTAGTCGAGGGTGCGGTCAAATAAATAAAAAAATTAAAATATATAAATAATTTTAATTTTTGCCGACGTTTCGACCCACTTTGCAGGTCGTCTTCAGGGCGTAAGATGTGGCACTGCGGGAGGCAGTTGAAACACTAAAAATCAGTGTTTCAACTGCCTCCCGCAGTGCCACATCTTACGCCCTGAAGACGACCTGCAAAGTGGGTCGAAACGTCGGCAAAAATTAAAATTATTTATATATTTTAATTTTTTTATTTATTTGACCGCACCCTCGACTAACTCCTTCTCATATAAGATTTTCAAAAATTTATTTATATCCCATTTAAATACCAATAGGAAATATAATTAATAAGGAAATAATCATTATTTACATTTTTATATTAATATTTTTGTTTAATATTACACTCATTTTACAGATTCTTTTAAAGGAAGGAGAAACTTCAGATGGGGCTGGACCATGTATGGAATATTTTTTACAGCACAATTTATTGGATTTATTGACAACCCTTGCTTCTACTGATGACCCTCCTGGAATGAAACAACATGTTTTACAATTAGTGGCTAAACTTCTTAATCAGAGCAAACATATTGACTATGGCCATTCAAGTGTTTATTCTGCTTTGCAAGTAAGATTTCTGTTATTTACATATCATCCCATACTTACACTATTATGTTTTTAACTATTAGTTACTTAGTTATAATTATTATATTATATGTACCTTTTATAGAGACTGATTGGATTATGTGATGGCTCTACACCAACTGCTTCTGAAAGTTATGAAATACAGTTTTTGTTATCTTTAAGTGGAATTTTGCGGAGGAACTATCAGCTTGTTCCAGTTTTCATTTCTCATTTGGTAATTATAACATTTTCCTGTTATAAGTGCAGTAACAAATGTATTTTTACCCTCCCTCCCCTCTCCCCTGTTATGCTTCATGCAAGATAATCGATAAAATAATGCCAATGAAACATTTTTCGGTATCCCTTAAATAGGCAGTCGGGTCGAAACCTCCCGTGTTATCTAATCTTATATCACATAACCTTGCTTCTTACCTTGTCTAACCTAAGTTATTCCATTGTTTATTTTTTGTTCCTCATGTAAGCTATGAGTTATTCCATCGTTTATTTTTGTTCTATTAGTGTTATTTTCATAAAATTATGGATGTTGTTACATTGTTCGAATTGCCGTCTTCAGAAGAAGAGGCTATCAAATATTTTCAAAACGCCGGGATAATTGCAAAGGTGGAATATTGTAATGAAGGTCATGAAATGAAGTTCACCGGGAAGAAGAAATGGAGATGCTTTTTTACTTGTAGCAAAAATGTTTCTATAAGGAAAGAAATGTAATTAGAGGGGTCGAGGATTTATTTTTGAACAGCTTTTAAATTCATTTATGGATGGTCCCATAATTTAGCTAAAATACAGTGGGAGAAAGAACGGGCTAACTTGTGTGCATAGCACCGCCGTGTGCCCGGCCACCTGATCTATGAGACAATGGATATTAAATAGTCACGTGTTCGCGTCCCGGTACCGGGGGGAGTCTTTTAAATCCCTGCCCATACCCCCTGGCCCGGGAAAACCATAAAGTGTATAGCCTTAAAGGCGAGGAAGGGGAGGACACACACACAAAAAAATTAATAAATAAAAATAGATAGTTATAATCTTCCTAAGTCTGCTATAGCCAATTATTGAACGAATGTAGATTACATGAGGGAGACTAGATCTAGAAGGTTGACTTTATTGTTTTAGACTCTATAGGCTTAGAATCCAAATTTTACTTTAACTTTACCTAATGGACTGAATTTATCTCGTCAGGATGTTATTCAAAATGTTACAAGTCTTTTCTTCTCATTTTGAATTACATTTTCTCAAAAGTTTTAATGAAACAATAAATATAATTGTTAATGTTTTTTTTGTGAATTCATCTCCTTCCCCAATTTCTCTCAGTTATTATCTGTGAATTATTTCTTTTTTTTTTCAGTTGTAAAATTATGTTTTTTATTCCAGAGTAATGAAGGTGAAAGTTCAACTGAAAGACGTACAAGCTGTAGCAGTACCAGCAGTGATGCCAGCTCAATACCAAGGAATGCATTGTTCACTACACCTCTTGTACCAAGTGCTCGTTCTTGCAATGTTACTTTGGTTCCACAACCGGTGACTGTATGTTTAGGAAGTTCATCACAGTCTGATTCACATCCTCAGTTTCCAATCGCAGATGCTGTTCTTTCGTACTTGGACTCTCCTGTTAGTAATTATATTCTTGGTTTATAAGTATAGAGTACAGGTTATGTCAGTTTCCTACGTTCTTAGTAAGAGATCATATTACTGTTTATTTAAAATGCCTAAAGTATCTCCATCATTTTTATCAATGTTGAAATCTTGGATTGAACTTAAAACAACAGACATGAAATAGTTTAAACAACTGGTGGAAAACTGGTGGTACCAGGCCAAGTGGGTGAAACTTTAAATGAAAAAAAGGAAGAAGTTTCTATCAAAAATTCAGGTCCCATAATTCTGTAAGGCATTAATAAAATTTTAAATGCCGAAGATTCAATTTTTTTCCAGGAACATTTGACATAAACCCGGTAATTATAAGTGAATATAAATTTATCCCTATCACGCCCGTTGATGTAGAAAGATCATTTTCTAATTATAAAAATACTTAATAAAAGGTTAGGTTTCACAGAAGAAAATTTAAAAATGCCTTTGGTAATTAATTTTAATAAAGTACATGTCTGCAATCAGACTAATTCAAATATTTTATCTATTTTACATTATATATTCCACAAGTTGTTAATTATTTTATTGTTCAACATGTTAGATTTTTATCCATTAACATACAAAATTCTAAATCGTTTACATACTTATTGTTCCATATTTGTTATATTTTATTAGTATGCTTATTTAGTTATGTGTTAATGCAATTTTTTTTTCATTTGTATTACTTTTACGTTTAAATTTTTTTGATGTGATTCATGTTTTTTTTCATTGCCATTATAATGAATATTATAACCTTATTAGTCATGCATGTTTAGTTATTTTCATTCTTCAGTTTAGATGTAAAAATAATTTAAATTATTGTAATTTTCCTCCCCTCCATAATTTCTTTTCATTAAAAAACATTTTTTAGGCACGTCATTACATTTAAATACGTTATGAAACATTATTAATCAAGTAATTAGTAAGTTTAGTATATTTAGAAACCGGTTACTTCATTTTTATGTTTTTTTTAATGCATATTTCAGAGTTTTTACTGCATAGTGTATGGCATATTCTGTGGGTATTTACTGCATAAAAATCTGGGCCTTGCTGATAACCTTTTCCTTTTAAATCAATTTTTAATGTTTTTCAATTTTGTTTTTTAAATTTTTTATACTAAATTTAAAATTTGTACTTAAGCATGAAAATATCACATTTACCTATGAAAGAGAAAATGAAAATAACAAATAAACTACTTCAGGGAAGTGAAAAAAATAAATAAAATAAAAAAATGCATTAATAACAAAATAGTGTATAAATAAAAAACTGATGAATTTAATACTGTTATTCCATCAAAATATTTTGTCATCCATCCAAAAGCCTTAAGTAAGATTCTAAAACAACTTCAATTTCTCACAAAAATAATTGATAAATTAATAGATAAGCTATTATTTTCTATTAGAACTTTTTTTTGTACGTAAATATATTTTATTATTTTTTAATATATTTATTGTAAGACGGGTGTAGGGTGTGGTACTCAACGCGTAAGGCCGTGGACTATAAATCACGAACCCTGAATTAAGCTAGGCAGTGGCAACAAATTTTTTTTCAGTTCTGTTCAGTAGATTGTTGATTGTTTTAAATCTTCTTAGGGATTATTAAGCCCTTATGGAGTAAGTACTTGATGAATAAGTGTAGTTGCTGATCACATCATCCTTGTAACCATTGGTCTAGAAATAATACTTTTTTATCAAGTTCTGAATCAAAGAACCTTTATAAGTTTTAGTGGTTCAAGTTTTTCTTTATGATGAACTTTTCTCAAGTCAATTTAAACATTCGATATTATTTCAAATATTAATTTTAATTCTATTAAAATGTTTTCGAGTAAAATATTGTTTTCAGTATTATATTCTAGGACACTGGGGTTAGATTAAAAGCCTGCCAAGCCCTGATGCTATTGGTTTCTCTGCCTGATACTACTAATACTGCTTCCTTGATCTCACCTGAGGTATCTCTGAGGCTCATATCAAGACTGGTACTTTTGTTCTACACCATTCCTCATTCAACTGATCCAAGCCATGTTGACGAGATGCATTTATCATGGGGGTAAACTTTCTGATGAATAATTAACAAATGAAGAATAGATTTTGTGTTTGTGTTATACTCACACAAATATATATTTATTAAATATTTTTTAATTTTATTTTTGTAAATTTTTTTGGTACTTTTAGTCTAAGCGGCCGCTACTGACTGCTATCTGCCAATGTTTATAACCTGAACACTGATAACTCCCATAACGCAGTGATAAGCTCCTACTTCACATCTTCGTATTATTGTATTAAATTCGTATTATTGAAAGTGTAAACAGATACAAAAACAAATGTAATAACAACAAAAATACTTTTATTTGACGACAAATATATTAATGAAATAATAAAAAAACACTTTAAGAAGATATGTACATATAAAATATCAAAATGAAATTTTAAAAAACAAATTTAAAAGAACATATTTACATAGAAAAGAAAAAATATCAACACTATAAACAACGTATATACAAATTATTTTAAGTTAATTATTCACTTCATTTTGTCTTATTTATTTCGGAAGGCAAAATTGTTTTATGCTACTTAAAATAGCGAGGAACGGTTCCTCTTCTCTGTGAACCCGCCGCCACAAAAATTCGCACAAATATTAATCGAGGTGTTGTCTGGCAGTTCCTCTATGTACTTTATTTCTCCACTTAGCTGAGCCCCACAATCGTTCTATGTGTTGAGTATGAACCCCAGTTGATGGATCGACAAAATTATACCGGTGATTCACTTGGAAATGGTCATAGTTTGCTGAATACTGAATTGCCTGTTCTTCTGAAGACGGTAAATCCCATATTCTAAGAAGATCTATAATATGACGAAAATAAACGAAAAAAAAAAATGAAAAATAAACACCAAGGGGTCACAAACTAAAAAAAAATGTAAAATAAACACAAACGGGCCACAAACAAAAAATAAACACAAACGGGCCAAAAGTAAACAATTTAATAAGTGAACGTAATAAGGGAATAACTGAAAACTAAATAATGCAATAACTCAAAAGTTTGGCGGGATAAGAAGAGGGAGGTTATGTGACATGATGACATGACATTAGATAAGATAGATAAGAAGTGAGGTTTCAAAACGGCCGCTTAGACAAAAAGTACCATTTTTTTTTTTTAATTTAAAGTATATTGGTTTTATCTTTGATAATTTGTGTATGCTAAAATAATAATTTGGGAAAATAAAATCAAATTGCCAAACATAAAATATTATTTTATGAAAACAAATGTTTCAATAAATAAATCAAATATTTTAAATTATAATTTAAACTTGACATATCGGCAGCCAATTTGCAAAAGTCTATAACTTTAAATACTAAAATTATTCATAATTATAGACAAAATAAACTCTATATTAATTATTATATGGACTAGATTTTTTGTTCAATTTTTACTGCATGTTTAAGACAAAGATATAATATCTTTTGTTTGTATTTCTGAATATGTGCAATGCCGAGATTGATCAGAAAATCTCAAAACTGCACTTTCTAATAAAATTGTATTGATTTGTTTTGACTTTTGCATCATGGCGTCTCCAGACAATGAAGTCATGTTTTCCCTCCAACAAAAATTAAATTTATTTCTTAAACTGTTTTATATTCAGTAATATTTGAAATTTATTTCATTCGATATGTCTCTAATTCAGTTAGTTTATTAATAGACTAAAATTAATTATTCTCATACGCTTTGTAACTTTCTTTCATTCCTATCAAGAAGCAGACGCATTGTCTCCCGGTGGATCCACTGGGGCAATTGTCAGACCCTAAGACCGACACTGGCTGTTCATGTCATAAAATGAAAGAAATAGAATGAATTGATTTTTTATGCAATATAGGACAATAATCATAATTTTGTTCATCCATGATTAATATTATATAATACTTAAATTAACATTATATAATAGCTTTATATATAACATAATATTAGCTTTTAAAATTATAGTTAATATTGTACTTCTTCGAATGTATTCATCATTATTAAAATTAATTCCTTTCTTGAGGGGCCTCATGAATATAAACACGTTATATAATAGTAGCTAGGTGAAAACATAAATGTATTTTGACCTTCACTGATAGATTAGACTTACTGTTCAATCTCTTGATCCTTAAAAAATATTTTCGTGCTGAAAATCCTGTTTCCTTTTAAATTCAATTTTTTTATATTTAAAAATAATAATTTTACTTGTCACAGTTTTATTATTATTTACTTTAAACAATTTAAATGAAATTTTCTTACTAAATGTAAACTTTCTAAGTTTGAAAAAAAAGTATTTAAAATCCAGCAAATAAAGCCAATGCCATTGTTTAAAATAATATTTCATGGATATGTTTATAACCTTAAATACATTTACTGTTGTTTGATAACTCTAGATATATTTTTTTTATTTTAATGAAATTTACAACTGTATTACATGGAAAATACAACAAGTAAATGTAACATTGGTAACATGACATGTACAACATGAAGAGAAACTAACTACCCATTGGTATAACTCAAAACTCTAGATATGATATTATATTTAAATAATTAGGTATCTATTTGCCATTTATTACTAAAAAAATATCAAGTAACCTTTTAGAAAATTAAATTAGTGAATAGTTTGATGAATTTTCCCTTTGTGAAATCCAAACATAATCCACTTACAATGAGTGTGACAACTTTTGACCTATCCATGGCAGACAATGAAAATCTCGTTATTTCATTTTAGTAAACTTCACAATGAAAAATAACAGTTTAATAACTAATAGTCGTACAATCGATAATCATTTATAGGTTAAATATTCAGATATACTTTCAAATCTCTCTAGGCAGATGTGATATGACTAACTCCAATTTCAACATTCTTTGTTATTAATTTTAGTGATGTTCCTAGTGGCAAAATTTATGCCTTTATTCACAGTTCAATATTTCAACACTGCAATCATCTACTCTGGAATAAACTAACTCTCTATCTCTATAGATACAACTTTTTCCACTTGAAATATCATTAAAATGACATTATCAAAAATGTTGAAATAGGAGTTAGTCATTCTGTCAACTGAAATCCTCATAGACTGAAGTTGTGTGTTTATAAAAGCAGATGGAGGAACTAGATTTTTATTGCCTACCGTCAATGTAATAAATAGACTTTTTGTAATTTTAATGGTCTTAATGATATGTTATCTGTAAGGTTTAAGCTTTAGCTCCGTTTAAAATGCACTTCAAAAATTTTATAATACCCCAACATTGCCAGAAAATAATTTCTATTCAAAATGAAAGTTGTGTGTTGCGCGCACCAGATTTTTAAATTACCAAAAGACCTTAAGAACTATTAAGATATTATATTTTATGAAAGGTTTAAATTTTAAACAAAGAAATTTAGTTTTAATTGAAAATTTTCATTTTTTTTCTCAAAAAGTTGTCTTTTTAGCGGCACAACTCTATCTATTGATAGTATGAGATTACTTAATAATTATTCATGCTTCTTATGTATATTTGTACCAATTTCTGCTAATAATTAATTTTAAACTAAATTTAAAAATTTAGTCAAGATAAAAAAATATTAACTTATATAATTAAAAATTATTCAAGAAATACTAAAAAAAAAAAAAAGTATATTTCTTGCAATTATCCTACTGCCAAGTTTTCTGTGGTGTCTTTTTGAAAAAAACAGATAGAAAGATACTTTAACTTTGACAAAATCTAACCCTCTGCTGATTGAGGTAATGTTTTTTATAAATTTGACTTATCAAATTACAGGATTAAATAGCTCACATGTCCTTCACTATCTATCCTGTGAAATTATTTTGAGTTCTCTCTTATTTTTGCTCAGTGTAAATGTATGTTACTTATGAGTTCGAGTTATTATGGCTCGAGTTACAGAGAGTCAACTAAATAATCAAAAAAATTAATAATTTATTTGATGAATAAAATTTTTACTTTTTTATGTATATTAAAGTCCAGTAAATGAACTTTTTTTTATTTAATTGATCTGTACTTTAATGTTTTTATGAAAGTTAATATTGATCTTATTTTTCAAGTTTATTTATGTATATTTTTCCGTAGATTGGATATTCCTACCAATGACTGCACTGGTTGCAATGGGTGTAAACAAGCTGCTACATTTCTGTCTTGGTTTGATTACTGCGATCAGGTACCTATATATTTTTCTTTTTATATGTTGTTTATGTAGTACTTAACATTTTTTAATGAGAAATATTTGCTATAACCCAGGTTATGATTGAAAGTAATCAGAATATAGCAGAGGCGGTCAGTCGAAGATTGTCAGAATCTTTTTTGGGTCAAGCTTTCAATACCTTAGCGTTACATAAACCAATTAATCTTACAATGCTCACCAAATGTTTTAAGATGGCATCGTCTCCTCTTTTGAATGATGGTAAATATGTAGTGGATTCAGATATTTTAATATTTTATCAGGAATTATATAATGTGTTTTACTTTTTTATAAAGTAACAACAAAATATATAATTTTAGACAATATTTATGTAACACGTTATGACTCACTTTTCAGCTCCATTAACATTTGTACAAGTCAGTTCATTTATTAAAGTTTCCTAAAAAATATAAACCTACAGTCATTGCTTCCTAAATATTTTAGTAGTTGTAAATTTTCTGCCTGCAATTTTTTCCTTTTAAATAAATTTTAAACCCGATTGGAATTATTAATTTTATTACTATAACTCTTGTGTGGATGGGTATTCACCATTTTCTTGTTCCTGATTGCCCAATATCCATATCAACAACTGAGCATAAAATTATTCATATAGCCTTATTTTCAAACATCTCAAACCTGTTTGATACTCTTTAGTAAGTTGACTCTTATGCATTTCTGTATTTATTTTTGTATTTTCATTGTGATATAACAAAATACACTTTAGTAATTTTGAAGCTATTATAATATTCTGTATTTATTATTTGATTATATAATTTTTATTTTTAATGTACTCTATTATTCCACAAATATTAAATATTTAAAATTAAAAAAAAAATTCCAGCATTAAATGAGTGGCTCACAAGTGATACAATTTTGAATATTCTTTTGGAAAACTGGTCTAGTCAGGATACTGATTTAGCTATTGAAACATTAAGATTTTTTGAGGTAAATGAAATTGATATTGTGTTGGCTATATTATTAATCTGTTTCTATTTTTTGATTAAGCAGTTTTTTCTTGTAGTTAATTTTAGAAAAAAGCAGCGATTATGTTTTGGATTGCTTGATTTGTCGATATCTCAATGACAGAAGTTTTTTGAATTCGTATACTTCAGGATCTGGAGGTATGTTAATACATTTTATCTACTTCCTCATGCGATATGTTAAAAACAAATGTCAGTTTTAACTTATTTAGTTTTTTAATTATGTAATGAATTCCTAAAGGAAATTCATAATCATAAACCCTTTAAAATTTAATGATTATGATTACTTTTTTCAAATTAATTTTCAGAGAAGGCCAAAGATAGATAATGAACGTGCAACTGACCTAAATCATCCTGTATACTTCTAATATATGATATTATTTTCACTTTATTGATTCAGATCTACCATTTTTCAGTGGTCTATCGTTATTTAAAATTATGGTCCGACTCCTAACTGGTACAGATTAAAAATACCATCGAGTTCTCAATAGAAGCACTCCATCAAAGGGACCTATCAGTACACGGAAAGCGAACCATTAGCACTATAGCCGTGATTGTTATCAAATATTCAGTTTTGAATAATATTAAAAATTATGATAACTTATTTTTATTCCCATTATTATTATAGTTATAATGAATTAAAAAAGTATTTTCTGCTACTTTTAATTAAATTGCTTGGTTTTGAGTTTAAATTAGTTAATATAATTAATGAATCACTTATCAATATAAAATTATGGTTGATTTTAAGTAATTTTTTTAATTAGTAATAAAAGTATGTCAAAATTCTTCACTGAACCTTTGTTTTTTAGTATGTTTTCAAATGAAGTTATTAGAAAAAATTATTTTTTTCTTGGTTTTAACAGAATTAAATATCTTTTATGTGTGAGATGACTCATTGTAATGTCAGTAATACTAGATAAGAATGAAATATATAATCTTATTTGTCATAATTACTTTATTAAAATTGTGAACTTTTTTTGTAGTGGTGTCAGAAGATTGTAATCTGGAAATAAATGGAGAATCTGAATCAGAAATTCATGTGATAATAAAGAGGTATATTGTAGTTGGTAATACGTTCTATAATTAATTTACAATTCATTACTGTATTTATTATATTTATAAAATTGAAATGTTTAATAATAATAATTACAAATATATATTAACAGTTTTTGTTTCTTTTTGTGATTGATTGATTTACTTTAACTACAATCCTTTGTTGAAATGAAGTTAATTTTAAATATGATTACATGTTAGAAATTTCTGACTTTCAGGTGGACTAATATAGTACCAAAAGAAATACAGAGCTGTAATTGTGGTTATGAGGAGTACATTGGAGAGTCGATGAGGCAATACCAAGCAGTTCTTTCAAAAGTAGAGTTTCAGCAAAATGCTGCTCAAGATGTCCCAAGCTCTGATGCTGAGTTCAACGAGGGTCCTTTTCTTTCAGCCCTGTTCACAGCGCTATCCAACATACCAAAGCAGGTCAATTTTCAAACTTCATACTTTTGTTTCTTGCTGTTTTAATCTAATTAAATTAGGTATTTCAACTCTTTTTCTCTTTATACAATGAGATTTTATAAAAGAATTAGATCAAATACGTTTTTTTGTAATTTGTAGGTTATACCGATGCGGCAACAAAAAACTTTTTTCATTGAGGATTTTATTTTACATAATTTAAAGATCATTGATATGATAGATTGTTTAAAAATAATTAGCAGGTTTAATTTGCATTTCATCACCTGCATATTGATTGACTAATAAATGAAAATATTTTTTTAGATACTTTTTACAATACATTTATAGAAAATATTTCATACCTAATGAAACCTAGAGGTGGGTAAATTAAAATGATTTAGGATATTTATTGATAAAATTCAAAATGAATTCTGAACGAAATATATCATTTATTTTTTTAATTATTGTAATTCAAATTGCAATATTGATAGGTTTCATCAATGTGGTGTCAGTTAATGTTATGAACATCCATAATGTATCATCTATCATAGAACTTCACTAATCTGACCTCTATGGGACCAGCAAGTAGGTTGGATTAATGAGAATAAAAAAAGTTTTCTTTGTAAAAAGATTTTTTTCTCCTTCACTACTTATCATTCCACTCCTTAGCATAGCACTCCTTAGCATTGGACCAATGCTAAAACTTAGGAATGTGAAAATCACTTTTTTATCAGAAAATAAAAATAAATTTTTTAGTGTGTGAGGGGCCAATTTTAAGGGAAGGAGGTTCTCGCACAGCATGACTATCCTGTCATGTATGACTTGTCAAGGCAACATGGTGGGCCTTACCCATTGAGTACCACATACCACATCCATCTTTTTTTTCTTTTTTTTTTTTTCTCCTTCCTACTCCTAACGCCTGCTTTATCAGCCATGCGTGCTCTTGCAGTCCAATATAATTTTGCTCTCCTAGCATAAGGGCTGTCCATTTTACTAAAGGAACATCTTATGTCCTGTAATGCAGGGCATGCATCAAGATGTTCTCCTGTCATCATATCCAAGGAACATAGAGGGCATGTCGGGCTATCTTTTATACCGATGCGGTGGAGGTGCTTCTGAAGAAAATCATGTCCTGTGAGCATTCTAAAGTATGCCACGGCTTGCCCTCTAGGGAAGTCTCTAGAGATCCTGCCACTTTCTTCGAGCAATCCACTCCATCGCTTCCCTTCAATTGCTTGTTCATATTTCTCCTTCAGTGAACTTTGGAGGGTCTGTTTTATAATTCTTTTTGTCGAATCCATACCTAGAGGAATATCTGGTTGAATCATTCCAGAACCTATTGTGGCCAGTTTGTCAGCTTCATCATTTCTGTGGAGCCCGCAATGGCCTGGTATCCACTGGAAAGTGACTTCTGTCCCATTTTCCTTTAATCGGTTCAAATATAGATGGCATTTAAGGACATTTGGATTCATATGATATCCATTTTGGAGAGACAAAATGGCTACCTGCTGTGAGTCAACAAAGAAAACAACTTTCTTGTCTTCCCGTTCAATTAATCTCTCAAGGCCTAAGAGAATGGCTTTCACTTCCCCTTCAAAGTTTGTGGCTACCTTTCCGACCGGGTGGCAAGTTGAAACTCCTTTGAATAAACTCCAGCTCTGGTATGTTTGTGTGCTTCCAGTGCAGAACCATCAGTATATTCATGGAGCCATTCTGTCTCTGAGAATCGTTTTCCGATGGTTTCTAGGGCTATAGCCTTTTTTGGTAAATTGGTGTTGAATCCTTAGAAATATTCTGAAGATCACAGTGCACAATAAATTGATAAATGGAACTTGTGTCAATGATGGTAGAGGCTCCCTTTCAGCTAATTCTAGTCCTTTTCTTTGTATCAAATCTTCCACTGCCTTAGTAAAAGTAATTTGTGTTTTAAGCCGTTCAGGTGCGGGTTCAGCTACATTCATCTTTCAGTTAATATATTAAAAAGTAATAAAAAATATTTACATAAAAAAAAAGTCAATATAAAATAATTGTTAATGGTCTTCATCATGACCATTATAGTCACTCCATTCAAGTACTCACCACACTCGACGTTTGATGTATATTTATATCAAGGTATTGAATGCTTACCGAAAGATAGTCAAATTGGATTATTAGAAGTCAGATTAGTAAGGTTTTAGTGTAAATATGACACTGCAAATATGACATCTACTGATATAAGTTATGTTCCTTTAAAATTAAGTGAAAAAAGTATCAATTAAAGGTATTGTCATATTTAATAGCAATATTTCAAGAAAAATAAATTGAATTCCAAAAATTAGTTAATTAACATTTCCTATCTCTTTAAACTGAATATTAAAATTTTGGGGAATCCAATTTTTGTCTTAAGTCATTATAAAAAATTAAAAAAAATAATAATAATTTTTTTTCTCCCTCATCCAGGCTTATGAGCTGAATTTGGAGTTGACTGGTATTGTATCAAGACTTGCCTTGCGACCTGAGACATACTTGACTGAATATCTGTTAAATAACACAAAGCAGCTGAAGGTCAGGTCTCTGTATAGTGTGTTGATGGGAGTTGCAGCAGAACTCGGTAATTGTATTACCCAGTTTCCTGACTACCAGCAGACACTTGCAGATGTAAGAGCAACTTTACTAGGAAGATCAATGGTTTCTCTTGAACTGAAGTAAGGATTTCTTGTATATTAATTAACAAGTAGATTTACATGTTACATAATAATATTAAATTACTTGAAACTTTCTAAGTAATTTATGGAATGATTAAGTATATTAATCTGAAAGATGGTTAAAGTGGAGGTCAAAATTTAGACAAAAAAAAAATCTAAAACTGTTTATTAAATGCTGATGTTTCAGACCTCCATGTAAGCCTTTTTCAGGACTATAAAATTTTAGTAATACGAGAAAGATGAGAATCATTTAAATAAATAAAATGAAAGTAGAATCTGCCTCAAGTTAAGTTAGCTGATTGACGAAGGGAATTCACACCACGTTTCCCCAATCCATTGCTTTTAATGAATTTAAAATATCTCATACTAGAACAATTGTTATTCTCATATTATTCTATAACTTTCCTTTCTCCTAGTTTAGGATCTTTTGAAAATAGTTTTTCATTTTGATTCTGAATAGCTAACTATAAAAATTGAATGGTAGTGCATAATTGGTCCACCAAGATTGTTGGACTAGTGCAAATCTCTCTTCCCATTACTTTACCGGCAGACTAAAGTTAAATAGACTAGCGATATTACTGAGGCTATGATGCCTGAGAATGTTAAGATGTCATAACTTTAACAAGCTAAAGTTTAGTGCTTCTGGTTCAATTACTACCTAAACGGGTTGAAGCTTATTTTGTGGTGGACATACAGAATGATTTTCGGCCTTCCCACTATGATTAAAATAGGTTGGTTACCTGTTGGATAACCTTACCCTCCTCCTTATGTCAGAAATGGCCAGGTGGGAAATAATATTTGTTTCAGTAATTGAAAATTATATAAAATGTAACAGTGTTACCAAAGGTTTATATTTGGCCGGTTAGAACTGACTATTAGAATAAAATTACTTTTTAAGATATTAGATATTAGAATTTAAAGAGTAGAAATTGATTAAATAAAGTAAACATGTTAAGATATGAAATGGTGAGAGGAGGTAAAATGATGATGTATTAAACTCTGATCACAGTAAATTAAGATTTAAAGAAAGAAAAAGAACTTATTCTCTGAAAAGAGTGTAACAGTTTAAAATAGATTTAATCTGTTATAAAAAAATAATTTTGAAATATGTGAGTAGTCTGATATAAACTTACATTATAATATAATATGAACTTTATATAATATAATAATAAAATTATATAATATAATCTAATCTATAATAATACATTATAATATAATATAAACGATTAATATAAGAAGTAGCTAATTGTTCACATTTATATTTAGAACAAAGCATAGGTATTGTTTGACATTAGTTTATTTAAAATCCCATTTATTAACATAACTAGTATTTACTTTAATATATTTTTATGATATTATTTTCAGAACTGATCCATGGATAGTAACTTTTGAAAGTATAGTTGTTGTAGAGGAATTATGTAAGGAACTAGCAGCCATTTCATACGTAAAACTGAAAGCAAATAATGCATAACCGATATATTTTTATAAGATGTTTTTTCCCTTGAAACCTGTAAATAATGTACATATGTATCATATAAAAAATGTTTTTATGAAACTTTGGATTGTACATTTGTTTAGTACATCTGTGGCATTAGTAGCATAATGGCGCTTGATAAATATGAGGCTGAAATTATATAAAGACTTTTTGATTTGGTCTTAAAATGAATTGAAATAAAAAAAATTAACCTCTTATGAGAAATACATTTATTTTCTATAATTATTTTTAGTTCTCCAAGAATTAAAAGTGATGTAATCAAAATGTATTTAAGTAAGTGAATTTTCTTCCAGAATTTATTTATTATATTTAAATTGTGCTATTGAAAATAAAAAGAATCATACTCTTTAAGGTTTGGTTTGAAAATTGATAAAATTATAATTATTAATAAACCAAATGTGTGTTATTCTGGTTAGTAGTAGTAAGCCATTTAACAGTGCCTCATTCCTCTTCAAAGTTCTAAAACTTAATTAATGGGTGGCTCTTGTGGTGGAGTATTAATATGAGTGAAAAAGAATCTTGAAGAAGATGAAGAATGAAAAAAATTTCATTTAGCCATTACCTGTTATTATTAGGATTTGAAAATCCACTTTATAATTTAACATTATGAAAAATAACTATGGTTGTTGAAATTATTTTTTATTGTCAATTACCATTATTTAAAATGTTGCTTAGCTTCTCTTAAATATTAAAACATACTTCTGTATTCATGAGATTATGCTATTGTTGTAAATTTATAGATGGGTAAAACTTTATTTTATTTATTTCTTTTTATGTTTGACATAAAAAATTGTAACATACACTGCTTATGCCAATTTTTCTTTGAATAGTTTTGGATAGAATTTTTCATTCTATACTTTAATTTAGGCAACTTTGTGTGTAATCTATTGGTTCCCTGTTCGGCTATTTTGTATACTTTAATTTGCACTTAATATTTAAATATATTTCATTATATGCCTCCCTTTCTATCTCTGGACAAATGATTTTCGATTTATTAACAAAATGTAGAAAGAGGAAAGAGATGGTCCACGTTGCAGTCAAGAAAATAACTTCAAATCATAAGAACTGTTTGAAAAAAAGTCAATAATGTCTATTATATAGAACATGTTATAGTCGTGTAAACTTTTCAGGTTCTGCTTAGGAGAACTTGTAACCTCTCGATCACGCTAGTTGCCTTTCTTAGTCCTTGATGCAATCTTTCTAGCCCTTATTTCTTTCACTTAAAGTTAATCATCAAATACATTGATAGTTTATATTTATCTATTTTTTATTAGTTACAATTTGAAACTATTATTTATATCACACAAATAGACCTAAATGTACTTTAGATAGAGAAAGGCACTTTGAAAATTTGCCAAATCTGTCAAACTATTTCAATGAATTTAATACTTACCTGATATTAAAGACCATTTCTATACCCCAAAGTAAAGAATATCATGCCCATTTTTGTATTTGTTCAGGGGAGCCAATTTTCCATAATTTTGAGCTATTAAAATTTTTTTCTTAGTTACTAAATCTGTACCCCAGAGGCAAAGGACGCTATGTCACATTTTTGTATTTGTTCGGGGAACCAATTTTCCATAACTTTGAGCTATTAAAATTTGTTTCTTAATTACTAAATTATTTAATAAAAAATCGATATGTCCTATACCTTCAGGGCATAGATTTAATTATACATTAATATAACAAGTATAATCAATTTGATCCATTTTGGAGAAAATTTTAAAAATGTATGGTAAAAAGTGCCACTTCTGGTTAGTCTATATTAGGAAAAAATTCGCTTTAATGTCCCCGCCTCCATAGTTTCAGTTTAGTACAACTTTTGATTTATGAGCTAGGTTCTTCACATACATTCACACACATACCATTTTCTAAGACTTTGTTATTTGGACTCAAAGATTTCAAAATGTCTATTTTTGTTGAATATTCGGGTTCCAAATTTTTCACGATTATAATACTTTTATTTACTTTGTATTTCAAATGTAGAAAAGTGAAAGTAAAAAATCCTTTGAAGCCTTTGTTAGGTTTACTTTAACATGCACCTCTTTGACCCACATGACTGATGGAAAGTTTATAATTGTTAAATTTTTAAAATTCAGAATGAATTATCTGAAGTTCGAACCTGGAGTCAAAATTTAGCCTTAGCCAAACAAACTTTTGAGGAACAGTTATTCCTTGCCTGATTGCAATAAAAACTAGTGAAACATAAATGTAAATATAATTAAACTAAAACATAGAATATTTTCTACACATTAAGTAATTGTTACAAGACCAATCAGTGTGCCTTATTTATAAAAAAAATAATAATATTTTACAAGCTCTTAAGGATATTAAATATGAGGTTTTTCACATAAGTGTTATTTTACGTTCATTTAATTCCCCAAAAAAATTTTTTAGGCGAATATCTAATCAATATTTTGCAAAGGCACATATGAATCATAATATTTTAATTTTAAACCATATAGTGTCAGCCAATATTATATGTGTATTCTCTGTGTCCATCGATAATTTGTTGATTGATTAAAATGATTTCCAGTTCTTATTAATAATGCTTTATTGAATATATAATAAAAAATTTAAGTATGAAAGAAAAATGGGAAATGGAAATCCATCTGCCGGATGTCGAATTATATATATTATTAAAATTATACCCATTCTAGTATAAACTTTTTACATATGATTATCGTATCTTTTAAATTGTATGATCCGGGTGCATCACATGATTAATGTCAATTTTTTCGGTTAACATTAATAAAAATTTAATGGATATACTTAATCAAATTTTACAAATTAAAATTGCTTCTTAACTTCATGAAAATGTTTCTTTTCTTCATCAGGTTCTGACATTTTATGAGTACTATCAGATATATTATTTATTAAATTATATTAGGATTAATTTCCTTAAAATTTAATCGCCAATATAGGATACATAATTGTTCACAACTATTATTATGATACTGTAATTAATATATTAAATAATTAAATTTACATGCTTCTGTATCATATTAAGCAAATATTTTTTCTTTTTCTTTAATCTGTCTTCCTTAAGGAATAATTTTTCTATTATTCAATTCTGATTGACTATGATTAAAAAGACCCATAGTTGTTTTATTTATGTTATCATTTTTCAATTTAATTAAAGGTATAATTTTTAATTTTCCCACATATAATAAAATATTATTTTTACTTAATAAACAATGAAGTTTAATTATCTCAGAACCAGTGCCAATCTTAGAGTAGTGCATTCTGGGCATGGGAAACCCATTAGTTGGGAATTTTTAAAAAAATGAGAATTAATTAATTTCAGCCTATTAATAAAAGTAATTGAATCAGAGACATATTGAATGAAATACAATTCAAATTTTAGTCAATACAAAACAGCTTCAGAAATAAATTAATTTTTTTGTGGGGAGATGAGGTCATTTTCCACGGATGCCAAATGTTTAAGGATGCCACTACTCAGATCCTTACTTCATAAAACATTCTAATTGTTTTTTTCTTTTCAAAAAGCAACTTGGTTATATATTGTGATTTTGGTGCTTTAAGACTGCTTGAAGTAGATTTAACATTGTTGTAAATAAAAATATTGCACATTATTTCTGAGTATGTTACTAATTTAGTTTTTGTGTATATTATAGCAGACAGTTAGAGGTACTTATACCAATGATTTATAAGTTAAACTTAATGGTTCTAGAAAACTGATAAAATTGTAGAAAACAAAATGAAAGATCTGTGTTGTGTAAATGGTGAATCATTAAAAATGTTTGTATTGCAAGTTATCTGCTATTAATTTTTAACATAAATAAAAGCACAATTTTTATTATGACTCATTAATTTAATGTTATTATTAAGCGTATTGCTTCGTTTATATCAGCTATTATGAATTCTCAAATCGGTATTAAATTGATTTAAAAAATTGTTTGCACTTTATGGTAGTTTATTTATGTTATTAAACATAAAAATGGTAACTTTAGCATCTTCTCATCATTTGTCCCATATTTTCACTTCTACTTTAGGCTATCAAGTATGATAAGGACCATCTTTTAGAAGAGAATTCAAGTTCTTTCATTTTGTTGTAATCATCCTTACTTGTAAAGTTCTCATTAATTTCCATACTTGTTAAATGAGTACAAAGTAGCAAAAACGAAAAATATTTTTCAAATTTGATAGTTCAAAAGTTCGTCGTGTGGATAATTTTCTTTATAAGTCATTAAGGAGTATTTATATATGTATAAGATTGTGATTCTTCTGAGACGTACTCTGTGATTTATTTGTTTAAAATAGTTTTAAATTTATATATATTTACTATTTTTGTGCTGAAAATGGCAAAACTTTTAAAACATTCTAAAAAATCAGTCTTTAGCTGATGTAATTAACTGTTACACACTGGTCCAGGTTTAATCTTTAACATAAAAAAAATTATAATTCTTCTTATGTTTAGTATATTCACTTCAATGAGGTTAGAATATGAAAGAGAAGATAGAAAAAAAAAACTCAAGGAATTTCACAACTTTATGCTTGTAAATTCTCAATTTCATGAATGAACTTGGTCTTGATAATTTAGGAGTGCCCAAATCATTGTTCCGCAGAGCCATTGTCTACATTACTAAACAAGTGAATATTGTTATAACCTGGCCTCAGTGCTTCTTTTGTAAGATTTAGCTAACATCATTTCTAAAGTTTGTATACTGTGTTCTGATAAGATGTAATATCAAAATATTTTTTGATATAATACATACTTAAAAGTTTCTCAATATTTGTTAAAGGACAATTTTACTTTTTTGTGTTAAAATTCAAATTTAGACTGGTGTGTGTACAATATTGCCAAAGTATTTCATACAATTTTTTATCAAATTTGAGGAGCTTTCTACTAAAATTGGACATATCCAGTTTGACTGAAAATGGAATTTCAATGATGTTTTTCCCAAAGCTATACTTCATGTAATAGTTAGCTACATTTCTGTTACAAATGTTTTTTCTCGACAGAATAGCGAATGAAAACATGATTGTTTCAACGAAACTAAACATCTCCAAATGGTGGGGAAAATAATAGTTTTTAGTCACTTTGCAAACAAAACTGGAAATGTAGACGTACACTTTTGACAGAAACTCCTCATTTATTAAATGTAATATAAAAAGTAAAATATATTATTCAAGCAAATCTTTTGCTAAAAGAATGGGAAAGAATAAAACAAAATTGAATCGGAATTTGTCATCATTTGTTTTTTTTGTTTTTTTTCTCTTATTAGAGGAAAGGGAGTGAAAATGTTCAAATATCTAAATTTTAACTAAGCTCATTCAAATCACATAATAATTTTTAGGTTTAATAAAAAGGAATGTTGATTATCATAATAAAAACAATTGGCTAACTTTTCTTCAACATGAATTTTTTTAAACACATACATGTCACCATCAAAAGTTATAAAATTAGTAAATATGTATATTTAAAACCTTTCTCATGCAGTTCATAATTGTAAATGGCTTAGCTTAAATGTCAATTTAATAATTATTAGTATATGTTATATCTGTTAGATTTAATTGTTAAACTTTCTTATTTATCTCTGTTATTCCATTTAAGTCTGGATGCATTTTTATTCTTTCAATTAAAATGATTTTTAAATTAAAAGGTTGCATTACTTTTTTAGTCTTTAAGATTTTAGTTATTTGCTTGTTTAGATCTATGATTTTGTAACACGAGAAATAATTCAATGTTTATTAAATAATTATAATCTGGCTTAAATTCAACATTTGTAATTTGATAACATATTTGGACCAAAGATGTGATTATAATTTGTTTTTTGTTACATGATTTTGTTGTTTATTTCTCATTTAATAATTATCGTATTTCATTTTAATTGTAGTTCCTTTATAAAATATCCACCAAATTACTACCTTCTACTGTTGTTTTAAAAGTGTTTTTGTGCAAGCACTTTCATTTTTGTGATATTAAGTTACCAAATAAATATTTTTAAAAGAATATATTTGATTATTGAACATACTGTCTATGCCCTCCCCTCGTAAGTTACAGTGTTTAACAAAACTATCAAATTCAAATAAACACTGATTTATTGAAAAGTACCTTCAATTATTTCATTTTATTTATTTATTTCAAAGTTACTATAGTCCTTGCAGAACGTTTTAAAACATTGCCATGGCCTGATACAACTTGCCTCGGTTTACACTGTTGTATGCTTGAATGTAGTCTATGAAGAGATGGTGTAGATCAATATTCAATATCAATATGTTCGTAGTGTTTCTCCAGCATGATCCTTATGCTTGAAATATGGTCTTTAGTGGATCTGAATCCACTCTGGTATCCTCCCACCTCTCCCTCTCAGAGTACTGGAGTATCCTGCTCATCAACAACATGGAGAAAACTTTGTATACTGTGTTTAGCAACACAATGCCTCTGTAGTTTTCACATTCCATCTTGTCCCCCTTCTTATAACATATTAATGCAGTGGACCAGTCTTTTGGCACTTCTTCTGACATCCAGATATCAAAGACCAGAAGGTTCATTTGCTCGACCAATGCTTCTCCATGCTTCCACAGCTCTGCAGGAACTTCATCCTCTCCTGGGGCTTTGTAATTTTTTAGGGATGCAAGAACTTCTGCAACCTCTCTGGAAGTTCTATACCTTCTCTGGAGATTCTATAACAACTGTATTTTATGTGCCAATCCGATTTACCCAGGTGTGTTTGAAACGAGTTCTTCACGTATTTCTGGGTTTAGGAGCTTCTCAAAATATTGAGATCACCTATTAACAACATCCAGCGGGTCTCCTAGCAGCTCACCATTTTTCTTTGTTGAGTATTCGTAACATTTGTTTTTTTTACTAGAATGGAGTGTTGACCCAGACTAAACCTCCAACCTGGAGGACCAGAAATATGGACATAAGAGGCACTTTACCTGTAGACAAGTTGCATACCGAAGCTTTAGAGTCTTGTTCACCCTTTCGCAATAGGCTATTTAAATAGGCTAGCTGCCGTAACTGCAGGAGCTGCCGTTGACTGCCCTAGGCAGTTCCTCCTCCACAATGCAAAGTGGCGTGCCCTGCTGCTGGCACACCTTCTTCCTGCAAGGCCTATTCTGGGGTTACCCTCAGACTGCCCTTCCACGGTCCCCTCTCTCATTTCTTCGCCTACCCAGTCATCCAAAGGGATTGGTTACTACAACCTCAGACTGGGTTGCTCGGCTTAACAGGCCCACCAAGAGAAGATGAGAGTAGGAGTTAGGGAGGAGAGGCAAGTGGTCATTGGTGACCATGTGTTGTGCATCATTTCCCATTTGAGCCCTCCCTTATTTCATGGTGATCAAAATATAATTTTTGACATAAATTGTTTGTAATATTAACACTTATTCTGGTTTTTCATTACTTCTTTTTACGAGATTATTATTACCATTTATTTATTAAATTTATTCTGTTATCAGATTTTATAATAATATTGAACAAAGGAATATTTTTTTATAGCTAAAGATTTGAAAAAAAAAATATTGTTTTTAATTTAAATTTAAGCACCAGTATTTAGAATCTGATTATAATTGTCAGAATTTACTAAGTAGGGATGATAGCCAATACTGTAATTAAACTCTGGATAATCAAGGTTTTACTACTTATAATGAAAAGTTTGAATTATGAAAGTATAATTAAAAAAAGGTAACAAATGTAATTTTAATATAAAATTTAAAATAATAATAAATAAAAATAATTATCAGACAGCATTAGTGTATTTTTATACACATTTATTATAAAATCGTATTTTATTACCATACTAATTCATCTTCGGTGATTGGATTGTCAGCTTCAATAGTTGTTGAAGTTTTTCTCCCTACAATAGACTTGATCAGTTTTGGATCTAAACCTTTTGGCGTACTCACTTTAATTGCCAGATCTTCTATCACTATAATAGAATTCTTTTCTATTTTTCTGAACGCTACTATGCTTTTGCCTAATTTCTGCCAGCAAACTTCTTCACAGGGTAGAAGCTTCTTTTCCATTCCCATACCGTCTTCGATTTCCCTTATGGCTAATACCATACTTTTAAATTCATCAATATTTAATGAACAAGAATGATCATTACCTTTCCATGTCTTATCAAGAGTAATATGCCGCTCAACAATCTACCAACATAAATGACACTAATTTCATTTTCAGTTTAATTTATAGAAAATTACAATGAAAAATTAATTAATTGTTCTGATGGGATGAAATAATCATTTACTTCACTTTTAATAAGGTAACACACACACACACACACATATATAAATAATTGCTTTTTGTAGTACGCCACATACATACCTTAGTACTTATTTAAACTTTGATGATTACTTTAACTTATACCTTAAAAACAGTATTTTATAACATATATCATGATATATGTCATATCTGATGAAAATATTTGATTGTAGTGATAATTTGTTTAATGAAACCTTGAACAAAAACTGAGAAAATTTAGACTTATCTTATTTTTAACTCAATAATCTTATTATTTGCACTTGTGGAGATTTTAACAATAAAAAATCTGGTGCGGTGCACTCATCACACAACTTACACTTACCAACCTTAGAGTAGATAGTTATTTTTCGAGGTATATAGTGAATATAATGTGAAAACGATTGTATAACTTCATTTACAACAATTAATTGCCATGTCTTTCCTGCCCATCAATATGTTCAATTTATATGTTTTCATCACATTCCATTTCTTTTATGACTATTGATACTATCAAATAATACTAATGATTGGGGGAGAGAGAAATAATTTTTTTGGAAAAAATCTGATTTTTATCAAAAAAAGTAATCACGAAACTCATCAAAAGAACAACTTAATGTTAGTAAATATTGTATGTTATTAGTGGGCTAAGGCATGTGCAAAACATCTCGCTGCCCAACAACTTGATGGAAGATAATATGTGATAAAATAATTATGAGTTTGGCTGCCAGTGCCAGGAGGTCTTTTAACTCCGGCATTAATTCACGGCCCTCATACCTGGCCTAGGAATAGCTTACAAGGAAAGAAAAAAAAAATAGAGGTGGAGTGTCAAGATTCATTTCCCGGAGCCTCCGAGAAATAAATATTAACTGACCCAGGTGGGAATCAAACCCACAATATTCAGAATCGGACACTATAGGTCCTTAACTGCTCAGCCATCATGTTCGTGCTAAGCCTTGTTATTATTAGTTAAAATTAATCCTATGGGCAGTACAAGGATGAACTAAAAATTAGTAATAATAAATAATATGTATACCATTACCTTAGCTCCAAGTGCAACAGCAGCTAAAGTTAGGTTGTAACCCACTTCATGCCCAGAGTAGCCAATACAAACAGGAAATTTGGACTTGAATTTTGTAATATTCGCCAAATTTGAATCACAAGGCTTGGTTGGGTAAGATGAAACACAATGCAGAAGAGCAAAATTATTATGTTCTTCAGATATTGTTTTGTAAATAAGTTCCACGTCTTCCATTGAGCACATTCCTAGTCCACATTATCAACTGTATATGTATAATATATTAGTATCATATTATTATTTATAAAAACAAAAAAAATCTGCTGTTTATAAAACGTAATATATTTGGATTATAGAAAGAAATAGAAACTAAAAAAAAAACTTATCAAAAGGTGAATCTATTTAAATATCATGAATTATGATAGCATATTAAATATGTCATATTTAATGCAATTGTTCACTGAAAAAATATTTACCTGTTGATACAATTAGTGGTTTTCTAGTTTTTGCAGCTTTCTCTAGTAATAAAATATTAGTTGCATCCCCAGATCCAATTTTAATAAAAGGTGTATTTAATTCCTTCAGAAAAAATAAAGAAACCTGAAAATCACTTAATTGTAGTAGTACAAGGACCAAAATAACAAAACTTAATAACAAGCAACAACATGCAAACCCCTCTCTTCCAAAATTAAAATGATTACCTCATCCATAGCAGAAGCCGAAAACATTATCCCTAATTCTGTAGAAAATTTTTGTAATTCAATATATTGTTTTTCAGAAAATTCTAAATGTTTTTTATGTTCACCATATGTTTTTCCCCAAGAATGTTCTGAGTTGTAAGTTAAGTTTAGAGTTGATTTTGTGAACTTTTCTGGAAGACAACTCTTTTGAAATTTGACACAGTCTGCACCACATTCCTGCAATTAGAATAACAGGATCAGATGAATCATAAATTTTAAGTGAAATATGGAAAGGAAATTAATTCTATTTGTTACATAAAAATAAATAAAATATTGTTATACTGCGATAGAAAGGGCAGCTTTGTGTTGCTACAAATAGGAAAACATTTTTTTTTTTTTTGGTTCTAATGTTATAACATTCTACATCACTTACCTTTGCTTTCTTTATAAGATTTTTTGCTATCTGCAAATCTCCCTGATGGTTCTGACCCACTTCAGCAATAATAAATGTAGGATATTGAGAGCCTACAACTTTATCTGCATTGAAAACCAAATTATTCAATATCATCTCCTCAGATTGATACCTGGAATATGGTAATTATTTAAATCTTTGTAACGTGATATTGAATTTATATATATTAATTACAGCAATGCTCATTCTATTGCTTAATTCATTTAAAATATTTCATAAATCTCATGTTTCCATTATTGGTGGATGATATTCTGAATGGCTTTACATGAGATAGTAATTTTTTTTTAAAATCTGTATCAGATATCTAGATCTGAGAGAATCATTTATACTATTTTGAAGTATAGGATTGGATTGGATGTCATGGAGTGATGTTCGATTAGATATTTTTTTCTCTCCTGATAATTCCTAAATTGGCGAAACGTTGATGGGTTTGTTTTCTTTGCCTGCATTTTGGAGACATAAGGCTGTGTGGTTTGAAATTTTCCAAATCATAACCTACAATTTTCAAGTTCAATACCAGTACTCAAGAAGAGACAATTATTAAAATAGTTTTCCTATGGCAAATTTGAACTGCCAAATCAAATATTAAATCATTGTTATAACAAAATAATGATAAAACTATATAGCAGACATTTAGTTAACACTAATGGCATTTCTAATATTATTAAACTCCCAGGATATAATTTTAATAATCGGCTGAATATATAAAAGCTGTCAGGATTCGTTTTGACCTTAATTTTCTTCTCTGCCTCCTCTGTCTGTAGCCTTCCAGGAGTGAGTCCTTTTCACCCATTTGAATTGGGCTCTACAAGGCCACCTGTACACAAAATCTTTGTAATATGGGTAGTTTTGTTCAGTTGCCAGTTAAGGAAAATCATCAACTACTCCAGGAGGGTACAGAGTTTGGTTTCTTTCAGCAAATTACCCCTTGGTGACATAAAGATAGTGCAGTCAATTATAGGTGGATCTACAGGGACAGAGGTTCCTGTGAATTATAGTGCCAGTGAACTACCACAAAAACAAAATTAGAGGAATTGTAGGTGTTTTCTTTATCAAATGTAAAGAGAAGGCCTGTGGTCCTTACACTGAAATAGGGATTAATAAAAGGATTTGATTTCCTTGAAAATAACTTTTGATTATTGTATTTTTAATACTAGTAAGTTAAAATACTTAAACAGAAGTCATGGACAGATTATTTTTGAAAGATATTAATATTTCAAATGATGAAGACAGAAATGTTTCGTTCCTTTTAGTTTTTAAAATTCTAAACATACACCAAAAGTAGTTAATTAATTATGAATTTTATTAAATAATATCGATCAGAAGTCAATTATACTGATTATTATTACTTAAAATATATTTGAATTGGAGTAGATGATCTCACTGATCTCGTACCATCCGTGACACAATAGATGGTGTCAGTTGTAGTTCCTTTAAACTAGCTAGTTCACAGTTCACTTAAGAATCCCTAGACCTACAGGAACTGATTTAGTTCTCTAGTTCGATGAACTAGCTAATTCAGAAGATTGAAACCTCTCTCTTTCTTTCTAGTTCAATAGGTCTCTAGTTTCAATTTAATTTAGAATGGTTTGAGCTTCATATCATTCTTCTAACTAGAAACAACTAATTACTTGCATTGTTGTTGATGATATTGTTTTTTTCATTTCATAAGCCCTGGTCACACTACTATAATTCAGACTATATGATAATTTTTGATTATCGTATTTTTAATACTAGATAAGTTAAAATACTTAAACAGAAGTCATGGGCAGTCTATTTTTGAAACATATTAATATTTCATAAGATGATAACATTGGAAGTATTTATACATATCCATGATTCATAAGCCAGGTAAAGAAATTTCTTCCCCTTCAGCTTATAGACCTATCAGTCTACTTCCTACATGTGCCAAAATATTTGAAAAGTTACTATATAACAGACTCCACACATTATTAACAGAGCAAAAAATTTTACTCGATCATCAATTTGGATTTAGATCATTACATTCTACCACTCAACAGTTACACAGAGTCACAGATTACATAGCAACAGCACTAGAGCAAAAGATGTATGCTACTGGTGTATTTCTGGATGTCGCTGAGGCATTTGACAGGGTCTGGCACCAGGGACTTCTTTATAAACTTAAGAAAATACTTCCTTCCACTTACTATCTCATATTACAATCATTCCTCTCTGATCGATTTTTCTCTGTTCGACAAGGCTGTGAAATCTCAACTATCAGACCAATTCTGACCGGAGTGCCCCAGGGATCAATTCTTACACCACTGCTTTACATAATTTACACACATGACATTCCCCTCTCTAGTGACACTTTGATAGCCACCTATGCTGATGACACTACTAATACCACAAGGCACAATGACCCCACACATGCTTCATATACTTTACAAAATCACTTGCAAATCTTACACGATTGGTACAAACTTTGGAAAATAAAACTAAATCACAACAAATCCCAACACATAACATTTTCACTCCGACGCGAAAAATGCCCTCCTGTCTATCTTGACAATAAACATATTCCCCAATCTGACAAAGTACGTTACCTAGGCCTAACATTTGACAGCAGGATGACATGGGGCCCACACATCACCGCTAAGCGAAAGACACTAAATCAACGATTTAGACTATTATATTCCCCACTGGGACGTCGCTCAAAACTAGATCTAAGACAAAAACTTAACACTTACACTTACTTACTAAAACCAATTTGGACATACGCATCACAAATATATGGAATTGCCAAAAAAACTCACATTCAGAAATTACAAATATTTCAGGCCAAAACCTTCAGAACAATTACTCAAGCACCTTGGTATGTTAGTAACATAACTCTCCACAAAGACTTACACATGCAAACCGTCACAGAACACATACAAACTTATTACAAAAGATTTCACAACAAGCTCTATGGTCACCCCAATAGACTCATCCAAGACATGGCCAATAAAAACCTGCCCGATAACATCCGCAGAAAGCTGAAAAGGAGTTGGATGAGAGATCTCCTTAATTAACCACAAACATTACCGAAGATAAACCACTGGGTTTTTTTCTCTTCCTCATGCCTATCATTCCCTTTCTCCTAGTCTATTTGTACAGTTATCTCATTCACTGGTTGTCAGTGGACATTGACAGTTGTGAATTAAAAAATAAAGAGGAAAAAAAAAATAAGATGATGACAGAAATATCTAGTTCCTTTTAGTTTTTAAAATTTTAAATATCCACCAAAAATAATTAATAAGTTATAAGTTTTATATGAGTAGATTTTATTACATAAAATTAATCAGAGAAGTCAAATACACAGATTGTTATTACTTAAAATAATTTGTAATTGGAGCAGAGAACCTCACATATTTAGTACCATCTGATTTACAGTAGATGGCAACAGTGATAGTTCACTTAGTGAATTACAACTTTCGCCATCTATTGTAACATGATGGTACTAGATCTAGTACCATATGTGTTACTTTAGATAGGGCTGAAATTGAAGTGAACTACTGAACTAGGTCAATTAGATGAACTGAACTAAAGAGAATAGTTCCTTAAAAAGAACGATTTTGTCCATCACTATAAAATGATACCTTTATAAGACTCGGCGATCTTACATAGGTAGAAATAAGATGAGATGAGAGGGGTATTGGTACTTCCCACAGGGGGATCTATGGTGGAGGGGGGCTTTCGGGCTGAAGCCCTCCTCCTCCCAAAATGGTACAATGTAACTCTGTTTTATGGAAAAAAATTATCTCTTATACTATTATTGTTCGTGTAATTACATTTAATAGGACTTCAAGTATCACTTAAACAACATTTCACATACACACTTAGTTTCTTTTCTTTTTTTCCAAAGTAATTATCGTTATATATTTGGAAAAAAAAAAACCTATCAGGCTGAAGCCCCCTCCCAAAATTAAATCCTGGATCCTCTAGTGGTACTTCCTGAGATAAGCTCAAATCCAGTACATATAGAGTTCATGAAGGTTGAAGCTTATTTTAAGTCCTAGAACACTATAATAGTCCGAAATCCCACGAAAATAATCGACATTATTTGAAAAATATTTTAAATGCATTTTTTTGAAGATTTATATTTTATAAAATGAGTCTGCCAGTCGAATCTTGCTACCTGTAAAAATGGGGAGTTTTTTAACAAATCCAGTAACTTGAGGATCGAAACGGGAAATTCATTGCGAAAAATATGGGAAAAGTTTTTTAACTTGTATATACGGATTTAGACATGTTAAAAAAATAATTCTACCGCAGGCCACCAAGGAAAAACTTTTTATATTGCAAAAAAAAGTCAGGTTTTTTTCGATCTTTTTTTTTTTCTCCAATAACTTTTAAACGGAGCATCGTAGCGAAAAAACACCCTCTTTAAAAAACTAAAAACCGTTAAATTGGGAATCGAGTACATAAACACAGGGGAGCCCAGATTTTAATTTAACACAATTTAATTTTAACACAGGGAGTCCAGGGGGTTTCATGGCTTAAGTTGCGCTATCAAAATTAATGAGGGGTACATATTTCGACGGATTTTTAAATTTTTGTGGAGGGGCAAACTTCGACGGAATAATGAATTTTTGGACTAAGGGCCAAGCAGAAAAACATGGAATATACCGCAGCAAGTGTATCTTATATATGATTTACGATTTTAATAATTCTACCTTAGCTTGCTCTGTTTTTAAGGAAAGGTGAGCAATAAAATATCTTGAGAGGGGGATAGGTTCTTGCGCTATCGACCTACGGGGGATAGGTTCTTGCGCTATCGACCTACGGGGGATTTGCACCCCTGCCTAAACATAACAGTTTGGTTAAATGATATGGTCGACAACCGCGGTCAACGAACGCTGATTTGTACCAGATTCTTCAAAATCTGAAAAAAATTATTATTAATGGCTCTGCAGCTTGGAAATGAGTTCTCTACGAGAAAAAAAAAACTCATTGAATAAAAGTTAGAGAGCATCAAACTCCGTGTCCACTGAGTGCCAACAGTAGGTCAATTATATCTCTGGAATTGGGATTCGTTATTTCTTCATGAAGATTGGTTTCTTTTGACACTTAGTTTCTCAAAACCCTTCGCTGATGAGAGGCGGAAAAGAGTCCTATACTGTATATACTAGACATTTAACAAGAACAGTTCAGTGGAATAGACATCCATACTTTTGATATATTGAAAATCACAAATATCTTCATTACCAATTTCTAGCCATCGCTATTCACTACCGATTTCGAGCGGTCAAATAAACTATATTAAAACTGTGGGTACTCAGTGAACTTTAAAAGTTATTTTTAGATATTTGTTTATAGGTTTTCATTTATTAATAAATATTTAAAATTATCATAGTGAGGTCATTTTAATAATATAATTTTGCCACAGTTAGTGCCCAAGGTCTTGTATGAAAATTGAGTTTTTTTTATAAGAGAACATAAAAACAGATTATTTCTTTATGATTTATTAGTTTAATTTCATATTTTATTTACCTATACTATTTTTCATAGTAGCAGATTACTTAAAGCAGTTGTAGACTACTAAATGTCACCTTTAGTACTAATGGAATAAGAATCTAAATTTTTTACACACAATCTTTTGCAATAACAGTAGCGACATATTATATCATTGATTTATTAGAAAAAAGTACATTTTTAATGAAACTAAACTTTTAAGAATGTTTTTGAGAATTTCGACCTTATAGGCCACAGTTATTCAACAAAAATACAACCTTAATTTCGACTTTTTGATAAGAACGTGTAATCCAAATAGCAGGCTTCCAGTAATCCAAACCCATTCTTATTATGCATCAAAAATAGTTAAAGGAAGTGCACATGGTTCTGATTTTACATAGAGAAAATTCATCACAGTACTTGGTAATTTAATTTTATGAAATGTTACTTAACAAATTTTTCTAATAAACCATTGATCACTAGCAGATCTAGGATTTAATTTTGGAGAGGAGGCTTCAGCCCGAAAGCTTTTTTTTTTCATAAAAATAACGATAATTACTTTGTAAAATAAGAAAGAAACTAACTACCTATATGAACTGGTGTTTATATCACCCACCTACTCAAACAAATTGCCAAAAGGGGTACCAGAAATTCGGTATCACCCAATCAATGCTTCTGTATTTATTGTTTAATATTGCTCAAAATAGCCCTTACACCTGCAATTATATTAACACTGTTTCAATATTATTGAAGGAGCTAAAAAAAAAAAAAAAAAAAAAAAAAAAAAAAAAAAAAAAAAAAAAAAAAAAAAAAAAAAAAAAAAAAAAGGAAAAATTGATATCAACCAGTTTGTTTGATTGAAATGTTACCCCAACCTATTTTGGGGGACTTCAATTAACTATTTTGGGGGACTTCAAACGTGGTTATATTTTACTATTAAAATATAACCACGTTTTATGAAAAAAAAAATGATCTCTAAAAGTATTATTGTTCGTCTAATTACATTTGATAGGATTTAAGAATCAGTTAAACACCATTTTTTATAGGTAGTTAGTTTGTTTTTTTTTCTTTCTAAGTAATTATCCTAATATGTTCATACAAAAAAAAAATCTTTCAGTAAAAAAAAAATTAAATTCTGAATCCGTTAGTGTAAGGGGCCCTTCAGTATGTTGAGGGAACTTGAAACATCCAAACTAAATATTGTTTTTTTTTTCACAAGTATGTTTAATAATACGTATAGAACAAAATATGAAAACGTTATAAAAAGATCCCACCGTTATCAAAAACCAGTAAATTAAACAACTAAAAGAGGGCGTGACTTAAGTAAGGAGACAGGAGGTGGCTCTTGTCTTGTAGTATTTGAATTCATAAAACATCAGGTAAAACATTTTTAAAATACTTATGAATGTATAAAACGATTAATTTCAACTACTAATAGGGTAGCGGCTATTTAAAAAAAAAACACATTTAAATTGCCGCCTTTTTGTTATACAAGTATAACAGAACTTTTACTTGATAACTGATAGTTTGGCTTAAAGTAATGCATGATCTGATTTGTAGAACTAACAATAATAAATAGTATATCATAGAAATTAATCAATGATTGGTTTTAAGTTTAATAATTTCTTGAATACTATTATCTATAACAAATCGATCTATGAATCGAATCAGCTGTTCATCTTTTCCGTTACATTCAAATTGAAACCTGTCTAAACTGATTCGAGTTCATTCAGGAAAGATCAAAGAGAGTTGGGATTCTGGACTGTTATAGAAACTATTTTAAAGGTAACTTTAATAATTCGATAGTGTTTAATTTATGGTTTATGTCTGTTAATAATATTAATTAATAAAGCGTGTACGTTATCTTACACTTTGTTCCCGCCTTTTGCAGTGTTTATTAATATTCTTGTAATTTTCGTGAGTGGTAATGAATAGTGAAGGATCTATTTGCACATCATTGTTTTATGGCCGTGAGTTCAAAGTAAATGAAAAGCTTACGAAGATTGCCAACAATGCTAAAGAAATTGAGCCCTACAAAATTAAAGATTTGGTCAATGGACCTTCTGTTACCTGGAAGGTGTTTAAGAAGCAAGCAGAAGCTTTAGATTTCATTTCTAAGTATAAGCATAATCTAATGGCATTTGCTTTTGAATCAGACAAATCAAGATTATTTTTAGTAGCTCATCCAGAAGTATTTTGGCACTATGACTGTCAAAGACCCCCAAGTTGTAGATGTTCGTATGAGATAATTCCTGAAAATGCTGTTTGTAAGCTGTATTTTGATTTGGAATACAGTATACCATTAAATCCCACCTGTAATGGTCCAAGAATGGTTAAAAATTTTATTGCAGCAGTAATTTTTTTCCTGCAGGAACAGTTCAACATTGATTGTAATGATAGTCATATTGTTAATTTAGATGCTTCCACTGATAAAAAGTTCAGCCGTCATCTGATATTTAATATTCCTAATATGTGTTTTGCTTCTAATGATCAAGCTGGGAACTTCGTTAATTATGTTTGCAGGAAAATCTTAGATAAAATAGATTCAAAATCAAATATACCTGAAAATCTATCGACTGAAAACTGTTCAGAAATGATGATTTTAGACGCTAAACAGAAAAGAACCTTATTTTGTGATTTATCAGTATACTCCAGAAATCGACATTTTCGTTTGTTTAAGTCAACTAAGTATGGGAAGTTCGCTCCATTAGTATGCATTTCAGATAGCAATATTGTTATAACTGATGAGGATTTCGACAAAAGATTATTTATTGATTCACTAATAACATATATTCCTGTCGACCATGAAAAACTAAATGTTTTATGTTTTAAAAAAGACAATACTAATTGTATTCGGCTGTTAAAAAATACAGGTGAATCACATTTTGATTCACTTACTACTAATGAAATTCCTGCTAGTCCTTATAAAGATATAGACAATTTCATAAATGAATTAGTTTTTCCTGGCAAAATATACAGGTCATTTTATTTCTCTACTTCAAAAGTAATCAACTATGATATAGTTGGCAATAGATTTTGTGGTAACATTGGTCGTCCTCATAAAAGTAACAATATTAAGTATGTTGTAGACCTAAAGGATGGTACTTATTATCAAAAATGCCATGATTATGAATGTTCAGCCTATAAATCAGCAAAGAATTCATTACCTAAAAGTCTGCAGTTGTTAGATTTTTTAGATTGCCCTTCTGGTATTGGGGTATTTGATATTTCAAATAATATGAGCCTTTCTTTAGAACGTTTTCCATCATGTGGCTTGAGTGATGAAGAAATTATTAATCATATGTCAAATCAGCCTTTCCAAAGATTTCCTTCATTAGATCTCAGTGATGAACAGATTAACCAATTAGAAAGTAGTGCTTTCCAACGATTTCCATCATTTGACATGAGTGATGAAGAATTAATCAATCACTTATCTGCTGATAATTTAAATGTTTAAATTTCAAGTATATAAATTGTTTTGTTAGAAATTATATTTTTCTTGTGGAAAATTTTATCATAGATATGTAATATGATATGAAAATATGACCGTAGTATATGTTATGCTGTTATTTGTGAGTTAAAAAAATATTTTATTATATCCCTGTTCTATTTGTAAATTATTATTAAAGTTTTATTTCTTTAAAAAGAATTATTGTTATTTACAACCTTATACTGTATTCATTAAAGTAAGAAGTATTAACAAGTAAACTACAATTCTTTTATTGTTTATAGTTTCTATCCATTTCTTCATATATTCTTTATTTATTATGACTTGAAATAATATAAATATTGGTTAACAGAAATAAATATGTTTACATAGAATTGAGTAGTTCGAGAAAGCGATTTTGTCCAAAACCCATGTTATAAATATAACTACTTGAAGTTTTGTATACAATGTAAAAATATATGAATTAAGCTTTAGTTTATCTTTTAATTTATATGGATTTTCGCTACTGTGTTAGAGGATTAGAAAAACATTAAATTTTGGATGAAAGATATTTATGTGTAAAAGAACTAAAGAAGATTAGGAGGTTTATTATTTTTTTCCATTGACCACACAAAATAAAAAAATATATTTAAATGGTTGATCTTATAATATTTCATAAAGAAGATGGTCTGGGAGTTAATCAGAACAAACATAAAACATATTCCAAGTATAATAATTATTAAAAAATAAACACTTCAAATTATAACTCTGTGGTTTATTACGATTGGTTACCCAACCAAACAATTAAATAGTGCCTTGGCATTACAAAGAAATTGAATAATTATCTTGTTTGAAATTTAATAAATATTTGCTTTCTGTTCTTTTTAGAATTGGTATAATTATTTCAAAACACTAATTATTTTTCCTCAATTTTCTTAAATAGCTAAGACATTTGTAGTCAACATTGTATCTATTCGCCGTCTCCAAGCAAATATTAAAAGCCTTTATGACGTTTCTGACATATATATAATAAAATGGGTGTAAAGAGATTTTCGAGCAAAATAAAAATTAATATAAAAACGTATTGTATACATTTTTTGAAATTATCTATTATATACTGGCCTTAAAATATGCTCTGTCATCCTTAATAAAATCTGCCCAAAATTTGACTCCCTCGTAATCTCTACTGAAGAAACCATATATAAAAAGATTCCTCATGTTCTGAATGGCTGATTAATTTTAATGGTATCCCTGGTTTAGAAACACCAGTATACAATTTTGACATACCACACGAAGCCATGCCAGTAATATCTACTGAGAAACTTTCATAAGTCAACTTTAATTTTTTTCCTGTTAGGATTACCAGAGATTTCGAATTATCGATACTGTCCTGTAATGATTTGACTGAAACTTCTGTAAGAGATAAAATGCACAATAAAGGGTTCTAAAAATGCAATCACCATGACCACTTTCATTAAGACAAACAAATCTAGTATGATAGTATCCTAAATCATGTAGCAAGATAAATATAATTACATATATCTACACACTCTTACATATATAGAATTACTATTCATCTTAGTTATATGTACAGTGATTACTTTCATCATATTACATTTAAAAAAGTTCTTTACTCTTTAGCTCCTCACCCTGACATTTCTTAATTTATTTTATTATTATTTATTTATTTTTATTAATGAGGTATGGCGTGATAAGATAATTTTATATATATATATTTTTTTTTGTATACCTTTGCAGATGGATTCTTTTTCATCACTTAAGACTGATGATTCAACTACTTTAAACAGTATGAAGTTGATGTCTCCCATAGAATCTTGCTACAGAAGTCCATTGAGAGATACTACAAATTGTGTTCTTCCTTTAGATGTGGTAAGAAGACTTTTAATGACTCTCTTAGATTGAATTTTGAAATAATTAAATAATCAGCTGAAATAAGCCACTTTTGAACATATATTTATATAATTTATATTTTAATTTATTTTCAATGGGGTTTATGCATTCAGCTCAATATGATCTGTTCTCTGATTTAATTTGTTTTTGATTGTTGAAATAATGCTTTCTGTTAATCATATAAACCACAGATAACATTATTTAAAATGTGATATATAAATTATGAAAATATGACTGCAGGGCTTACTAAAGAGATACTGTTTTTGTATCTAAGATAATAATCTTTTAAGCAGCATGAAACTTTCACTTCAATAAGTTAAATCTTAGTTAACTCAACATAAGGAGCAGGATGGCCAAGTAGGCTAACTTGTGTGCTCAACACTTTTAACTCAGCATAATTTAATAATAAGGCAAGGAAGGGGACACACAAAAAAAAAAAAAAAAGTCAACATAGCCCTTGAAATAACTTAAAAACCTATATTTCTACTATCAATAGCAAGTTTATGTTCAGTAAATAGATTTAAGAAATTTTCTTCAATAATCTTAGTTAAAGGAAGCATTGTCAGTGTCTATCATCAGGCTTTTTCTTCTATGCCATTGACATGTAGTACCAACTTAAGAACTTCTCTTCATTCCAAATCAGATTCAAAGATGGTAAAACATCTCTTGTCCATCACTACCCATTTACTTAATCATTTTAAAAATGGTTTCTTCAAATCCTGCTGGCTAGCCATGTTGATATTGGGATTGCTTCCTGTAGTTGTTCGCTGATGTAGTTGTTTTCGCCCCAAACAACTTCACTGTTACTTCGGATCTTACACAATTCTACATCTCACACCTGTACAATATAAACCTCCAAGCAAAAATTATCCCATTAGACTAGTTGGATAGATTTTTATGTTTGTTATAAAAGAGTTTCTTCGGTAAAAGATAGTTTACTAAACAAAAATTGCTGTCTACAAGTCGTGGAATCTGATTTCAAAAAAGAAGAGCTCAATGCTATCAGTAGAGTTACCTTATGAGTGGACTACCTTGTGAGCTACCTTAGCAAACTGGAAGTAAAGATCTGATGAGATAGAATTCTGATTACCACCACTATATAGGTAATCTTGACTCATGTCATCCTGGAGGAGTACAACTTTCTCCTCCTAGTGGTTAGGACACCTCTTTGTTATGGATCACAAGAGAATCGCAAGGAAGACCTTTGAGAGCCTTATGGAGGGAAGGAAACCAAGACGAAGGCCTTCTATCTTCTGGGGAGATGATGTCTGTGAGGTATTTAGGAAGCGAGTTGTGGATTTGGATAAAATGAGTGAGTTAGCCCAAGATCAACATACTTAGCTGAGACTTTTTACAATTACTGAATTTGACTCGGAAGTTCAAAGCACAAGACCCTTCACTGGATTTAATGGATTTTTTTTCATGTAGATGACCTGTGTGCTAATCTCTTATAGATTATAGCAGGTTTTAGCAAATACTAATAGATTTTAAGATAGTTAATCTTGTATTTCTAGAGTTTATTTGTAGTGTTAAAAGAGTGAATTGAGCGATTCAGTAAAATAGCATTGTTAACAGAAAATATTTTTTTTTTATTATCTATTTAATGTGTTCAGGAATTTGAATAAACCTCAATATTCATTATATATGTTTCCGACATGATCGTCTTTAAAAAAAAAAAAAAACTATTTATTTTCATAAAAATATTTGTTTCTCTGGAAAACAACCTCATCAAAATGATCGCTGGATATTTTTTTCTCACATTCATCATTATTTATAATAATAAATTTCTTTACTTCTATTTCTGCAATCTAAATTTAATTTTACATCGGTTATAAGAGACGATATTACCCGAAGCTTTTGAAAAATGAATAAATAAAAGTGTTTTTTTGGAAGCTTGAAGGCTTATTTTAATTCCTGAAATGCATTAAATACTCGTAGAAATTACATGAAGAAACTTAGAAGCTATAAATATAGTTATCCTCCTATTATGTTTTACTCTTGGAAAAATAAACGTTTATCACATTCACATCTTCTACACCGAATGTTAATAACAATTACATTAAATCTAATTAAAAATCAAACGTTAAGTATACTTACTATTTTAAACGTGAAGTTTGAATTTGTACGCAGGATTAATCAATGGGAGTGGGGTAAGTGATCAGTGGCGCGCTCTGTACGATTCCAGTTCCGAATTAATTACTTTTTCTCCAGCCGTCTCCGTGTCGCTACAATTTTTAAGAGCGATTTTTAAGGTATTCGAAGATCGGTTGTATTTGGTTTTCTATCGACATCGTACCGATCTGAATCATATAAATTCGTCGCTTAAACGTAATTCCCTTTATTTATTTTCATCTTAATCGAATCGATAACAGCTGTACTCCGTTAGAATGTCTCAGTTTAAATTTATTTTTGTTAATTCTTGGTTCTGCTCCAAGGCGCGTACAACAGCAGCGTGACAACCGATATTAGCCAGGTATTTTTCTTTTATTTTCCTTTAGTTTTTAGATCCTTACCAAACCAACAATTAATAAAATAGTACACCTCAATAACATTTACAAATTTTTATGAACTGAAATTTCAATTTAAATTTATTCATGAAATTTTTCTTTAGTTTTATTTTGTTTTTATAATACATTAATTCATTAACCTTGGTATTGCCACCTTGTTGATTGCTACATTTATGAAGCAGGTTTCATACTGACCCTATCTGAATAGTGTAAATATTTATTTTAACTGTATCTGTGTTTATTATTTTTCCTTGGTATAAATGCTTTTTAATTATTATTACTTTATTTCTTGCATAACATTTAGTAATAAATTAAAATTATCATCAACTTTCAGGAATTAATTTCATTAAATTTAACCAATCAAAATGTTTTATGATTGTTTAGACATTTTGAATAAAGCAATGGTAAAATTGGGTTTCTAAAGGTCAAATAATTGGGATTTCCAATGATTCCATCGATGCATCAGGTGTTTCCATAGTCAGATTTTTTCATAAGTGCTCTCGTCACTTGGTATTAATCACACTTCTTATTTATAGCATTTGGCTTAGTTCCATCCTAATTAATTAGTTGTTTAATCTTCCAGAGATTTTGAGAGATCAGTGTGTAGTAAACTAATGGTGCAAAAATTTTTTATGTCTGCATTCCACAGGAATGTTAAGTGGATCTAACAATTTGACTGCTTGTTACTAGTTTATCAGTCATAGTTTGGAGAGATATGGCACAATAATTTGTCAGTCACAGGGAATAAGTTGATAAGTTTAAAAATGGTTCTAATGAATTATGTGTATTGTAACCATCTTAGCATTCTGCACATAGTTAAAACTCATTAAGATCCTTTTTCGACTTAACAACTTATTTCTTCTAACTGGATTAACTGTGTTAGATCAATGCTGATTGTAATTGACAATATTTCAATATCTACCTTTGGTATTTTCTTATTCCATGTGTCCATTTATAATATCTGATCATATAGCTGTTTTATTTTAACCAAGAGTGATTCATCTAGTGGCATATTTTTTTAAAACTAACCATTTCCTGGCTATTTATGATAAGGCTAACCATCCATAACTATGATTTTTTTTTTGTCTAATGAAAACAAAACTTATGCGTAATTAAAAATAAACTATACTCTATTTATGTCAAGAATCACTAGCAAAAATAAAATTAATTGTGCTTTTTAAAATTACTGATTAATTAAATTGTGATATTGTATATTTCAGAATTTATTAATAAGGTGATAGAATGGAAAGTTTTGTATAGTGAACTATACTTAAATTATTTAAATTTAATAATTTATATTCGATTATTCACCATTAAGTTTAGTAGAAATAGGAGGTAGTGATATGTAGATGTGAGTTTACATACTTACTGGACCTAGACTGTAATTATAAAATATCTAGCTCATTTGTCAGTTAATAAAGTTTTTGTACTAATTAATTAATTGATTATAATATTTGCTAATTGTATTTTGTAAAGTTTGTTTAGTTAAGAATTAATTGATTATATGTATGTATTAAAGAATTCTTTTTATTGGCTTCAATTTTGAGAGCAGTGAAATAAGGCTTGAAGTATTCAAGTTCAACAAATAATCTTATCTATCTGAGGTCATATTTATTTTTATTTTTAATAATTAAAGTAAAAAAAAAAATCTTATGAAAGACTCAAAAAGTATTTTAAAAATATTTCGTTACTAATTAATAATTTATAACATTTTTTAAAAAAATATAATATAAGTTTTGTTTAGTTAAAAGATTTTTAATATTTTTTATTTGATTAGATTAAACCAATGGACCTATACTATCAACTAATGACATTTTGGATATTTGATGTTATCTTAAATGAATAATTGGAATCAAGTTATTTTATTCAATAAAAACTGACCAATTTTTAAAAATTCATTTCACTATTGGTTATTCTCTACTTGGGATGACATTTTCCACATTTCAAGCAATTCAACTTCTATTTGTTTCTAAATACTAATTTTTCTTACTTAAAAAAAAAAGTGAATTTTAATTTTCTAAGATTATAAAATTTATTGGAATATTTGATTTATTTTATCATTCGAAGATGTAAGTAGAAGAATAGGGACTCCAAATTACAAAGTGTTATAAATAAATATATTTTTTACTGCACATTTTACAGTTTTTATTGCATATTTGGTTTGGAAATTGAGAAACTAAAAATATTTTCGCCGGAAAAAAATTGTGCATTTTTTATGTTATAAACGAGATTTTCTTTTTAATTTTTATCGAATTTCTATAAAAAAGTCATGTTTACAAAAAAAAATATTTTGGATCTTTAATAAGCTCCTCATGTTGGTTGATTGGTTGTATAGTAAATGCGTAAAACGTGTTGGTCATCAACGCCGTTAATCAAAATTATATATTATTATATCTTTTGTTTATGAATATTAAGAATTAGATATAATAAAAAAAATGTAAAACGCACGTTAAGGTTAAAAGTTGTTTATTG